GAGGCCACATCTTGGCAGCTTCGTTCTGTATGAAATCTACATCTCCACTCCATCGTAGTTGCTCGCCTACCTCTGGGCAAATGATCAGGTAGAAACGCTCTGCTGTGGAGATGCCCCCCGCTGCCCCGCCCGGCCGGCCTTCCTGCTTCCTCTTTTGCTACCACATCGTTTCTGTCGCAAAAGCGTCTTGCTACTTGTTGTGCTTTGTGCTTTGTGCTAGTACCTACTTCCGTTGGCTCCGCTGTGTGCACCGGCTTCCACACCGGCCGCCCAGCTGTGGTCCGCATTCTGCTTCCGTCGCCCTGCGTCCACCACACATGTCTACCCTGTGTTTTGGTATTAGTTTTCCCGGCGTTTTAGTTTTACTCTGCATACTCTACGTGCTCACCCCACCTGGTGTGATCGCATCCTGACCATGTGGTGCTGCTGCTGTTCCTCTGTCAGCACGTCGTCTGCCCTCCTGCCGGCATCATTGCCTCCGTTTCGCTCTTTCTTCGCTCTTCGCTGCCGCTCTGGCCACATTCGCGTCAGGCAGGCAGTCTGTGTGGAGGTTACATTGTTTGCAAGAGGGTACCGACCCGGTCTGATAAAGGTGGCAGGCCCCATGTCCTTTGGGAGAGTGGCCGAGTTCAGTCGTAGTTTTACTTTTTGCTTCGTGCAACGGCAGCCACGCTGTTACCCGGTCTTCTACATAATTGGTGAAAAATCATTTATCGCCTCTTTCTCGATAAGGCTATTTTGTATACGGGTATCTTTTTTTTTTGCGATAAAGATTTTCGTAGTTATCGCGAGATTCGTCCCGGTTTAGTTCATCCCCAATTTTTTTTTTATTAGGGGCCTCGTAAGCCAGACAGATGATCTCTGATATAAGTTTCTCACGTAGCCTGATTTTTACGGCTCGGTAGATCATACCGTGGTCTGCCATGAACTATTCTGTTCCTCTAGTAGTATCCTGTCGGAAATTCCTGCCTGCGTTAGAGTCGCGTCAACAGTTATCCGGTAGATTTCCCGACATTGTCGCAAACACAAAGAAAAGAATAAGAGACGAAATGAAATTTTCCAAATTTCATGGCCGAAGTTCGTTTCACAGAAAAGACCCGTGCGATATTGGAAGAGTACGAACGCTGCAAAGGCGGATTCCAGCCTCTTCCAATAGCTCTGACCAAGGCCCACAATGCTACCTTATGGGATGTGGAAGGAAACAGATACATTGACTTTCTCTCGTTCTTTGCCGTCGCCAACATGGGCCATGCCCATCCTAAGATCGTGGAAGCCGCGTGCACAGCAACTCGTGATTGCCCGATGGCTAACACGGCATTTGTCAACCCAAGCTACGCAAGGCTCGCTTCCAAGATCAAAGAAATCTTAGGATACGATAGTATCGTGTGCATGTGTACCGGAGCCGACAGCACTGATACAGCAACAAAAATTGCCCGTAAGTGGGGCTACAAGGTCAAGGGGATTCCTAGTGGCAAAGCCGTCGTGCTGACAGCGTCGGCGTGCTACCATGGCATCACTATATCGACACACTCAATGTCGTCTGCTCCGGAAGACGTATTCGGTCCCTACGTCCCTCTCGTGGGTCCTGTCTCGCCATCTGGCGTACTGGTCGAATATGGAGACATACAGAGTCTCAAGAATGCACTGGAAAAAGATCATGAGACGATTGCAGCGTTCATGGTGGAACCAATCCAGGGTTCTGCCGGAATTGTTGATCCGCCAGAAGGATACCTAAAACAGGCCTACGATCTTTGCAAGCAGTACAGTGTGCTTTTCATTGCAGACGAGGTGCAGACAGGACTTGGCAGAACAGGAGAACTATTACACAGCTGGCGCTCTGGGGTGAAACCGGACCTGGTGTGTCTTGGCAAGGCTTTGGCCGGCGGCGTGGCGCCGCTATCTGCTGTGTGCGGCAATAACGACGTGATGGACGTCATCGAGGGTGGTGACATTGGGTCCACGATGGCCGCAAACCCACCTGCCACGGCAGCAGCAGTTGCAGCATTGGAAGTATTAGTGGAGGAACGGATTGCTGAGCAGTCCAAAAAAAAAGGAAAGCTGCTCCGAGAACTGCTGAAAGCCGAGAATCTGGCTCAAATATCTGGTTTCTCCGGTGCAGGGATGCTGTGCGCTGCGATCTTGAACCCAGAATACGTGACTTCGCGGTTCAACAGTATACGGCTGCGGCGTCTGTGTGCCAAGAGAGGGCTGATGGTTAGCAGTGCCTCGGGCGGCACTCGAGTCCGGATCTGCCCGCCGCCAACAATCGAGGAAAATCTTCTTGCCGAGGGTGTCAAGATTTTTGCTCAATGTGTGCGTGACTTAGAATCTCTAGACGATCCTATTCTATAAATGTGAATCTCAAATTTAATCGATTAGTTTTTTTCAGCTACTTTTCATGCCCGCAAAATTTACTTTGGCAGACGGCAGCGAGATCCCCGCTGTGGGGCTTGGTACTTGGCAGCTGGAGGGGGATAGAGGCCAGGAGGCTATGGTCCACGCACTCAAAAGTGGCTACCGCATGTTAGACTGTGCGTTCTCGTATGGTAATCAGGCTTTGGTCGCGAAAGCGATCGAGCAATCCGGCGTGGCACGCGAGGACCTGTTCATCGTGGACAAGCTTGCAAACACTTGGCATTCTGCTGCTGAGGAGTGTCTAGACAGAACGCTTGCTGCGCTAAAGACAGACACCCTGGACCTCTGGCTGATGCACTGGCCCTCGCCGTTAAACCATCATGGTAACCACCCAAAATGCCCCACGTTGCCCGATGGCACTGTGGACTACGAAAAAGAGTGGAACTACGTGAAAACATGGGAAACGATGATTGAGATTCAAAAACGACGCCCTGAGGTCAAGCGGTTGGGAGTTGCCAACTTTGGTATCAAGGAGCTCGAAGCTATCAGCATGACAGGCGTGCTGCCGCTAGTCAACCAGGTCGAGCTACACCCTTCGTGCAACCAGGAAAACCTGCATAGGTACTGTCTACAGAAAGGAATTCAACTCGTCGCCTACAGTCCTTTGGGCTCAACAGGGTCTGCACTGCTCCACGACCCCGGTCTCAAGACCATTGCAGAAAAAAATAACGTGACGGTTGCACAGTGTCTTCTGAGCTGGGGCGTAGCAAAGGGATGGCCAGTCATCCCGCGCTCGTCGTCACCAGAACGACTGGACCAGAACTTGGAGATTCAGCAGTTGTCATCAGCGGACGTAGACGAGATTTCCAGAATAGGCAAGGCGTCGCCAAAACGGTATGTCACTGCTCCGTGGCACACCTTTGAAGAAATCGTTTAGCGAAAAATCTGCTTCGAATGTCGCAAATGGGACACTATAAATATATCGACATAAATCATTGCCGGCATGTCCTGTACCTGCTGCACAGAGCCGCCAAGATCGGCAAGTAATCTACCTAGTCATCCTTTCTATGTTCACACATCTACGGTGTTTGACTCCCTCACCTGCCAGTTTCTGACCGATGTCTCGTTCAAAGTGGACGCAACTACTGGTTTGATAACTCAAGTTCTACGCGCAGAGAATAATCTGCAAGTTTCCGCTTCCGACATTGACCTCAGAGGCAAGATCGTCATGCCTGGGTTCGTGGACGCACACACTCATATTTTTCTTCACTCGTACGACGAAGCCGACAACGCTAAGCAGAAGCGGGACGAGAGCTTTGTGGAGAGGGTTATTCGGGCCACCAACCACTGCAGAACAGCGCTCATGGCCGGGTATACCACTTACAGAGACCTAGGATCGGAGGGAATGCAGGAGGCGGACGCAAATTTTAGAGACGCCGTCAATAGAGGCATTGCCGTCGGTCCACGGCTGTTTGTCGCGACAAAGGTCCTGGCGTCGGTTGCCGGCGTCAAGACGCATACAGAGAACACAATTGGCGGTACACGGCTGCCAGTGACCAGTGAAGAGTGCGATGGCGAGGATGAAATTAGAAAAGCCGTGAGACGGCGTATTGGGCTTGGCTGTGACGTGATCAAATTCTTTGCGGACTACCGCAAGCGTATCATGCGTTATCCGCCGGCCGTGCCGCACCCATACGTGTCGTCAGTGTTGTTTCCACCGGAGAATCCCAACCCGGATGTAGTCCTCTACACGCAGAAGGAGATGAACGTTATTTGCGAAGAGGCACGAAACGCTAATTGTCCAGTGGCAGCGCACTGTGCAACTAACAGAGCAGCGAAGATGGCTGCTAGGGCCGGTGCAGACACGATTGAGCACGGGTTCTGGTGCGACACAGACACTCTTGAAGTGCTCAAGGCAAACGGGTGCATCTTAGTGCCGACTCTGACCATTGCAGAACGGCTGTATGGACCACGCTTTGCAGGTCTACTTGCCAAGACACATCAGGCCTGGAAAATGGGCTTGATTCAGGCGTGCGGTGGCGACACAGGAACCTTCAACCACGGAGAAAACGTGCGAGAGGCAGAGCTTTTTTTAGAAGCAGGCATCCCGCTCGAAGACACTTTGAGGTCACTGACGTATCACGGCTGGTTGGCTTGTGGTGGCGATCTGTGCGGGAGAAAATTTGGCTGGCTGGCAGAGGGCACTGCCGCCGACATGGTGGCTCTTGAAAAGGACCCCCGGGAGGACGTCACAGCCCTCCGGCATGTGTCCTTTGTGATGAAAGATGGCCGTGTGTACAAGAAAGATGGAAAGCAAACATTTAATTAACTCATATACCTATCACGCCAAGTAATTTTCGACAAAAACACCAATTTTGGATGTCTTCTTTTTCTCGGTAGCTCGCAGCTCTTCGATTTCGTCCCACTTTTTGGCGTAGCTAAAATTCATGTCTTCTGGTTTCACCAGTGTGGTTTTGTATCTGAGCTTGTAATATAGCCAGCAGACTCCGAAAAGAGGAACACAGAGGTATGTCAGGAAAAAGTTCTCTGCTCTAGCAGAAGCCGACATCGAGCTTCCTCCAAGAGGATACAACCCAATGTAAAACTGTCCTATAAATAGGACGATGATGATGAATGTGGCGCTGTACGTGGTCCATGGGAAGAATTTGTCGTAAAGTGGGAGCGTCTTATAGTCGATGCCCTGTGCTTTGAGACCAGCTCTGAAGCGATAATGTGACCAATAAATGGACAGCCAGGTGAAGTATCCATTTAGGGCACACAGCGAGTTGAACCAGTTGTACACCTGCTGTCCGGTTTTTGAACAGTTCAAGAATGCCAAGGCAAGACCAATCACAAACACAACCACAAGAGACAGAACGGGCCTACCCTTGGAGTCTTTTTTGCCAAACACCGGGTGGATGACCTTTAAGTCTGCACAAGCAACAAGGGATCTAGAGCCAATGTACACGGAGGAATTTCCACAAGAAATGACAGACAATAGAATGAGTGCATTCAAAATATCAGGAAGGACTTTCACTCCACCTCTTTTCATGGCAATGATGTATGGAGAAGCAAGGGAACCACTAGCATTGTTGAGAGTTTCATCATTGTATGGCACATTCATTGTGATAAGCCAGGCGTTGCCGACAAAAAATACACAAAGCCTCCAAAATATCGGCTTGGTGCATCTGGGAATAAACGTTCTTGGATTTTTCACCTCGCCTGCAACGATGGCGATGTGTTCACCTCCACCAAAAGCAAATCCAGACTGCGAAAAGGCCAGCACTACTCCTTGAATTCCATTTCTTATCCAGCCAGGGTTCTTCCAAAATTTATACCCAATTGGTCCAGTATTTGGTAATCCTCCACAGGTTCCGATAAACATAAAGAGGGTGATACCTGCCATGGCTATGATCTTGATGAATGATTGGACGTACTCAATGTATCCGTAAGCTCTGATTGGCCAAACATTTCCAGCAATGTAGACTGCAGCAAACATACAAATGTATTCCGCAGTTGTCACTCTACCATTCGTATCCCAGTAGCGAAGAATGCTGATACCAGCAGTAAGCTCTGCTGCCAGAACAATCATCCAGTTAAAAGCAAAGTTAATTCCTTGGGCAAAGCAGATTGCTTTGTCCAGATACATGTCAATTTGATTGATGAAGCCACCGTGGATAGGCTGATAAGCTGTCATTTCTCCCGTTTGAATGAACATAACATAAACAATGTATGCGTTGATCGTATAAGCAAAAACAATACCAAAAGGACCACCTTGTCTCAGAGCTGAGCCCATACCGACCCAGAAACCAGTACCGATACCAGCACCAAAAGTGATCATGAGGACTTGACGACCTGTAATCTGTCTCTTGTAACCAGAATTGTCCACAGACTCTTCTAGCTTTCTGATTGTTTGAACCAGAGGCTCAAAATCCTCCACACTGGTAACCTCGTCAACCACTGCTGATGAATTTACCTTAGATTCAGACATTATATTATCCACTGAGTCATCGAAGTTGGAAATTTATATGTTTTTTCTTCGTATCAAGTTTCGATAATGCAGGTTTTTTCGCGATAAAAAATAAGATCGCATCGGATATTTGTTTCTTTGCAGTTTTCCAGAGGTAGATTCGCGTGATCCGTGATTTTGCAGCGCAAATCTGGGGAAGAGAGTGCGCAAATCTTTTACATACTCACTGATAAGGAACCTTCTATAGTTAGGGCACTACTTTATGGCTATGACAGGCCAGTGGAACTGAAAAGATGTGTAAGTATATTGTCTACACCCATCCCTAGAGGTTTTGGTATTTTTGCACGATCTTCTCGGCCATGTCTATAAGGCCACCTGCGATAATGTCAGCCTTACCAAAGATCTCCTCACAAGGATATTTTTCGTACACGTCAGTCCAAGCCGTATGGAACCCAGCCTTTTTAGCGGCACAACAGTCCCACATATGCGCTGCAGCAAACCACGCGTCCTTTCCTTTTCCTGGAATTTTTTCAAGCATGTACTTGTAGACCTCTGGTGCTGGTTTTCCAATCTTCAAGCTGTCGCATGAGACGATATTTTCCTCTGGCATTTCTATTGAGGAATTCTCGAAGTATCCCTTGACTCTTTCCTTATCTCCATCTGTTAGACACCATATAGTGAAACCATTGTCTCTCAAAAGTTTCCACATTGCTGGCAACTCTGGTCGAGCCTTGAGCTTTAGCCATTCAGCGCAGAGGTACTCTAAATCTTCCTCTGTAGCAAACTTCTTCGGATCAGGAACACCAGCATGATGCAGAGTTCTGAAAAATGTAGCCTTGAGGATTTTCTTTGTAGGCTGATATTCTCCAATTTGAGAGAGGTAAGAAAAGTCTCTTTCACAGGCCGTACCCCAAGCATCAAAAAGAAGATCTGTGTTGATATTATACTGAAGAAGTTTCTTACCCAGTCTGCGTTCAATGGCATTTAGCATCACGTCGTACCCAATACAGGTACCTATTATATCGAAAACAACGTCTGGCATGGTGATTCTCGATATCAATGAAAGAATTCAACTCAAGACTTTTTTTGGAACCTAAAACTTTTGAGCTCCGTTCTGAGGATGACGGGCGTTCGGTGAAACTAAACCGTATTAGTATCAATACCGCCGAATTGAGAGAAAATAGCGGAGAAGTTGTCGATTACACTTGGTTCAGCGTTCCCGAAATTTTCAAGAGGCTTATCGGCTTTCGGTCGATAAGAGCTTCTAAATTAGGAAATCGATTTTTTCGAGCGGGCAGATCGCACTTTGATAAGTAATTAGTTACACGGGTATTGTGATGTAAGAAATAGATTTCCACACATATATTAGAGCTTAGTCTGATACTTGTAATATCCTGTCTCCTGGAGGATATTGTTTCTAGCCTTTTTCAAACGATCTTCGGTCAGCATAAACGATTGGGGCAAGCCTGTACTCTCGACTCCCACTCCGCCTAAGATCATTTCCGATATGGCTTTAGCTGACAAAAATACCCGTGGCATACCGTGTCCATGGAAGCCTGCCAGAATGTACTTATTCTTCTGATGTGGGATTTCTCCAACCCACGGAAGAGCATCAACAGAGTAACCTAAAATTCCTGTCCATAAATAGTCCACTTCCGTCTTAGTTCCCTTCCAACTGCTAAAATTTTCCTGCATAAAAGTCTCGTACCATCCTCTTATATCTGCGTTGAAAAGACTGGCATCATCGACATTCTTATACCAAGAATCCTTGTCTTTAAGATAGAATGGTTTAGCTCCACCAACAATGATAGAACCATCGGCCCTATTGATCAAGTATTCGTGCTCAGAGAAGTCTCGGCATATACCATAGGTATTGTTCAAATATGGAGTATACTCGTTGTCTGCAGTGAATTTGATATGAGAACATGTTCCCTTAACAGGAACAATCTTGTCGTCAAATTCAGGAGCTATAGCTGATGTGTAAGCATTTGTTGCCAGGATAACTTTGTTTGCCTTAACATTGCCTCTTTTCGTTTTTATCAAATAAGAACCATCTTCAAGAGTCTCTATGTTTTCAACACATGTATTTGTTTGCAAGTTGAGCCCCTTATCTAAGCAAAATTTAAGCAAGCCTTTCACAAACTTGTATGGCCATAAATGTCCCGCAGTGAAAGTTAGTGCAAGTGGTGACTTCGGAAACTGAGAAACCACTCTTGCATTGTCCCCTTCAAGAACTTGAATGTCGTCCAATACATTGGAATACGGATTCTTTCTCAGAGCCTCCACTGCTTTGATACATCCATCCACTGCACCCTCAGTAAGATGGACATTGCATGCTCTTGTGATAACCAGATCACAATCAATTTGGAGATCCTCAACCACGTTCTTAACTGCGGATATATGCTTGTGCTCAAAGTTACCAATCTCTGCAGCACCTTTTTGTCCATAAAGTCTCTCGAACTTCAGATATTCGCGGTAGTAGTCAGGTTTCAGATGTCCTCCATTTCTTCCTGTTGCTCCTGAACATACTGTTCTAGCTTCTAGCATTAAAACATCTAAAGGATGAGTTTGACACTGTTTGTAAAGCCAGTATGCGGATGCAGCCCCAGCGTACCCTGCACCAACAATAAGCACATCTGTTTCTGTAGGGAGCTCATCGGTTGTGCGAGTGTGAATAAATTCATCGTTCTCTGAATGCCAAAATGAAGCTGTTGGATTTGAAACCGGGAAAGGTTTTGAAGTGAACATTATCGTAGGTAATGTTTATAGAAAGAACATAAAGCAGAAATCTTTGTATAATCAAGGTTCAATGCACGCAGTAAAGTTTTTTGAAAGATACATTTTCCCTGACACGAATAAGTACTGGGCCGCACCGAAAGCGAAGACATTGAAAATAATGCGGGTAACGATCGGTCGCTTGCTTTTTCTTGAATAAACTGTAAGCGGAAAGCTATTTGTTACTATTAATACGCTGTACAGGGTATATATTTAGAGGTGAGGTGAAGATCAAAACGAAACAAAACCGTACTTCTGGTATGCATCCCAAACTTTATCTTGTCCATCGAGTATTGGACTAGACTTTTTCGTTTACTATGGAGGGAGCTATTGACCTCTAAACTCTTTACCTCATCCTGAAGTCAGATCTTTCCTATAGAAATCTGATTCAGCGGCTTTTCCGAACAAAAAGTACTTTCTTATCGGGAAAATAAATCCATGTAAAGCTGAACGAACAACCGTTCAATAATTCTCCACCACAACTCCCATTACTCAAGTATCTTGAAACCCAGCAGTAGCTATCTAGTAACGGAAGCTTAAGCTCATTTCCAGCTAGATGGTTGTCAGTTATTTCATATGTAATAAGCTCTGATAAACTGTATATCTCTTTTGCGACTACTTTAAGTCTCGCATCGCGATCTGAACAATAAAGTGTTTTCTTAGCATCTGCGAAGCGAAATACCCAGTTTGGCAAACAATCTGTATCGGCTTGATATTGAGCTTTAATGAACTGTTTGCGTCAGAAGCATGTTTTGTTTCGGTCAGAAGCCAATTTGATGAACCTTACATATATCCATCGCAGAAGATAGTGAGCATTTTCCAAAAGGCTTCGAGTAATTTCGCGAGCAGATAAAGCTACACCTTTAGATCTGGTTCAAGATAAAGCTTTGCACCATCAGAATATTCTTGTCATGTCACATCTTGCTGGTCTATGTGACAATGCGTTGCTGTTGAGCTCAGTAATAGCTCTGGGTGCTTTGTTGCTGTGGTTTTACGTATATACCGTCAAGCCAACAACACGATTTATACAAGGGCTTCCATATCTTCCCAACCCAAGCCTACTTCTTGGAAATCTGAAGCAGCTAGGGAATGACCATCCCACAAACCTACAAGAACTCTCTCTCAAATATGGAATGCCTGTGTTTCAGTGTCTATTCGGAAACCAAAGAATTATTTTCATCAACTCATACTCAGCAGCAATGGACTGGTTTGTAAAAAATCAAACATGTCTTATAGACAGACCTCTGTTCTACACCTTTCACAGGTTGGTTTCGACATCACAAGGACTGACAATAGGAACCTCACCTTGGAATGATACATGCAAGAAGAGACGACTTAATGTGCAAAGATATATGACTACACCTGCGATTCAAGAAAGGGCAAGCTTATATGATGTGGAATCATATTCATTATTGCGCGATCTCTATCAAGATACGTCGAATGGAAGGTCGGCTTATCCTTACACTTATACTCAAAGACTTGCTCTCAACTTCACCACTATGCTCTGCTATGCCACAAGATTTGACAATATAAGAACCAAACTCCTAAAGGAGATCCTAGAAATTGTGAAGACTATATCCTCTTTCCGGTCTACAAACAAGAACTTGCAAGATTATGTTCCGATTATAAGACTTTTGCCCGAAAATCCCAGAAGCAAACTTGCGGTTGAGTGCAGTAGGATTAGAGACGAGTGGCTTCAAAAGCTTACTCAGCAGGCACTCAATCATCGAGACGATCGTGTGAGTATTGTTGGAGACTTTGCTAAGTCTGACGGGGAAGGGAGATTAAATCTGGATGATATCAAATGCATATGTGTCGGCTTGGTCTCTGGTGGCTTCGAGACTCTTGGTTCAACAGGAGCTCTGATATTTGCTCAACTCGCCACCGAAAAAGGAAAGAAGTGGCAAGAAAGAATCTACGCTGATTGCATTGAGCACTATGGCTCCGTAGAGGTGGCATGGCAGCATGTGGTACTTGAACAAAAGAGTGAGTTTGCAGTGTCCTTCATCCGCGAGCTTCTGAGAATGTACGCCGTCATCCCTTTGATTCCAGCTAGAAAAACTGCAAAGTCTTTTGAATGGAACGGGGCTCTCATTCCTGAGGGTACAACAGTGATCTTGAATGCACAAGCTGCGAATCACGATAGAGACCATTTTGGAGAGACGGTAGATGATTTCGTTCCTGAAAGATTCCTCTATGAATCGGATGTGAACCATTCTCCATACCATTTCACATTTGGTGCGGGATCAAGGGCATGTACGGCAGTCAATCTTTCAATTAGAATACTCTATGTCATTTTGACACGAAGCTGCATGCTTTTTGAAATTGAAAAAGATGCGTCGCGTTCGCCAGTGAATGACTATATCGGGTATGCAGCGGACAGATCAGCACAAACATACTGGCCTAAAGATTTTGGTATATATCTGAGACCAAGAGATCTCGGTACAATGGAGAGATGTTTCCAGAAATCCAAAGAGGCTTGTGCTGAGCTATTGTCGTATTCATATGAAAACGATGAGGTTGCTGAAAAGTATGATAATGATTTATAGGGATATATGATCATTATTTGGAGCAGACACTACATGAGAGAGTCTTAGGATGGCCAAAACTTAAGCCTTGTGTGTTACCGCTACAGGAGTATTTCCCAAACAATTCCAGTGCTCTTGATGATTGAAGCGCGGGGTCCATTTCCACTTTGTTTTTAGATGATATTCGCTCCTGTAAATGTACTCCCAAGCATAGCCAGATGTTTGCCAGAGATTTAGAAAGTCTGGGATACCAATCCTAGAGGCCGTTTGTGTAAAACGACTCGAGTAGTTCTGGATTCCTAGTGGATCCCCTCGCAGTCGAAATAAAAAAAAATCTGATAAATAATTGTGTTATCTAATCTGTATCCAAAAGTAAATTTGAAAAACAAGGTATAAATATCTGCATGATTTATAATCGTCCCCAGCTTTTCAAGAGTGTACTACGAAACATATAAGGAGACAACACATGGATGAAATTGCTGACGCGGCAGAGCTACGCAAAGTCTTTGACGATGGTCACGCTAGGAGCTCCACTAGATGCTTCAGATGCAAGACCAAGAGACTAAAATGTCGATACGAGTTTCCGACTTGCCACAACTGTGAAAAAGAGGGTCATGTATGCTTTGCTTGGATTAAAGGACTGAACAAGCCTGTTCCACGAAGTCTGGCATTGTATCTTGAAAACAGGGTTGCAGAGCTGGAAATCAAACTGGCAGAGTTATCTGTGAACCAGATTTTGGACAGGTCTGAAGAACAGGCTCTGACATTTTCCAAATACGTAGCAGCACCGTTCATTGACGCCTTTGAGCAGTCTGAATGCGACAGAGGAGTTGTCAACTTTCCGTTTCTTTACTTCCGTTCAAGCAGTTTACCGGCTCCCTTCGACTCGATGTTGGATAATTCGGAAAGAGGGAACATGAAACGATTTGTCGAGGAACATCCGCCGGTGGATCTTTATAGTATTCCCGCCGATGTCGTACAGATCTTGATGCATAACTATACCAACTATCATCAGCCACAATACCCTATCTTATCCAGATTGGAACTCAAACAAATAGAGTCAAGGGTCTTCGAGTCCCGAGGCTCAGCCAATTCGTACGATTACGCAGCAATTTCAATTGCTCTAGCAATTTCGGCGGCTACTCTGACGCACAAAGGGGAAAAGAAAAGCTTATCGTCCTCAAGCGTTCTCTTTTCCCAAGCCATCATTCAGCTCACGCATACAGTCTGGGAGAGCAAATTAAAAAAGCTCCAAATAACCTTACTGATTGCTCATTATGCTTTTGCAAACCCATACGCAGCTGATATTTGGTACACTGTTAGAGAATGCCTTAGACTCTGTCTTGACCTTGGCTTGCATAGGGAGGTGCAAATGGAAACAAGTACCATGAGAGACATAGATATCCGACGTAGGCTCTTTCTAGTCACTACGTCTATGGCTCGGCATTTGAGCTCAGTCCTGCGAATTGCGTTTCCAATCCCAGACAATCTCATTTCAGTAGAGAAACCGGCTACAGTGGACGATTCTTTCATCACAGAAAAGGGAATTGATCTCTCTGGTCCTCAAACAAAAGCTGCCGCTCTTCACTTTTATCAGTTCAGACTTTATGAGACGGAAGTTCATGAAGTCCTTTGGCTCAATAAGGAGCTTAATATTGATACCGAAGAGTGGCTAGATGAAATGGAAAGCAAAGTCGAAAAATGGTATTTGAAAGCAGAAGAGTTTGCCAAACTCAATCAACTAAGGTTCAGGCTTATTTGCAAAGCCTCTCTTCAAACTCGTCTACGTAGACGTTCCCCTCGAATCACAAACCCACCACGTCCGTCATATGTGAAACTGGTAAATTCCCTTGTTTTGCTGATAGATGAATACTTGAGGGACTCCAGGAGCGGTCAAGTTTTCTATCTTCTAATGGGAGTCTACTATATTGAGGAAGCTGCTGTGAATCTGGCAGATGTTATCTGGACGCAAGGTGACTGGATACTGGATTTTTTCACACCTGATTTTCTTGATTCTAAGTTCAAAGGATGTATTGACTTACTTCTTCGGTTTAGTGAACGTTGGCCCGACATTACTCGTGGGAAGATGATTCAGACCTTAACAGACATATATCTCAAGGCGTCCAAACGATTATTTGCAATTGCCAAAAATAGGTCAAATATTAAAGCTCTTCAAAAGGACGCAGAAGTGTCAGCCCAAATTGAGCAATTACTGTTTCCCCAGAATGACGTTCTAGCCCCTGAAGCAAGTTTGCAATTTTCAGAAAATAAAGCCAGCAGTGTTTTAGACTCTGGATCTATGCCAGGTCTTCTCTCAATCAGCAAGCAATCAAGCTGGACTGACAATTTCAATGTTGATGGGTTATTAAACCTAGAAGAGTATGTTGGCTTACAGGATTGGGTTTGATTCAGGTGGCAGATCCAGCTGCCTTGTATTCCTCAAATTTTGTGATCGAATTATCTAACAGACACTCATGCTTTCCAATGCAAATTCTGTGAACGAAAGGAGTGCTTGGGAACTCGGCCAGAAGGTCGAATATCTCACAAGTAGCTGCTTTCCAGTACTGATGGCATCAATGATTTTTCCCTGGAAAGGGGGATCTTTGAGTACCTCATGATGAAGCTTTGCGATGACCATTAAGCTTAGTAGAGATAGCGTGACGTTGGAGATTTCTATCCAAAAACACAACGGAGCAAATTTTTGGAATTTATGGCTTGCATTTTTGATGACCTCAATACAAGATTGCAGAACATTCAGGTAAAAGCTAGATCTTTCACACTGAGAGCAACTATGAGTGAGCAGCGAGCAAGCAGTAAGCCATTGAGTAGATTTAGATTTAGTCTCCAGCTGCTGCTCGATCAGTGTTTCAGCCCAGCAGACAGGGCATCCAGAGATTTTTCCATAAATCTCTTTGAATAAATCAATTCTGTTTGTCAGCTCGACAAAAATCATCCTGTTGTTACCATCATCGATTTCAAGACGAGCAATTTGATTTCTTGAAAAATAGATTGAGGGTGGTCTGCCCAGACATAGAGAGACACTCGTTTCTAGCTCGTAGAGCACTTTCAACAATCTAACCCGAGGAACTTGTTTGCACACTCTTCCGGGTATTGGACCTTCGTTACCGGTATTCGAGAACCTCAATTTTTCGGCTAAACCACAAGCCAAAGAAAGCGTCTTCCATACCGGCGATCCTGATTCAGGATCCAACATCTCATAGATAGCGTAGTACACTAGGGCGAGAAGAGTGTCACCATCAGAATCTCTCAGTTTCTCCTTCATGAGCTCTGCTACTTTTTGTTGAAGCATTATCTTGATGTAAGCAAAATCTACTCGTTTTCGCATAAGGTGAGCTGCAGAGATGAGAAATATTAGCAGCACAAACAGCTGCTCGTATGAAGGATAGTTCCTAATCATGACCTCAAAATGAAAGAAGCTCTCTGGAAGCAAGGGGAAAACAGGATAAATATTACTGAGATAGTTCTCAATGAGCAATCTGGACTGGTCATTGCCGATGATGGAGAAGTCAAATGGGACTTTTATCTGAGGAAATGATGTGTAATTGTCAATAGAGCTGAGAATATTTGTTTCCGAATTTAGGTTCAATACCTTTGACACCGAATGTACCATTGAGATCACAGACCCCGGCCCAAAATAGTAGGAATCCCTGTTAGCTTCTATAAAGCACCCTGAGCTTACGGAAGCTTCGGACAGCTCATGGGTTTCCTGTTGACTGCTTGTGCTGGAGTGTGCCAGATTCTTCCGTTGAATCTTGTTTTCATATTTAGCGATCTCGTGTTTCAGCTCCCTTATCTTATCATCCAAATTTTTTAGGTACCTTCTAGATACCGATGTTCCAAGTCCCTCGTCATAATACCGACATATGGTTCCCATCGACTCGCAGTTTTTGCAATTTGGCAGGTTAAAGTCGCATTTCTTTTTTCTCTTTTTGCACACACTGCAAGAAAGCATTGTGATCCGGTAAGGGAGCAGAGAAGATGACGGCAATAAACTCGTAACCTAGTAGCAGGAGTTAGGAGTCACTCGTTTGGGATACAAAAAATTTGGATTCGGCTAAGAGAGATAAGCGATAATGTCTCAAAAAAGAAAATTTTACTGTTTACGTTTGCGACACTACTTCGATCTGTATCGGATCGGTGGCGTTGGGGCAATGGCTTTTTATTGGCCACTTTGAGCACTTGAATGAAGCCAGTTACATTACCTAATGATTTCTCCAATTGCCAATATAAATGATGAGCTCACAGTTGACTTATATTCATATAAATTCATTTCCTCATCTTGGAACATTTTATGAAATATCACGCACCGTTTCCAAATAGACAAGTGATCTGTTGCAGCAAAGATGTCACAATTCACCATTCCACGGCTTTACGAAATAGCTGGCAGACAAGCAATCGTGACAGGAGGCGGATCGGGGCTGGGGCAAATGATCTGTCAGGGATTGGTAGCCAATAACGTTGACGTTGCGGTGGTTGATCTATTTCAAGAGCGTCTGGACGAGACCATTCACAAGTGTGAAAAGGTGAGATCCGAGACGGGCTCATCCAGCAAAGTCACATCTTTGTGTTATGATATAGGCGACGAGCTTTCCAATAAAGAGCTGGTAAGCATCATCAATGAAAACTACGAAAATGTGGATATTCTTATAAATTGTGCTGGAATTAGAAGGCAAAACCCAGTCACGTTTTCTCCAGGTGAATCCCTTGAGAGGCTTCAGGAGGCCACTGGCTCCATTGGGTGGAAAGATTTCCGCGACACCTTTGACGTGAACGTGTTTGGAATGTACTTTTTGACTGCTGGGCTAGTCAAAAAGCTAGGCGAGGCAGCACAGAAAGGCGATGGCAGAGGATGTGTCATCTGTTTTTCATCGCCGGCGTCTGTGCACAATAATCAGTTTGTTCCAGCCTATCAACTTTCAAAAGCTTCCATAGACCACATGGTGAGGATCATGGCTGCGGAGTTTGCTGATAAGTATATTAGGGTCAACGCTGTATCTCCAGGACTTTATGAGAGCAGAATGACTCCTATGGCATCAGATGACCCGACATCAAATATCAAGTACGTGGATCAAGTTCCAGCACGGAGAGCAGGTCTTCCAGAGGAGATGGTGGCTCTAATCATATTCATGTGCTCGAAGGGGGGTGCTTATCTTGACGGTCGAAACATAAGGATGGACGGAGGCAGATTATTGACATTAAAGGGTCATGTGTACAGTGATGAGTGAATTGATCTATTTTGATCCAATATATTCTAGGACTCTCCACAATGGTTACCTTTTGTACGTTTCTATGTGAAAGGTGTTACTTGATGGAACAAATAGAACTCAATGAGCTAAATAAATCATGCCCCCAAGTATAAGAAACGTGTTATATAGTGCTCACGATAGTCCTTTCGATAGTTAGCATTTAGTTGACACCAAACTGACCTTTTCTGCAGTCCTTCGGAAAGCTCCTCTGAAGCTCTCTTCAGGAACTTACGCTCTGCTCAATGGCTATGTAATATCAAGTACAAGGCCGTGCACAGGAAAAGCTTAATTATTATTTGGCCCACTGTGTGCTCCTACTACTATAAACCTCTGTTCCATATCCATATTGCAAGGCACCAATAGACTCATGAGCAAGTCATTTACAAGAACAAATAGTCGTAGAATTCGTGTTTAAAACACGATACACAAACTACACTGGGTTTTGACTTCCCGCCAATTCAGAAGCCAAAGAATTTGTATCTGTTATCTACTTCCGAGACTTGGTGCACGACATTTTTATATTTCTTATCATGAAGCGAAGAGGAGTCCGGCGGGCTTGCGATGCCTGCCATTTGCGAAAACAACGTTGCGACGGGCTGCAGCCGTGTTTCAGATGCTCCAAGAGTGACAAGATATGCTCCTACGGCGAGGAACATCTTCCGGGAGCCTCTGAAATCGTGAACCTGATGAGCACCGTGCTCTCGTCCCTGGGAACGATCGAGCAAAAAATTGACCTGCTAGGCGGTATTTCTGACATGCCAGCCACTGAACCCACTCCTGCCGTTCACCGTCCACCGGTCGCTATCCAAACCATTTCGCTTCGAGGAGCACCCATGTCAACGGTGCAAAGTGCATACTCGATGGCCGGCAATGGAATGTCCGAGAATAACAGCACTACACCCTCAGTTCGGTCACCGCTAACTCTTCTACATCAGCTCTATCGCACAGACCACTGGTGTTGCGACCCTGTGTCGCTGGGCATTTTGTCGTTGCAAGATGCTCAACAACTAGTCGATTTGTACTTTGAACAGATGCACAGTATGGCACCGCTTCTTACCAAAAGCATCCACTCAAACGCAGCCGAGCTGCGCGAGCGATCAACACTGCTTTTTCTCACTGTCTGCTGTGTGGGAGCACGGAGCCTTTTTCAGCAAGGTCAGAACATACATGACTTGGCTGCTTTGCTCGATTTTTCACTATCCCGAGTGGTTTTAGGACGAACAGATCGTATCACGCTCGAGCAGCTCGAATCCCTGCAAATATACGCCCATTGGATGCCACTGAGAGTGAATCAGAGCGCCAGTAGATACAACGAAGTTTCTGTATGGAACGTTATTGGACTAACTATCCGATGGGTCAAATTCATGGACCTGGAGGGCCATTTGCAAACAAAATTCACTGGCTCACTTGAAGACGTGCGAATTCTACGAATCATGTTCAACCTTGTTTCTCTTGACTACCAAACTCATCTGTCCACACAGCTGCCCACGACAATTGACCCCGTCCCGCTCGTGGCCCTCGCCCGAAAATTTTGCTCGACAGCGAGTGCAGAGACCAATGATCACAAGCTTCTGGGACTTTGTGAGCTCACTCTGGCTCTCAAGCACGCAACTGACCTAAAATACGTGAATTTCTTTCTGGACGAATGGGTAGCCGAGTGGACCAATTATCCCAAAGCGCAGCTCAGCATGTCTGAAATACCGTTTACGTCCATGCGTTGGTACCGTTTGAGCCTAAATAGTGCACCACTTGCAGGGCTTTGTGCAGGAATGCCGGTCCCGGAGAGCGAGGAACGAGCTGTGCTGGTGGCCTTGAAGCGGAGCGTCGAGGCGGCTCTTGACATGTTCGGCTTATTTCTCGAAACTCCCGGATGGGAAGAACCGAAAGTCAATCACGCGTTTCTTTCTCGCTTCCGCTGTGCCATCGACTCGTACTGGATGACACACGCGTTTGCGTTTATCTTGCTGTGCATTCTGTACGCTCGCGGAGCAGTGGACGAGACATTCTTCTGTCGCATACCGACGCAGAACCAAACCACTCCTCCGGCCCCCAACTCGCCCCTCTCCAACCTTCTCCACCTGGGTCTGCGCGTTTTTGATCTCGACTCCACTCATCCTGCTGCTCATATTGCTGCACTGGTCCACCAGGTCTACGATTCGCTGGAACTACTGGACGACTCGAAAAACTATGTTGAGGACGTGTTTCCAATTCCTCTTGATGAAGGGTTTGATCTTAACTTGTTTCTAGCTCGGCAGTGTGGTGACTACACGTAAGGGAACTGTTTGCGCCAATGTAGCGCAATTTCCTCGCGCGTGGCCACCCACACCAGCTTGCCTGATATATATTCGAGAAATCTGCGCAGCCCAGCTATTCTTCCTGGACGGCCCATAATCCGGGCATGCAAGCCAATGCTCAGCATTTTGGGGCTGCCATGCTCGCCCTCGCGGTAGAGCTCGTCAAAAGAGTCGCGCAGGTACTCAAAAAACTGATTTCCGGTAATATACGCCTGGTAGCCTGCATTTTTGTAGTCGTTCGTGTCCATGGTATAGGGAATGACCAAAAGACCTTCTTGCTTGAGTCCTCCAGGATAAGGCACCCAGTACGACAGGTCGTCATTGTACGCGTCGCCGTACCAGAGGAGCGGCAACCGTAGCTCGGCAAAAGTCTGCGCCAGTATGCTGCGCGATCTCTCTGCCGCCTTGCTGTGGATCATCCCGTAATACCAGCCCCTTGGTGGCCGCCCTGTTGTCTTTTCAATGGCGTGGATGCACCGTTTAACGTTTTCTTTCTCCTCAGCTGCAGTCCATCCGGAACGGTCGACCCACCTCCAGCCGTGAGACGCAACTTCGTGGCCACCACGGACACACGCCTTTCCAACCTGGGGATTTTTCTCCAGTGCCTGTCCAACAGCAAATATAGTCAGTTTCGTGCCGTACTCTTCAAAGAGTCTGAGAACTCGCCATACTCCACAGCGACTGCCGTACTCGTACAGCGACTCGACGTTCACGTCGCGAACGCCGCCCAGAGACGGTTGCACGCCAGGGCCCAGCTCTGTGGCCAGCACCTCGGTGACAGAGTCGCCATTCTCGGGACACACTTCGCTGCCTTCTTCGTAGTTCAGCACAAATGAGAGCGCGATTTTGGCCCCGTTAGGCCATTGTGGATCTGGCGTGGTCTCGCCATAGCCAATGAGATTGCGGGAACCGTACTCCAGTGAGTTTTGCATGAAGGTAGTTTTCTGCTTGTAGATAAGCTATTTATATCGGCTACCGCCGACATCCTCCGACATATATAAAGCATCTCGGCAAGCCGTGTGGCCAATGCCATCGCTACGTCCTGGAATCCTTGCAGCTTTGCCGTGCTTCTTCAACGCCGACGAGACTATTAACTATGACCAGTTTGCGAAACATACGCTGCGTCTTGCTGCGGCAGTTATTATGCCTCCTGTTGTTTCGGGGTCCATGGGCGAGGCCATCCATCTAGAGAGGGAGGAAAGGATTCAGCTGATCAAAACAGCAAGAATAGCACTAGACCAGGCTGGCTTTGCGTCCATGCCTATCATGGCAGGAGCTGGGGCACTTTCCACCAGACAGGCCGTCCAGTATGCGAAGGACGCTGCTTCGGCAGGGGCAGACAGCGTTCTGGTGATTCCACCAGGATACTATGGGCTAGGGGAAGCCAACCTGGAGGCATACTACACCAGCATCGCAAAGCAAAGCCCTATCCCCGTTTTGATCTACAATTTCCCTGCCGTTGCAGGCGGCATCGACATGTCAAGCGACCATATTCTCAGAATTGCCGGAAAAGCACCCAACGTGGCTGGCTGCAAGCTGACCTGTGCCTCCGTTGCCAAGCTGGCCCGGGTTGCCCAGTCACCACTCAGTCCACGAACCACGGGCATTCCCTTTTTCGCCCTATGCGGATTTATTGATTTTCTGCTACCAGGAATAATTGTCGGTGCACAGGGTGCGATCACTGGTGTCCCAAACTTTGCCCCAAAAACTTGTCAGGAACTGTGGGAGCTGTGCCAGAAGCAAATGACTCCGGAAAATTTGACCCAGGCTAACAAGTTGCATCTCCTCGTGTCCAACGCCGATGCGGCAGCATCCAGCGCTGGCATCCCCGGCATGAAGGCTCTACTTCACTATCTTGAAGGCTGTGAACCATATGTCCGCAGTCCACTGCTGCCTGCGTCGGCAATCGCCGCCGAAAAGCTTATCAGTGATCCTGCCACTGTTAGCATTTTGGAGCACGAAAAACAGCTCAGCAGCCGTCGGTAAGTGTCGGCGACCGCCGAGTGCCTGGTGGATACGTATTGATTTAAATACCTAAGTCTGATACTCTCTCTCTAACGATGACCGTGACTATCCAAAGACCCTCCTCCTCGGAACCCCTCTACCCAGACTACTTGCCTTTCTACGACCCGCTCGAGAAAGTCGAGGATATTGGCAAATTTGTCCACCACGACCCTGGCCACAGAGCAGACCCAGCAATGCCGAACCTGCTCAAAACAGCCACAGTCATGGACCGTTCTCCATGTATCGGCACGGAGATTCGCGGCACACATCTTTCACAGCTGACTTCTGCCGGACTGGACGAACTTGCACTTCTTGCTGCGCAGCGTGGAGTCGTCGTTTTCAGAGACCAGGACTATGCAGACATCGGGTTTGAGAGACAGCTCGAGATTGCCCGTCACTTTGGCCCCCTGCACATCCACGGCTGGGCTCCACATCCGGCAAACGGCTCTCCCGAGTTTATGATAATCTACGACGATAAGGACGATCTGCGTGTGAGACGGTCTTGGAAAGGCCGCAGTCCTATTCAGTTCCACTCTGATCAGTCTGCAGAGCCCCAGACCCCAGGAACTACGATTTTGTGCATGCTGGAGTGTCCTCCGACGGCTGGTGGAGACACTATTTTCTCCAGTGGCTACGGAGCTTACGAGCGTCTTTCACCAAAGTTCAGGAAGAGGCTGGAAGGCCTTCGTGCTGTTCATTGCAACGTCGGCGTGGCCAACGCGGAGATTTCCAACAACGGGATGTCTGCAATCCAAAGACGCGACATTTGCCGGACAGAACACCCTGTTGTGGTGGTCCATCCCGTGACCAAGAAGAAGGCTCTTTTCGTGACTCCTGTCTACACGGAGAGCATTGTGGGCATGCAGAAGGAGGAGAGCGACGCTCTGCTTAGCTTTTTGTTTGGTCACATCATCCGTGGACAGGACTTTGCGTGCCGTGTGAGATACGACAAGGGCACCGTTGTGGTCTGGGACCAGAGAATTACCTGCCACTCCCAAACCCTGGACTATCCCGTGGACCAGTACCGTCGACATGGGTTTCGGCTGACGCCGCTGGCCAATCGTCCAATACCTGCAAAAGAGGACTCGGACGATGAGCGGCTCGATGAGTATCTGTACACCTAATCTATGCAGTGTGTCGGCACTTGATGCCGACGAAAAAAATTCCTCGATAAGATAAGATAAGCTATATATAAACCGAAAAAATTGCTAAGTTGGGCATGGAGAAAGGTAGTCCCGTTGAGATCACTCAAGTGTCTGCCGACACAGACTATAAGTCGTCTTATGAGTATCTCCTCGAGCTCGAGGAGCACTATTCTGCCCATGCCCAGGAAAAACGTAGAATGCTGACCAAGATCGATCTGCGCTTGCTTCCTTACCTCTCTCTTTGCTACCTGTGGTGTACGCTCGACAAGTCAAACGCTGGTAATGCAAAATTGTTTGGAGTTCTCACAGACACCAAGATGACCGGCGAACAATTCAACCTGGCCCTCACATGTCTATTTTTCACCTACGGCCTGTTTGAGCCGGTCTCAAATATCGCCCTCAAAAGGTTCGGACCTAGGCTATGGGTGCCTTCCATGATGATTATCTGGGGTGTTGTTGCATTATGCACGGCCTTTGTTAAGTCTTGGCACCAGTACATTGGAATTCGGCTATGCCTCGGAGCGGCAGAAAGTGTTATCTATCCCGGCTCGTACTTCATTCTAAGCTGCTGGTATACCCGCTCCGAGCTGCAGACGAGAATGGGAATTTTCTATGGCGCCAACACGCTTGCCGGAGCGTTCGGTGGAGTTCTGGCTTACGGCATCGGTAATCTCGACCATGCCAGAGGCTGGCGTGCCTGGCGGTGGCTGTTTCTCATTGAAGGAGTGGCAACTGTGTTTGTTGCACTTCTCGGCTATGTCCTCCTTCCAAACTTCCCCGGAGAGAGCAAGATCAGGTTTTTTTCTGACAAAGAGCTGGATTACCTTTATCTGCGGAAAAAGTACGATAACGGGCCGGCAGGATCCAACCAAAAATTTGAGATGAAGCAGGCCTGGAACGCCCTCAAGGACCCGCAAGTCTACTTTCTCATGCTCATGTTTTAGTTTGGAGGCTCTGTGCCAACATATTCTCTTTCATACACCCTGCCAACCATGGTCAAAAACCTTGGCTACTCGGCTATCAGGGCGCAGGCTATGACGACTCCGCCGTATGTTGCGGCCACGATTCTCACTGTATCCATGGCCATTTGGGCTGACCGGTCACAACAGCGCGCTCGTTGCATTATGATTTGCTATACGATTGGCCTTGTGGGTATTATCATTTTATGGATCACAGTCCATCATCCTAACCTGCCGGGCGTGTCATATTTTGCTATTTTCCTTGCGGCTTCTGGTTACCATGCGCAGGCTCCAGGAATCGGCGCCTGGCTGTCTTTGAATATCCCGAACCCAACTAAACGGGCCTCGGCAATTGGCTTTATGATGCTTCTTGGGTCCATTGGAGGTGGCGGAATTGGATCAAATATTTATATCGACTCGCAGGCACCTTACTACCCCCTGGGATTCGGGTTCTCTGTCGGCTGCACGGTTCTTGGTGCAATGATTCCTTGCATGTGCAACTACTTCTATCTGAGATCACAGAACAGGAAACGAGATGCTCTGTCCCAAGAAGAGGTCGACAAATTCTCCCTGGAGGAGCTGGCAGAGCTAGGAGATATGGCCCCTACTTACAGGTACGTGCTATAATATACTCCTTTATCTACTATGGTTTAGTATTTGAGAGTTTAAAATACGAGAAGTAAAATACTTCAGGTGGACGTGAAAGGCTGTGACGCACCCCTATTTGTCCCAGTGCTTGTGCAGTTATTTTCCTTACACTGGAAAGTGTGTAGCCGAGTTGTTCTTGTCAGACTGCTCGAAAGTCTCTGCTTGCGGTAGTGCCAACTGTGCCCAGCTAGGAACGGCGCCCAGCCGCTGTAGTACTCGTTGTAGTTTTGACGAGGACGAATGCATGGCTTGCCATTGGTCAACAGACTGTCTTCACCTTTTCGGGCCCTGCCAGTAACCGCCGCGACACGATTGGAGTTTGATAACGGCTTAATGGCCACATTTTAGCACACCATGCCCTGGAACAGGGTCCCGAAGTCTTTTCTTGGGTTTGGCACGTGCACAAACTCGTCTTTCTCGGTAGCAGGACCGGTCTCACCGCCAATAGGATTTTAGTCCAGCTCAGCCAAAAAAAAGCAAGAGCGAACGTTGAGGAGTAGCCATGCATTCAAAGGAAAGACAGCAGGTTGACATAGCTCTGTTCGATGCAATTTTGAAAAGCTTCGCTCTTGGAAGCTTTGTTACATCCTTATCTGGAAGCGAGAAATTGAGAGTATGCTCTCCAAACAGCAGCTTCGTCTTGACTTTAGTAAAGCCTTCGCGGTTTTAAGCTCGGTTCTGTTCTACAGTGCCTGTGTTAATGCGGCCCTGCGGCCCTGCGGCTGCATTGGTTGCCGACGTGGAAGTCGAGACGAGTAGCACCATTGGTGAGGTTAGAGGCACCGCCGTAACTTTCAACAATCTCCGGAAGCGATGCTTCCTGAAGCACCATATCCACAGTCCACAGGGTCAACAGGGAAACGGCAATGCTGCTGCAGTCGCATATTAACCCAGCAATTTTTTCTTGATCTTCAGGCCATCACGCGTCAGAACCCTGGCATTCGGGCATGTATTCAGATGATTCTCGGGTTAGAAGTGAGTTCTTGATGAAATGACGCCTTTTTGCTCTTTGTGAGCCGAGTTGAGCAATTTCGGTCAATGGTTTAGATTAGGGTAGCTATGGAGGTAGTTGACTTAGTGGCTGAGGTGCTGTTTTTGCTGGTAAGCATAGGCTGTAGCAATTTCTGTTCTCATTGCTGTCAAACAGAAGCGGCTGAGCTTGTACAGGCTGGCCTGTCTGCCGGTGCTAGGCTTTTTTAAGAGGTCTGTCGAGAAGCGAAGAGTCACTTATGTGCTCTTGGCAGTGGTGCTATCATGAATCGCCAGTATTTAGAACGTGTTTTCTCAATTCAAAAATCTCCTGATCTGTGAAGAGGTGCCATACAAGCTATCAGATTGCTGAAGGCAATTGGCTGTCCTCCAGTGGAAGTTGAGACCTAAATCCTGGAAGTCAAGTGCAAGGAAGTAGCAGGAGTTCTTCTAAGTTCTGTGTGACTTCTTGAATCTACTACTAACAGAGACACTCATCAAGACACTGTGCACTTAACGCAGAAAGCACCGCTGTCCAGCAGCCTCTTACAATTTGTGACTCTGAAAGCTTTCCAGACTTCAAAAACTTGTCAAGCGAGACTCAAAATTCAGTTACCACATTCAAAAAAGCAGTTTCTTGAAATATTGAGGCCATGCTTTGTGTGGAGCCTGCCATAGGGCATTACCTCCCAATGGGTACTGCTGATTCATTTTGTTGTGGCTAGATGGCTCCAGGATATTGTCATTTGCCATGACTAAAGCAATACTACCTCATTTCCTAGTGCTGTCTTTGAAGTCTTTTACCAAAACTGAGAATATTTGCACAGTATAGCTCTATATTTGAGGTCTGTCGTATAAATTTGAGGGCGGCCTAAATGTCTCAAGTACTACGTTCCTAATCTCAGTTATATTAGGCCTCTACCTTGTGAAGAACCTTGTATCGCTATTCGCATGAAATATGCAGATTGTACACCTGCATTGGTGTATTCTACTGCGTACAAGACTCTGTTTTTCCCTTGTTAAGCTACCCAGCTCCAGCTCTAGCTTACGATCGCGCTTGCTGGTGCCGGATATCTTATCAGCAAAATTTCCATATTGGGAATACGGTAAATTTAATTTTTTTATTATATTAATTTTGTTCTTTTTCAACGTCTGCTGGTGTACATGCTTGGCGAGATTTGCCACGTAAAACGCAAAACCTTATTCTACGTTCTTGACTCAAAGCCAGACCCTAACCAAGTTACAGTCATTTCCCAATTCCTTTCTTGGGATGTAAAAGCGAGCTTAACATACACAAGTGCACCAGATCATACAGTCTGCGAACGACTCGTCTAAAACATCGCATTAGTGCACGCGAACCCGTTGTCTACAAAATGTCGTCAGCTACAGTACCCAGTTCACAAACGTCCGGCTGCTGAATGCGCGCATGCTAGGAGACAATTATGTACCTGCACACACGTCAACACATTCCACCACGTTCCCATACCAAAGGACTAATATTATTTCCGCAAGATCCAGGCACGTGCTCAAATAACATTCCGAGCTAGCCATTCTCAACAGCCATCTCGCTTAGCCAAACTGTAGCACCATTCCTGAGGATCAACATTCACTATTCATTGACTGCACGTGGACAAAACTCCACAGCTATTAATTCCCCCAGAAGCACCGACTGTAGCTATGCTTTCAAAAATCATTCTCCAAACCCTAGTGATCTCAGCTCTGGCCCTTGCAGAGCTCGATCCCCGAGCAAGTTTGAGCTCCGACCAAAACTCTGCTCTGGATCTGCTCATGCCGTCGCTATTTGGCTGGCAGCATCTGGTCTCCGAAACGGGCCAGAGCATCGAGTGCGCAGTGTGTCAGGCCGCCCTCGTGGCAGTGAACGCTGCCGTTGACGTCGTCGGTGAGGACCTGGCCTTGGAAATTGTCAAGGACATCTGCCACGGTTTCGAGAAAGAAGACGTCTGCGACGGCGTGGTGACAGAGCTCGGGCCTGTGATACTTAAAATGATTACCAGCTCGTCCGACTCTCTGCTGGGGTATGGTGGGGAGCTCATTTGCAATTCGTTCCTCACCACCTGTTCAGACTTTGAGCCGCACACCAAGGACTTTGCGCCGTCTCCCGTCTCCGACGCGGTCATCAACTACGCTTCCAACGCAAGCTCCAACGACCTGCTAACCATTTTGCACATCTCCGACATCCACTACGACCCGAACTACTTGATTGGCTCGGAAGCAGACTGCGACTACCCGCTATGCTGCGAGGCGCGCACTCAGGAGTCCAGCACCGTCAAGACCCCCGCTACCAGGTTTGGTGCTTACCAATGCGACGCTCCGCTGGACCTGGTGCAGAGCTTTGGCGAGAACCTGGAGGCCACCATTGGCGGAGCACCGGACTTTACGCTCTTCACAGGAGACGTTCCGCCTCATAACGTGTGGTATGACAACGAGACGACTGTGATGGAAGCTTTTCGCATCTACAGCACGCTGGCAAAGTACATCAAGTCGCCGCTGTACGGAACAATGGGCAACCACGACACGGCCCCGGTGAACCTCCTGGAGCCGGCAGAAATTGGCAATCTCAGCAACCAGTGGGCGCTCGACGGTCTGGGCAGCTACTTCCAGCAGTGGCTGCCTGCGTCTACCGTGCGGCAATTTGAAGACTCGTATGGTGTGTATGCTGTGCGTCCTGCTCCCGGCCTCAAGCTCATCAACCTTAACACCGTGGACTGCTACAATTTCAACTTCTACGTTCTGTACAACAGCGGTGCGGATCTAGACCCAAACGGCCAGCTGCAGTGGCTGGTGAACGAGCTGAGCGACAGCAAGCTGCGGAACGAGTCTGTGTGGATACAGGGACACATCGCGCCGGGCGACGCCGACTGCATCGTGCCGTGGTCGAACCTGTACAACTCCATCGTGGTGGACTATTCTGACATCATCAAGGCCCAATTCTTCGGCCACAGCCACGAGGACAAATTTATTCTCAACTACGACTCACAGGGCACTGCTGTCGGTGTGCAGTATCTGGCCCCCTCCATCACCACCTACACAGACCTCAACACGGGCTACAGAGTGTACAAGGTGGACCCGACGACGTACGAGGTGGTCGACTCGCTCACGTACTACGCGGACATTGCAGCCACAGGGAACGACACGCCGCCAAAGTGGCAGCTCGAGTACTCCGCCAGGGAATACCATCCGTCGTGGCCGGCTACCAGTCCGCTGAACGCAACGTTCTGGGAGACCGTGCTGCAGGTGTTGGAGGCCAACAACACCGCATTTGAGCTCTACAGCAAGTACATGTCAAAGAGCTCCTCAGCTTCCGCCGTGTGCACCACTGACGGGTGCAAGGAGCAGTACATTGCGCAGATCAAGAGCGGCAACACGCTGAACAAGTATTATGCTCCGCTTATCGACCTCGACGCCGACGCCAATCTGACGGACGTTGCCACGGCTGTCTCCAGTGCGAAACAGGGATCCTCGAGCACCGCTCTGACCAGGAGGTGTTTACATCTCTAGGATTTGCATTTTATTTGTTTATTCGCTAAGACCATGTCTCTGTGTATCAAAGTTTCTGCTTCACTCACGGTGCCTGGAAATACTGCTGCCACCAGGAACGAGATTATCACGCATAAAACGCATTTTTAATCGCCCCTGTCGTATCTCTCACGAGGTCGGCCCCCTGTTGCAGCCGCGCGTTCATCACCATGGCCGTGTGCGGCACCCCTTTATAAATGATAATCTTGCTGTCAATACCGTTCTTTAGCAGCTTTTCGTTATATGCCTCGGCCTCCGACCGCAGCACATCGCACTCGGCGGCCGCAATAAAAGCCGACGGAACGTTCTTAAAGCTCTCGTCCGGGTAGAACAGCGGGCTCGACTCAGGAGTCGTTAGCGTCTCTCCCGCAAGAGGCAGATACAGCTGACGGTACCAGAGCATTTTGGCAGCAGGCAGCTGCGGAGTGTGTTCGTTTTCTCTCCAGGACGGTTGTGTCTCGCTCGTCGCCGAGTTGTCTGTCACGGGGACAACCAACACCTGGAATTTCAGCGGCGGGTACTTTTCGCTCACAGCAGAGCTGGCGTACTTATGCGTCATAATGGCAGCCAGGTTGCCGCCAGCAGACGATCCGGCAACACAGACTTTTGTATTATCTATAGGGAGATCTTTGGTGTCCATCACGTACAACAGGGCCTCAAACGCGTCCTCAACACAAGCAGGGAACGGGAACTCGGGAGCCAGTCGGTAGTCGACGGTGATGACGAGACATTCAGCCTTGTCGGCCAAATGCGTGCAGTACGAGTTTTCCGTGTCGATGCCGCCAAGAACCCAGCCGCCACCGTGGTACCACACCGTGCATGGCCAGCCCGCGGCGGGCCTGGTGCCCTGGGGGATAAATACCCTGGCCGGGATCGGCTTCTCTGCCGAGGTGTATTTTCGAGGGATTTGAATATCGTAGATCTGCGCCATCTCTTTAGGAGGAGCCTGCCCGGGGATCACGTTTCCACCGGCTTTGGTTTTTTCGAGCGGGAACTTGTGCGTCTCAAGAATGTCTGGCCTGTTGCACAGTTCTTCCTCAAAGAACTTGATGTACTGCGGGTCGAGTTTGCCGGCCATTGAGGGGTGGATCTTGAGCGGGAGCTCGCTCAGCGGCTCGGGCCACGAGTTGTCAGGATTGAGGGTGACAGAGTAGGGAGACATAACGTTGGCTGATAAATGTCGAGCGGACGGAGCTGTTATATATTTCCTCTATTTTTCCATTTCCGCTTATCGTGCGGAGTTAATTTTGCGGCGGTGGGGGCGCAGGTGCGCGCGCAGTGATAAAAAGACGGACAAAATTATTCACCTTATACGTATCGCGATGAAATACCCATCTGAACTCACCGCTCTGCCCAACAAAGAAGAACTGCTCAAAGCGTACAAAGGTGTTAGCATTGAGTCCCTGCCTACTCCTGCCTTTGTGGTCGACAGGGCAACGTTCCAGAGAAACTCGGACAAAATGCTCGAGAACGCGCACAACCTCGGCGCCGATTTCCGTGCCCACGTTAAGACTCACAAAACCCTCGAGGGAACAGCACTGCAGCTCGGCACAGGCAAGTACAAGACCGACAAAATTGTCGTGTCGACGCTCAGAGAGGCGTGGGGTCTCCTGCCGCTTATCTCTAAGGGCTTGATAAAGGACATTCTTTTCAGTCTGCCGGTCGTTTCCAGCCGTCTGGAAGAGCTTGCAGAGCTGGGCAGCAAAGTAGAGAATCTGCGTTTGATGGTGGACAACCTGGAGCAGCTGGACATTCTGGCTGCGTACAGCAAAAAACACTCGCTGTCCAGAAAATGGAGCGTCTTCATCAAAATCAACATGGGCACCAACAGAGCGGGCTTTCTGCCTAGCTCAGTGGGAGAGCTCCTTGAGAAAATTCTCAAGACAGACACCACCCAGACGGTCTCGCTTTACGGCTTTTACTGCCATGCGGGCCACTCGTATACCTCTAAAAACTTTGAGCAGGCCCAATCCTTCTTGATTTCTGAGATCTCGAGCGTGAACGAGGCATGCAAAGAGGCGCTCAAGTTTGACAAGTCTCTGAAGCTCCAGATGTCTGTTGGGGCCACTCCGACGGCCCACGCGGCTGAAAAGTTTGACCTCAGCACTGTGGGCCAGCTGTTTGGTAATCTGGAGCTCCATGCCGGAAATTATCCATTCTGCGACCTGCAGCAGCTGGCCACAGGCTGCATCGAGGTCTCTGATGTTGCTTGCAAGGTTATCGCTGAGGTAGTCTCTGCCTACCCCGGAAGAGGCTCCAAGGCTCCCGGCGAGCAACTGATCAACGCGGGCGTCATAGCGCTAGCACGCGAGTCTGGCCCGCTGCCTGGGTTTGGAAAAATCGTGTCTCCGCCAGGGTACGAAAACTGGGCTGTTGGACGGCTCAGCCAGGAGCACGGGATCCTGACGCCTGTGGACGAGAAAGACACGAAGCTGATTCCTATAGGCACCGTTGTCAGCATTATCCCGCAGCACAGCTGTATCACAGCAGCGTCGTATCCATGGTACTACGTTGTTGAGGACGGCAACACGGTGGTGGATATTTGGGTGCCATATAGGGGATGGTAGTATGTAGCTATAAAGAGTCCTCAATTTTAGAGAGCCGTTCAAATAGCGGCAGGTGTTTTTTCCACACGTCCATGTCCATCGAGTGGTTGAGTGGGGGCCGTCCGCGCTCGGTTTCTCCCAAGCCGTACTTGTACTTGAGAGCGTACTTGAGACCGATCAGGTTGGTGGCAGCCGTCATCTCGTTGATTCTCGTGATCATGTCCTGCAGCTCCAGCGCCTCCTTGTATCTGCGCGCTTTGTACAGTTCCATGATTCTGAGGAGACATTTGGGGAAGACGTTGGAAAATCCGTCGATTGCTCCGCTCACATTCACAGAAAGCGACGGAACAAGAACCTGTCCGACGCCTGAGAGAGGAGTGAAGTCGGACGCCTTGAGCTTGTCGTTCTGGCCCAGCATCGTGTACAGCGGGAAGTTGAAGTTGGTCAGCTTGCAACCGACAATATTCTTGTGCATCCCAATCCTGGAAAATGTCTCGCCCGTCAGATCAATGCCGTTTTGGACCCCCGGATAGTTGTACACGACTATTGGCAGCGGCGACTTGTCTGCCAGGTCGTGAAACCAGGCCTCCAGACCGTGCTGGGTAGTGATTGCAGAGCCGTAGTAGCCAGGGACAAGCACGGTCATCATATCGGCGCCGTTTTCCTTGTAGGCAGCAGCCTGGTGGCAGAGCTCAGGAACGCAAGATCCGACACCGCCTGCTAGGACTTTGAACGAGGAATCAGGAACAGCGTCTTTAATCGACTTCACAATGGCAGCTCTTTCTTCCAAAGGCAAGTGGACTGCTTCGCCCGTGGAGCCTCCGACCAAGACCCCCGAGATGCCGCTGCGATAGAGCAGCCGCGCGTGCTCCTGCTGCGTGGCAATGTCGAGAGACTGGGCCGAGTCGTTTTTGAAAAATGTTGGCACCGGAGAGTAGATGCCGTCCTTGAGTGTCTTTTCCAGTGTCATTGGAGAATATAGTGAGCTGAGAGTTTGGCAGCTTGGTCTTTTTTTCTTGCGATAAATATACCCTCCACCACTGAGGAGATAGATTGTGGGGGGCGTCACATAGTTAATTATCTTCGTACATATTCATGCAGAAAACCACGGGGCTGCCCATGCTTCTTTGGGCGCAGTTGCGGAGAAGTTTCGCGTACTCACGACCAATTTCCCACTTGCCATTCTTGTAGCCAGCGGCAAGGGCGAGCAGCAACCCCACCATGTAATTTATGTGCGAAATTCGGGGCAGAGTGGCTGCGTACTCGGCCACGGCCTTTTTGTACTCGTCTGGGTCCATCTGGTTAAGCTTCCGAAACGGAATCCCGGTCTCCTTGACAAGTGCTGTCCGGATTCGCCGCAAGTACGCGTACGCGTCCTCCATCGCGGGGGCATAGTCACCGTCTAGCTCGATCTTGGATTCTGGCGACATAAACCGCGACTCTGGACCGTAGTTGTAAAACGTATATGCCCACAGCGACAATGTCGCCGACACAATCACGTTCGGCCGGTAAATAAACGGGTCTTTGTCCGGCTCGTAGACGTAATTCACCTGGTCAGTGCTGTTTTCCGGCGAGAGCATCATCTCGAAGAGCAGGATGTACGAGTTGACTGCGCAGATTGCGCCCGCGGCTGACTGCGCCCACTTGGCGATCCGACGCACCACCACATCGTAGTCCTCCGTCAGGACCGGCACGTTCATCCGTTTCGGTGCCCCCGCGTAAACTATGTAGTCGTAGTGGGTGATCCAGAGATGGATCTGTGCGGAATGGTATTCGGGAAATTTGCACCTGGTATCCTGGGCGTGGAATGAGGGCGGCAATAGCGCCGGTCCGCTGTCCGCGTGGTAGAGACAGGAACCTGCATGGCAGCAGCTTCGCTGCGGTAACTGCACTCTCCAATGGTCCAAAGCTGATGCAATGCTGGCCTTCCAGTTTTCGCGCTTTGAGTCCCAGCCCAGCAGCGTCAGCTGCGACTCTTTCTGGCTCATCTGGATGTTGAGATTGAGCAGGCCCGCAAGCAGGATTTTGCGGCCAAAAGGACCTGTTTGGACCGGCTCGTTGCGGAGCAGCCGAGTAAGAGCGTCGGTGAAAATTGGCATCTGCATCACAGACGCCGGAGCGTTATTCCGGTCGAAGTTGTCGTACTCCCACAAATCGTCCGGACACGGCAGCGAGAGCTTTATCTGGCTGTCGTAAATGCTGACTGGGTGGCCGTAGACGACTGCGTGGATGGTGTCGATGTAAAAAGACATCCACGCAGCGCGTTTCATAGACTCGCTCTCGATCCATGTCGTCCACAAGCTGTTCGAGTGGCTCGGGTCGGCGCTGCGTCCCTTGAGTGGGTCGCCCCCCAAAATCGGGCTTCTGCGCAGAAGCTGGATCTTGGTGCCGTTGTATATACATGCTCGCTCGTGCAGCCGGCGCGACGTCTTTGTGATCTCGTACGTCTCCAGCATGAGCAGGCTCTGGATCACCCACGAGCTGCAGCCGGGCTTGGCCTCGTCGCACGAGAAAATCAACCACCGTAGCGGGTACGCGATCAAGTCCGCAAGGCCGTCGGGATCGCCGAGCTCCACGTCCTCCGGGATAGGGCACTTCTTGGCAAAGGAAGCCCCGATCATCACCATGGCCAGCAGAAGCAGCGGGTGGACCTGGAACGTGGAGAAAGACGGTCTGTGGAGAATGGGGTACTGCGGATGGTACATTTGCCAGTACAGTTTTAGATAGAAGTGCACCTTGGAAACCTCAAAGTCTGGATGTCCTTCGAGCATCGGCAGCCGCTGCGACATGTGCAGCAGGATGTTCTCGTCTACGTCGGTCTGGTAGTTGGCGTTGGGGAACTCGGGGGTGATGGCCAGCACCTCGTTGAGCATTGTGGCGGTGTCCGCACCGAGCTGGTGGTAATCGGCGAACAACGGGCCCTGAGAGGTTTGGTGGTCGGCGTGGGTGGGCGAGACCTCTGTCAGATCGTGCATGATCCAGCGTATCAGGCGGGACGGCGAGAATGTCGGTGAAACAAGCGCAGGGTCCCCCACGTTGGTGGCAAAAGGCCCGATCTGCGATGTGGGCTGCGAAATCACCTCCTTACCAGCGGAGTCTGAGCTCTCTGTTGACACCGTCTGCCCAGCGGGTGGAGAGCCTTCCTGCCGCGCGCCGTCAGCCTCACCGGAGGCGCTCTCTGGCAGCTGGCTCCCCCGATCGAGCCGACGAAAGTGCCGGTTCTGGTGCTTAGTCTTGATGTCCAGCCGTGTAAACTGTGCGGTGCATCCTGGGACCTCGCAACGGAAGCGGCCTTCGGAAGTGTGATTTCGCGCGTGCCGTTTCACGTGGTCAGACCGCGAAAACTGCTTGCCACACCCGGGGAACTCGCACACGTACAGCCCCAATTTTCGAGGGCCTCTTTTCCTTGGGGCCTGCTGCATCTGGTGGTGCACCACTGGAAAAAATAAAAAATAGTGGCGGCCCAGGGGACAGACCTTCCCCCCACCCAAGTCTCGGCTATGTTCTATCACACTATCCAAGATACGCTTGAGTGCTATTATCTGCCAAGTTTTTCTCTCTGCTGATTCCATCGCGGTTGGCAACGTTATCTCCCCACGCCTCGGTGGGGGACTCGATAAGAAATCGCATATACGGGGTAAATTATAAATAGCGATGCACCATGGCAGCAATCACTCAACCATGAATCCCAAACTGCACGAAACAGTTGACGTCGTGTCCCTTGAGCAGCGCGTCACCGACGACAAAGAACCCGTTCCCGGCGATCCAGTGCGCGTGCTAGACCACAAGCTGGAGCGTCGTATCTGCTGGAAGTTTGACATCAGGATCCTGCCGCTCATCACGGTAATGTATCTGTTCAATGCTCTAGACAAGGGCAATATTTCCAACGCGAAAACAGACAAGCTGGACGTGGATTTGGGCATCAAGGGCCAGCAGTGGAACAACATGCTCTCCATCTTCTATATCCCGTTTGTGCTGTGCGCCTTTCCGCTCTCGCTGCTGATCAAACGCTACAACGCTGCCAACGTGATTCCATGCTTGATGTTCACCTTTGGCAGCATCACGCTGCTTGCTGTGTCGGTGTTCAACTACGGCTCGCTCATGGCGGCGAGGTGGTTTCTCGGGATGTGCGAGTCGGCTTTTTTCCCCGGCATCATCTACTACCTGAGTACGTTCTACCGCCGTGGCGAGCTGGCCAGACGGCTGTCGATCTTTTACGCCGCCGCCAACATCGCCAACGCGTTCTCGGGGCTGCTGGCGTTCGGCGTGTTCCAGATTAAAACGGACAGACTCCACGGGTGGCAGATTCTGTTCTTGATCGAGGGTGGAGCTACCGTGATTGTTGCGGTGTTTGCGTTCTTCTACCTGCCGCGGACGGTCGAAAAAGCGGCGTTTCTTACCGAGGAAGAGCGCGAGTGCGCCGTCTGGCGCATCCGCACAGACTCGTCCTCGCTGTCCACCGAGAAAGTGTCGCTCAGGGACGCCGCCAAGGTGTTCAAGCATCCGGTCGCCATAGCGTGGATGTTTGAAGAGATCTTCATCGGAGTGCCGCTCAACTCCATCAACAACTGGTTCCCGCAGATCATTCAGTCGCTCGGCAAGGGCGCTGTCATGACAAACCTGTACACGGTTGCGCCTAACGTGTGGGGCGCCGTGGCTCTGATTTTCTGGTGCTTTGCTTCGGACCTGCTGCGCGTGCGGTCCGTTTTCATCATCCTGGCCGTGGCCTCCACGCTGATCGGATTCGTCGTGTTTGGTTGCATCGACACGCAGGCACACATTGGCGTCGCATACTTCTCGTGTTTCCTGATGACTACCGGCTCGTCCGCTTCGTCGGTGCTCACTTCGACCTGGTACAACAACAATACGCCGAACGAGAACAGAAGAGTGGTGATCTCTGCCGTCGGCGTGCCGCTGGCAAACGCGGCGGGGCTGATCTCGACCAACATCTTCCGCGCAAAGGACGCGCCGAAATATGTGCCCGCTCTGGGTATCACGGCCGGGTTTGGCGGTGCTGCTATCATCGTGGTGGCCAGTATTTTGGTCTTCATGGTGGTGGACAATCGTCGCCGAAACAGGGCGCAGGGCGTCTCCTGGACGTACAGAGACGTCCCCACGTACTTGCTTGCCGAAGGCCCTTCGAACCCAAACTACAGATGGATGTTCTAAGTATTTTATTAATCTAGTGTGGCCACTGCTTCCAGCTCGTATTTAATAGCTGCATCCATAAATGCAACCACGACACAGCTTCTGGCCGGTTTTTGCGGGAAATACTGGCCGTAGATCTCGTTGACGACTTTGGAGTACTCTGCGTGGGAGATGAACATGGTCACCTTGAACACCTTGTCGAGAGAGGAGCCGGCAGCCCTGAGCACGTTCTCGAGGTTTTTGATGGCCAGGTGCACCTGATCCTCGACCTTTTCTGGGGTTTCGCCGGTGGCGTAGTTCGAGCCAATAATGCCCGACGTGAACACGTGGCCGTTGCTCACAAAGCCCGGCGAGAGCACCGGATGTTCCTTGCCCTGGATGGAGTCCCAGCTAATTTTTTCAGCAACCATTTTGCTGCAACGGAGATCTGGCGAGGATTATATAATGTCGGCGGTGGTGGGGTAGATTATTTTTGCCCGCTCTGCCTTCTCCAGCTAGTGGGGGTGGTGGTGGCTGAGAAGTGTGGCTAGTGAGATCATGTGCGGCGGTGAACGTAATTAGTTAGCTGTACGGTCAATCTCGAAGATGCTCAACCGTGAGCACGTACATCGGGCACGTAAAAGTGCCCAAACCGTATCCAACACACCAGAAAATGACAGAAATAGCTCTGGCACCGTTTGCCATTCTATCGTCGAGCCGGCCAAGAAGCTCGCCTTGAGTCTAGCACCAAGCGCTGCCATCAGCAAATGAGCCTGGTCGACTAGAACTCCCCAAGAGCTCAGAAGTGCCAGCATAGCACGAACAAAGCTTCTCCAGGCCACCATTCCAATCCGCTCAAGTCAACCCTTCAGCTGCGTTTGCGACGTTAACATCGCTGCCGGTGGCAGACTCTACATCAACGCCATTGCGGTGCTTCCGAGAGATTATCATCGGGAAAACTTGCAAACTCGGGCCGAACTCATGCATCGTCACTGCAGACCAAACGCTGGATACAAAGGCCAAGGCGATGGCGCGGACCTCTTCCACAGCGTGATTGTCGGCGACATCTGCTGGATAGCTGCGAATGCAACCACTTTATCAGGAGTGGCTCCGGACGACCACAGTCTTTGAGAGGAACAGTGGTGTGGTTGCTGCGCAAGCAAGAACCATGTTCAAGCTGATAAGAGACAATTGACGTTAATTAGTTGCTTGGTGCATCCGCGAATGTGTAGCCGATTTTTGAAAATGCATACAAAATCCCAGATAAGCTGATAACGGTTGCATGTTGCTTATCTTGGGGCAAAAATAAAGGATATAAGTTTCACGGTCAGTCCGTCCTACACCCAATGAAAGAAGCTAAAGTCACTGTCGACGTCGAGTACCACAGTACTCACTCTGAGGAGCTGGTTCTGGGCGAGCCATCTGTCGCAGCGAGACTATTTTATGCCCAAAGATCGCTGGAAAAGCAGTACCAGGAAGTGCGTTCAGAGTCCTCGATAGGCTGGTGGCACGACTGGGTGCACAGCACGCTCCACATCAAGTCGCTCAGGGCCAAGACTGACACGTACCAGACGTGGAAGAATGAAAGGCTGGCGATCCGGTCGTCGCACTGGCTGGCCTGTGCCGGCCTGCTCACCTCGGAAATCATGGGAGCCACGCTCATCCCCAACTCGTACTCGCTTGTGGGGTACGTTCCCGGAAACCTGATCCTGGTGGTGTGTTTCTTCCTCACTCTGATAGCCGGTGGAATCTGCTGGTGGCTGTTTCTTCTGTTCGACTCGCCAGAGTACCCGGTCAAGTCTTTTTCCGAGATTGCCAAGATCCTCGGCGGCGAGACATGGGCGCAGATCGTCATCTTTCTCCAGGTCATCGCCATGCTGCTCACGGGCGCAAACATAGCAATCAGCTCGCTCGAGTCGATGGTCATTCTGCAAGATGCGAGGTACTGCTGGACAGGCCTGCTGATTGCTCTGTGTGTTGCCCTCGGGGTTATCTCAAGCCTGAAAACGTTCAGCAACATCGGGAAGTTCTGTCTCGCCGTGTCTGCCATCAACTACGTGAACCTGTTCGTGCAGATGGGCTACTTTGGGGAGCCAAACTGGGCCAACGCAAAGCACCTGCTCGGCCTCGACAAAGACACCATCGTGACGTACGTGGTGGCCCCACAGTCGCTCGTCAACAAGCTCGTGGCGGTCTCCAACATCTCGTACGTTTTCGCCGGCTCTGTGGTGTTCCCGGAAATCATCTCGGAGATGAAGAGACCCTGGGACTTCTGGAAGTCCATGGTCGCCGCCCAGAGCGCCATCGTGTGCGTCTACCTCATCTACGGCAACTACGTGTACGCAAAACAGGGCCAGTTCTCAAACTCGCCGTCCGTCTTCGGCCTCTCCGACACGACGGCCCTCAAGGGTCTCGCGGTGGTCACGTTCCTCGTGGGTGTGTTCCAGGCTGTGTTCTACGGTCACGTGAACACCAAGATCGTCTACAAGAACTACCTGCCGCGGATATTCCCCGACCTCGACATCCGCAGCAGGAGGGGCCAGCTGCTGTGGTACCTGGCCACAGCCGTCGTCTGGCTGATCATCTACATTGTGGCGACCGGCGTTCCGAACGTGGCTTCCATCTCGGCGTTCACGTCTGCGCTGACGATGATCCCGCTGACGTACGTGATCCCGTTCTGGTTCTACATCTGGGCGGCGTTCATGAAGACCAACGCCGAGCTCATTGAGGACTACAACGAGGCCACCATGGAGGCCACCGGCTACGAGCGGCCGTTCGCGGTGTTTTTCAGGAACGGCTTCCGGAAGCACGGCTGGATCACAGTCTTCTACGTTTGTCTGACGCTTGCGTCGCTCTCCTTTGCCGGCCTGGGTATCTATGGGTCTATTGAGTACATGAAGGCCATTTTCGCGACTACTCCGGCCACCTCGTTTTCGTGCACGTCCCCAATATAATCTGATTAGCACATATAGTCGGTAAAAGGCGCTCCCAGGTTCGACCAGCCAAAGTCCCAGGCCATGTTTGTGCTGAGCCAGTCAACATCCTCGGCCGGCGAGTTGGGCATTTTGGGCGAGCGCAGCAGACTCTCGATGTTCAGTCGGTCGGTCTTGGGCAGCGGAGCCGCCACGTTGGCCACCTCGATCAGCTCGTCCTTCATGTGTTCGAACGCCGAGATGCTGGCGATCTCGATCTTGTTGTTTGCCGCGGCCTCCAGCATGCGCCGCGTCTGCTGCAGAAAATCGTAGTAATAGGAGCCCAGCTCCCAGCGCGCTTTGTAGAATTTGAGAAAGTTCACGCAGTACTGGTAGTACAGGTCTGCGTCGTGGAAAGTGGGGTCGTAGGAGGGGAAGTTGTGCGCGTAAATGAGCATGGAGGCTGCCGTGAGGCCGCAGTAGCCCGAGTACGAGTTGCAGAACAGCTTCCGTCGTTTTTGCAGCTCGTCGAAAATGGTGGCTATCATGCGGCTGCAGTCAAAAACTAGGTGCGCGTTTTCCCGCCACCAGCCCTTTGGCGCGCCGCAGAGCTCTTTGGGCAGCGGCTGCGGGCCCTTGGGCCCGGTATCGTCGAGGGGAACAAACGGAAAGTAGTTGCGGCGAATTAGGATCTTGGAAATCAGTATCCCCAGATGCAGGTAGCAGAAGATGGTTCCCTCGCCTAGAGAAAAGTGGGCCTCGAGGTTCGACAGCGAGAACTTCTCCTTCGGCCCCAGCTGCACCTCCAGCGACTCTATTCGCATGTTAAGGCTGTGCCACTTGCTTGCCGGGTCCCACGGCGCCTCTCTGTAGTGGTTGCGGCCGCCCTTAAAAATCCACGTATTGCAGTCTGTCCAAATGTCCGTGGTGTACACAAACAGATAGACCAGCTCGGACGTCTGGCTGAGATTTATGTCGCCGAGGTACCTGGCCGGCCCCATGTGGCCAAAGAGAAGGTCCTTATTCGGCATCGGGAGTCTATATCTCGTCAGTCTGGCGCGACCGTCCGTGTATCCCTCGCGCAGCGACAGACACGTCAACTGGTATGCCCAGATGCTGCGAATATAGAACTCCTGCTCGATCAGCGAGCCGCTGGTGTTCTTCTGCTTGGTCAGCGACGTGTACACGCGGTCGGCAAACCCGCCAAACAGGTATCCTTTATTGGTTTTTCCGGTCTGCCAGCTGAGCAGCAGCCATATGACGCTTGCCTGCAGCAGCACCAGGTAGTCCATGCTGACCCTGTCGTCAAGTTTCTGGAGCAGCTTGGTCTCGAACGCGGCGATAAACTCTGAGTTTGCGGGGGTTTTGTCGAGAAACGGCGAGCTCAGGGCACACAGACCGAGGCACACCACCGGGTCGAGCAGCCGGAACAGGTTGATGTTCGCGGGAAAATACAGAAACACCAGTTCCGGGTGGTTCTGCACGGTGATCTCAATACACGTGTTCACCAGGCTCTCTGACAGCTCCATTTTGCCGCTGTCGATCTTGAGCAGCACCGTGTTGGCCCGCTTGTATTTGCGAAACTCCTGCGTGGTGAACAGCCGGCACTCGTCGCGGCCGTTGCGTGTTTGGCAATTCTGGCACGGCGCGCAGCCATTGTGGATACACTTGATCTTTTTCAGGCGGCATCCAGCACAGGCCACAGTGACTCTCATGTGGAAGTATGTCGGAAATACTGGAAATTGATAAGCTTTTTGATCTTAGATAAGCAGTTATGAAATCTGCAATATTTGACATGCTAGCTAAGGTTGATAGATGCGCAATTGGTCTCTGCGGTCGCGTTGGGCGGGTTTTCTTCGGGTGCAGACAGATTCTCCGGCAGGTTCTGGGCTACGAACTCGGCGGCTCCGACCGCACGTCTCGTGTCCCGCAAACTGCGTTCTCCGTCCCTGCGCCCAGGACGGCACGCTCTACTTTCCGTTTCCGCACAAAGCCGCTTACTGCATCCCGGGAGCGCAGTAGATCGCGTTTTTGGAGTGCTGTTCGGACGGATCGACCGTCCTCCGTGGTCCGCTGCAAGAGCGGTACTGCGTTGCTGACCGGAACGTCGCTCTCAGAGAATTCCTGCAGCAGCGACAGCACGCACTGTCGCACCAGTTCCTGTTTCTGCACGTCCAGCTGCGCAACCAGCAGTTCGTTCCCCAGAGTGCTGCTCGAGGCTGCTGTGATGAACTCAGTCTGCCGATGACGCCACCTTCTGCCTCGGCAGAGCCCAGTGTCCCAAGGCCAATTCTGGCAGAGGCACCGGTGAAAGCACGGTTTGGCCCTGCCGCTACGAGTGCAGTACGGAGGCAGATTTATTCCAGCCACAATTCTCACGTGGCTAGTTACTGAGAGCACGCCGGGTACTATTCCTCCATTTCGACCGTTTGGCGCTACAGCACCCGGAGCTGGTCCTCGATGATCACCTTGATGCTGCCGTTCTTCGGGTCGCTCGAGAGCCTGATCGCCTCGTCCGCCTTCTCAAGCGGGAACCGGTGCGTCACAAACTGCTGCACGTTGACTATGCCGTCGCTGATCAGTCTGATCACCGCAGGCCACGACTGGTGGTATCTGTTGATAAACTTGACGTCCACCTCTCCCAGAGACAGATGCATAAACGGGAAGTTGTTGATGATGTCTCTGCCGACGCCAATCACCATCAGCGTGCCGCTCCGTCTCACAACGTAGGCTCCTGTGACAATACTGTTTTCCGTGCCCGTGCACTCCAGCACTCTTGGCGGCGCGTCCTCCTCTGCTGGCCCGAAAAGTTTCCGAATGCCGATCGCGTTTTGCTGCGGACTCAGCTTCGGGTCGACCTGGTACGTTTGGACTCTTGGCACGAGCTTCTTCGCGAAAGCAAGACGTTCTGCCGACAGGTCGGAGATCGCAAGCGGAGCCGCTCCGCTCGCGTTTGCCAGCACGAGCGTCGCAAGGCCGATCGGCCCCGCGCCGCAGATCATGGCTCCACGGCCCAGCTCGAGCTCTGCGCGCTCGATGCCGTGGTACGCCACGCTGAGCGGCTCGCACAGAGCACCTTCCTCAAACGTCATGCTGTCCGGGATCTTGAACAGCGTCGTGGCCTTGGTCTTTCTGAACCGCTGCATGGTGCCGTGGCACGGATAGACGGACAGAAAGTCGACCTCCTCGCACAGATTGTAGTCTCCCTGGAGACACAGGAAACATTTGCCGCACGGCATCTGCGGCTCGATGGCCACTCTGTCGCCGACTTTCACGCTCGTGACGCCCTCGCCGACCTCAACGACCTCGCCGGCAGCCTCGTGTCCCAGAACACAGTTTCCGAGGACCTTGAGCTCGCCAATTTGTCCGTGCCTCCAAAAATGCACGTCCGAACCACAGATGCCGGTGGCCTTGATGTGGACGAGGGCCTCGCCTGCACCGGGCCGCTCGACGGGAGCCTCTTTGATCTCGAGGGTGTGGTCCTTGGTGACCTGAAGGGATGGGTTAGGGAAGCTGTGGTAAGTCATGGGGAGTATGCGCTTCGATGGGGGCACGGAGGCCTATATATGGGGAAGCTGAAAGGCATGGATTAGGAAATATTTGGCGCGCTTCCCCACACAGAAAACTGACACGATACATGGGCTTAGATATTAATTGCCGACATGCATAAAGGCGACGACGCCGAACTCCTCCGTTCTGCATGCGTGGCGTAAGTAAAAATATATTATGCTGGCAGCGTAGGCAGTGCCGTGGATCCTGGACGCAGGGCCCGTCAGGCACGGACCGTTCTACGTCCGTCGGCTTTAGGTCGGCGATAACCTCGGGCGGAAATATCGGGACCTTGCAAAAAATGATGTAAAAACGAGCGCGATCGTCACTGTTCGCCATGTCTCGTATCCTGATCATTGGAGGGTCGTTTGGGGGCCTTGGAGCCCTGAAAAGTATCATCAAAAAGGCCCAGAGCCTGACACAGCAGCTGGACGTCACGCTGGTCGAGCCAAAGCTCGGCATCCTCAATATCCTCGGCATCCCCAAGGCGGTGCTTGATCCCGAGTTTGCTGCCGAGTCGTTCGTCTCGTTTGAGCGCGCCAACGTGTACTGGGACACCATCAGGCTCCAGGAGGGGATGCAGTTTGACACGAAAAAGGTGCTGAGGAGCGAGAACGCCGACAAGCCGCACCTCGGCATCGCTGCGGAGGAGCTCAAGTACAACCCCAACTTGAAGCTGCACTTTGTCCAGGGTCATGTGACCGAGCTCGCGAACAACGTTGCCAAGGTGAGGATCGGGAAGCTCGACAAGGGCCGGCTGCCGGAGAGGTACAGGCCAACGAAGCCGGCCGAGGAGGTGGAGATTCCGTACGACAGCGTTATTATTGCGAGCGGCCGGACGAGAAACTGGCCGCTGGACCCGCTCTCGTCGACGGCAGAGGAGCTCCGGACAGAGATGGCGGACTCCACGGAGCAGATCAAAAATGCGCAAAAAACAGTGGTTATTGGCGGCGGCGCCCTGGGAATCGAGCTTGCCGGCGAGATCAAGCACCAGTTTCCGGAAAAAGAGGTGGTGCTGGTCCATCCGCACGCTACTTTGCCACCAGAGCGTCTGGTTTGCGACCAGTTCAAGCAGCAGGCTCTCGAATTCCTCAAAAATCTCGGAGTTGAGGTGCTGCTCAACACGAGAATCAAGGCGGAGCAAGAAGACGGTGTTCTGGTGACCACCGACGGCAGAACCATCACGAGCGACCTGACGTTCTGGTGCAACTACAAGAAGAACAATGTGGAGTTTTTGGCGAAAAGCTATCCGAACGTGTTCGCTCCGAATGGTGACATCCTCGTGACGCATCAGTACGAGGTGAAGACCGACGCGGGCGACGTACTGGGCAATATTTTCGCGGTCGGTGACTTGGTGGACCTGCCGCTCGTCAAGACTGCCGGATGGGCCTACAGACAGGGCTGCCAGGCCGGTAACAACGCCGTGGAGCTTGTACTGAACGAAGACAGAGGCGGCTACGAATCCGTGGACAAGGAGTACCTCGATAAAGGGGGCATGCTCTTGGTGGTGGGCATGAACCAGAGTGTTTGCGAGGACTTTTTTGGGCAGATCTTTATCAACGACCCGGAGCATTTGAAGATGTATGAGGATTATAGACTCAGCGTTATGTTCCCGACGTACGGGCTCACAAAGGAGCAGAAGTGAATGAGACCATTTGTATGTATGCATAGGCACAGTACTGAAGATTCCTCAGCTGGCCTTCCATGGGCCCCGTGAGGCGCGGGCAGTGATATAATATCTTTTTTTATGCGGTTGCAGGGGAGTAGATTGAGAAAGGTGCTATGAATGGCCATGGAATGCGTGCTAACCACAGGCTTACGGAATGCTGCCGTGGATCTGGGTTCTTTCTGCTACAGCTGCACGGAAACTGACCTAGCAGAGTATCGTGTCAATTGAGAAGCTTGGCCTGCAGAGTGATTGTGTGACGCTGGCCACTGAAACTGTGGTCCCCACTCAAATTGTCTCTTCAGGCTTAATGATTTTGGTTATGACTAGGACGCGCCGCTTTGAACTCTTCTAGACAGTCTATCCCACGATATCCTACGCGAAACCCTTGGCAGGAACTCTCTGTCCCTGGTGGACATAACTATGGTGTAAGGCACGTGGCTTTCAAAGCTGGGCAAGCTTACTGACTCAGGAAGATGCTACAAAAGTCAAACGGCTCTCCAATGGCCGCACAAAAAGAGCAAGAGTTACCAGCCCAAAAGCATTGCTCGCATTGTCGAGCTTTTAACTGAACTTGGCCTAGAGTAGAGAGCAGGAATGTGCCAGATACGATGGTGCTTCGATGGTATTGTATAACGAGTAACTATTTGCTCGCGGGATATGAATGGACTGACCAAGGGTTAGTATTACGCCCTCTTTTCCACCGCTATCATATTTTGCTCGTCCAGCCACATCGCTCTCCCGGGGCTGCAAGCTCACTCCGGCTCCCTCGTACAAAAGTTTGCTCTGCAAAAATTATATAAATCCAGGCTCGCTAGCAACTTCCAATCTACAACTCAGCTTTCATCGATCAGCTCCATTAGTTCATCTCTACTCATACACAGCAACACACTCCAACTCAACCTTGAGTCTGGCGTCGGGGAATTGGACAACGACACACGATCTGGCTGGCTGGTGCTTGAAGTACTCCTTGTAAACGGCATTGACCGCTGGGGCATCGAGCGGGTTGGCAATGAACAGCAGAACCTTGAGCACCTTGTCGAGCGACGAGCCAGAACTCTTCAGCACCTTCTCTAGGGCCTCGATGGCGTACTTGGTCTGCACCGCGACGTCCTCAGGAACCGTGCCGTCTGGAGCGAACCCGACACTTCCAGAGGTGAACACATGGCCATTGCTCTTGTACGCTGGCGACAGAATGGCGTTTGGAGCGGCTCCGACTTCTTCCCACGTAACTTTTTGCATTTTGGGTGAGAAACTTTTTCAGCGAGCAAGCTGTTTTAAGCTACCTACGATAAGGTGCACACCTCGCACCTGCATACCAAGGCCGCAAGCGGCATGTCCGACGATTGCATAATCAATCACTTCTATACACTTACAACGGATACTTCTTGAAGTACTGGGTCAACGTGTCGACGACAGACTTCTCCAGAGGGATGAAGTTGTAGCCTCCCAGCGGCTCGACAACCGAGGCCAGGTCGTACTTGATCTCCTTCTTTGGCAGGTCGTCCAGGTCCAGCACTTTGTCGGCATACTGCGGGAAGTTCTTCTTGATGATAGCAGCAACCTCGCCAGGGTAGAAGTTGGACGACGCAATGAAATTTCTCTGGTTTCTAATGGCCTCTTTCTCCAAAGGTAGCACGTGGAACTCGGCAACGTCTCTCACGTCGACGGCCAACGAGCTGATTTTGGTAACTTCTCCATTCTTATCGGTCAATTTCGCAATGTCGACAATGTACTGGTTCGAGGTGTTGAGCGTCTCGTTGACGGCAATGTCAAACAACTGAGGACCCACCACAAGAGGCGGGTTGACAGTCGACAGACTGAAGCCCGGTTTTTCGTCCTCGACGAATTTTCTTGCAGCCTTTTCGGCCGAGATCTTGGACGCAACGTACGCAACAGTCTCGTTGTCGACGTCGTCCCAGGTCACCGGGTTCCACGAGTCCTTGGTGTGGACGTGGGTGTAGAGCTCGTCGCCGTTTTTTTTCACCGCGGCAAACGAAGACGTAACCACAACGTGGGTGACCTGAGGGGCGTATTTCTTGGTGGCTTTGAGGATGTTGAGCGTGCCGTTGACGGCAGGAGTCAGGTACGCCTCCTCAAACGGCTTGTTTAGGCCGTAAGAAAAAGGTGAGGCTGTGTGGAGCACCTTGGTAACCTCGGGATGAGCCTGGAGCACGTGATCAAAGGCGTCGTCCGTGCCAATGTCTGGCACAATCTCAAACGACAGCTTGCCGTCAGGGTACTTCTTCCGGAACTCTGCGAGGAACGGAGCGTATCTTTCCTCTGATCTGGCCGTGCCGATCACGGTGTATCCTCTGGCAAGCAGTTTGTCGACGACATGGAGGGCAATGAAGCCTGTGGCTCCTGTGACAAGAACAGACATTTTTATTTTTTTCTCAGGCCGCGAGACGAGGCCTATTTATATTATAAGCAAAATCGGGTATTTCCAAAAACGAAAGGTAGCGATTACTAATACTATAAATACTCTTTCTCAATCTCGAAGAATGTTTCGGCAAGCACCTTGACAATGAAGTCGGCGTCCTCCTTGGAATAGCCAAATGCCGGCGCCATCGTGATATGTGTGCCGTGCTGCACAACCTTGCCGTCGACGTACTCGTAGCCATTGCACCCGTTGATGCACATAAAGTGCGCCGACCGGGCGAAAGTCTTCTCCTGCAGCACTTTGGCCATGTTGTATTCAAATGGGAACGACTCCTTGGTGGCCTTGTCCTTGACGAGCTCCACAGAAATGAAGTTTCCGGCACCTCTCACGTCGCCGGCCACCTTGCAGTCCTTGAGCGCTGCCTTGAGCGCTGCCTTGGTGTACAGACCGACTTCTCTGACATTGTCAATCAAATTGTCTCTGTAGATCTTTTTCTGCACAGCCAGACCGACAATACAGTTCAGATAGTGCGAGTGGTAGGTTTGGTAGCCCATGACCATGCCGGATCCCTCCTTGATGGCATTGACAATTTTGGGCGACACCATGACGCCGGACAATGGCACAATTCCCGCGCCGACAGTTTTTCCAAACGTCAGCAGGTCGGGACCGCCCGTGGTAAGCCCGTACTCGGGGTCCATGAAAGTGTACGGGTAGCCACATCTGCCCAAACCGCACATGACTTCGTCCAAAATCAGCAGAGCTCCGTACTTTTCGCACATGGCCTTGGCTCCGTCCAGGTAGCCCTTTGGCGGAACGCTGTTGCCGATCGAGGAGCCGCTCACGGTCTCCATAAACACACCGGCAACCTTCTCCGGCCCGTTGTCAACAAAAGTCTGCTCCAGGTTGTCCAGCAACATCTTGCAGTACTCTTCCTCCGACATGCCGGGTTTCATGTCTCTGTACGGCATGAGCCGCGAAATCTTAGGAACCTGGTCGTCAGAGAGCAGCATTTTCTTGAGCAGCGGCTTCATTGGGTTGTCTCCAATGGAAAGAGCGCCAACAAGGTAGCCATGGTAGGCGTTGGTTCTGGAGATGAATTTGTATCTCTCCTTATCGCCCTTCTCGATATGGTACTGAACAGCGTATCTCATCGCCTGCTCGTTGGCCTCCGACCCGGAACAAACAAACATCGCCGAGCTGAAGCAGCCCTCGGACTTAGAACACATAAACTCCGCAAGGTCCTCTGCAGCCGTGTTGGAGAAGGCTGTGCAGAAAGTGTACGCAGACTGTTTGGCAAAGTCGTTCATTTGGGACAGGATTTCTGTGTCGCCGTGCTTCAGAGAACACACGGCAGCTCCAGAAACGGCATCGTAGATCTCCTTTTTGTCTCCCGTTTCGGGGTTCTGAAGGACCAGCCATTGGCCGTCTCTAGCCGTGCCAACACACTCCAGTTGTCTGTCGGAAACTTTAGCTTGGAAAAGATAGTGCTTTTTGTCAACAGTCATGATGAAATGCTACCTGGATCCGCTGTCCCTTTTATAATGTTGCCACAGCCGGATTAGGCCAGCAAACGGTTACCTTGCATACTCCATCAAATATTCGAATTCTTCCTGGACTTAGTCCCGTGGAACCCTCCCCCACCCTGATAGTAGTGATGATTGGGCCCGAGCAGCTGCCATCCATTAGCACCTCTCCAAATCGCAAGCTACTTACGTCCCTACGTGAACTTCAACGAGAGGACTCAAGGATCCCCCTGATCTTATCTGTCGCGAATGATTCCCGAACAAAAAAATCATATATGCGATCACTGCCAGTCCGTTACAGACGCCGGATCCAGATTAGGCAGTTTCTACGACAGGGCAAAATGCCTATTTCGTTCTCTCGGAGGTGGCAATTGGCATCGTGGCGGTAATTCTTGAGGGAACAGGGAGAAAAAGGAGCACCAGCCCGATAAATGGCTCAGCAGCCTGGCTTCATGTGACTGATATCACGTGCCATCTTATCTTTTATCGCGCCAGTCGTCTGTTGAGCATTCCTGTGTCCTAGCCACCGCAGACAACCTGGCAACGCCGCTCCCTCACGGAAGGACTGCGCATCCTGCTCACTAAGCTTTCAAGCACGGCCTCTGCATGGCCTCTGAAGTACTCTCCATGTGTACAGAAAGTCTGCCGATTCTGCGCTCTGTTTGTATCTTTGAGGCCAGGGGTATTTATTTGCGAAAACAGGACGCTTCCCCGCAGATCGTCGATCCAGCGGCTGTTCCGTTGGTGTTTATGCTGCTTTATGTGCAGAGGCTCATAGATTATTGGTACGAGGGCCTACAAAACGAGGCTCTTCTGCGATTTTGGAGCCTGTGGATGCTCCGCAGTCTTGGGATCTGTTTTCTAGCACCCACGAGCGGATACAAACGTGGAAGGACGACAGGTTTGCTGAGCGCAGCTTTAACTGGTTTATTTGTGCCAGTTTTCACGTATATCCATGTTGGTGCCCCAGAGCACGTCGTAGATAAATATTCTCGAAGAAACATCATGCTATGTGTACTTTTAGGCATTGCAGAGGTGACAGGCAGCCTCTTTTGGTGGCTACTATACTATTCAACACTCACTAGTATCCCATATGGGTGTTTGCATAGATTGTGGTACTGCTTGGCGGCAAGACGAGAATACATTGTATTTTTTCATAGGTTGTGCTATGAGGTTGACCTCTGCAACCAACATCATTGGAGCGATGGAGGAGCAGAAAATTTCGCGGGATCGGCGCTGTGTTACTGTGTGTCATCCAGGCTATTATTGGCCGTCTGAAGTAACCTGGACCGCTAAGCAATCTATGCCTGTAGCTATCTATTAAGTATACACATGCGCAACCGCGTCTCTCAGGGAGCCCCTCTGGGACAGCCCAGGGGCCAATTCACGCTTAGACCGCAGCGACAGCCGGAGCTTTGGGGTGGCTTCCGGAGATTGTGCCTCGCGACTCGTTTCTGTGGCCAGTCTCCCGTACGTTTTGCAGGGCTGCTGCTTTTTCCGGAAAACTATAGCTAAAATGAAAAGACCACGGGGCTTTTGGAAAGCATGCTACTGGCAAAAATATGCATACTGGGAACGTACCTGCTGTGCTGGAACTTCGTAAAGGGCCAGCTGCTAAACTCATCGGCCGCCAAAAATCGCCAACATGCTGCTCTGCACGGCTTTCGATTTGTCGCACTTATCACCTATTTTGTCCATGCCACCTTCTACGCTATCTCTCGGTATTTTATGACCTTCTTGGAGTCTTCTCTGCTACAGTCCTTCGTTTCGATGGTCTTAATCCTGACAAGTGCAAGTGTTGCGAACTTGGTGGCAACGTCTGCGTCAAAAGACCGCCTACGATGATCTCAACCATATACGTATTCCCGATCCTCTTCGATGTGTGCACGCTGCGTGAGAACCAGCGCAGAAAACATGTTTGCACGATGCTGTGCATGGAAACTGACTGGTGCGGACATTGACCGCAAAGACACGCCAAGGCGGGAATCAGAGCTCACAAGAGCCCTGCGGAGGTCTTTCTGTAAACTCTCATACTGGCGAGCATCTTTGCCGTCAAGGGATTGCACGATCCATTGGATATGTGACTATTTTATTGCAAAAATCTCGGCCCGAGGATTAAATTGCCAGTCGCCGATCTAAATTACACTATAATACAGCAAGACGAACCGCCGCGCGCTATGGAGTGTTGCAGATTTGATTCTGTGTCTGACTTGCTCTGCGTGGCTCCGTCAAACCGTCGTCGCTGCTCGCGGGTCATGCTGTCTTTGCGCGCTTCGAGCTTGGCGACTAGCTCGTTTATGTTGGAATTCGTCACTGACAGCTGATTTTGGTACTTCTGCTCCGTCTTGCTGGCCAGAAAATCGCGCCGCTGTCGCAAAAGGTCGAGATCGGCCAGATCGCGGTCGATCTGGAGTTAGTACGTGCAGGATCTGGGCACCTACCTCTTCCGGGCTCATCGAAATCAGGAAATATATCTATTTTATTTTATTTATTTTACACTCATTTTTCACTCCGTCTCACTTATATGCTCCCAACCTTTTCGGCCCACAACCGCTCCGCCTCCACTATCGTGTTGTTGTTGGCCATCATTTTGTTCATCGTCTCGATGTACTCCTCGTAAGGGTCCGAATCGTACACGATACCCCCGCCGGCCTGCAGATACGCCACGCCGTTCTTCACTACCATTGTCCGCAGCGCAATGCACGTGTCCATGGTCTTTCCGTCGTACGACCAGTGGCCGACGGCTCCGGCGTACACTCCGCGCTTTTCGCGCTCAAGTTCTCCGATCAGCTCCATCGCACGCACCTTGGGAGCGCCGGAGACCGTGCCGGCCGGGAAAATCGACCGGAACGCGTCGAACCTCGTCTTGTCGCTTCTCAGAGTGCCGCTGACCTGCGACACAAGGTGCATCACGTGCGAGAACCTCTCCACATTCAGCAGACGGTCCACTTTTGTCGACTGCGGCTGGCACACTCTGTTGACGTCGTTTCTCGCCAGATCGACCAGCATCACGTGCTCTGCGCGGTCTTTGAGCGACGACTTCAAGATATGCGCCAGCTCGTCATCCTCCTCTCTCGTCTTGCCCCTGCGGATGGTTCCAGCAATAGGATGTGTCACAACACGGTCCTTGTTGTCGCTTTTGACCAGCAGCTCCGGCGACGCTCCAACAATCTGGAAATCGAGGTAGTCGATGTAAAACATGTACGGAGACGGATTCACCGTTCTCAAGTGTCTGTAGATATTGAACGGGTGCAGCGACGTAGGACGCGCGACTCTCTGCGACGGAACCGCCTGAATGATGTCTCCTTTCAAGATGTGCTCCTTCAGCTTCGTCACAAACCCTTCGTAGCCGCTTTGGCCGATGTTCGACGTGAAAGTTTGGTTGTCCACGATTTTGGGCTGCTCCGGGTAGATCGATGGGTCTTCAGGAGCAGTAACCACCTGCTTGATCTTCTGGATCTGCTCAACGGCTTGCGCGTGCTTCCTCTGAATATCTTCCTTGGTGTCGTTGTCGCTGATCGTCACATTGCTGATCACCTGGAATCGCTGGAAAACGTTGTCAAATGCGACAATCGAGTCAAACAGCATCAATGCGGCCTCTGGAAGCTCCAAAACATCTTTCAGATTCCGCTTGGTTCTAGGCTCGAAGTACTTGATGCAGTCGTACGAGACGTAGCCAATTGCTCCTCCACTTAGCTTCGGCACACCAGGAAGCTGTGCCTGGCGGATATTATTGAGTTCCTGCTCGAGAAATATAAGTGGGTCAACTTCCTGGCCGTGCAACGGCCCTGTGGTGATAATCTTGCGTGGTTTGGTGCCCATGAATGAGTAGCGGTCAATCTGATCACCGTTCTTTGCACTTTCAAACAAAAACGAGGGAGTGCGCTCCGCGTTTTTGTCCCCAGGACGAGTCAACTTCAAATAAGCGAGATGTGGAGTCAGATAGTCGGCCGAAAAATACGAGTGGATGGGATACATGTTCGGCCGCTCGGCAGCGGCGTACTGCTCTCTGTCCGCCTCTATAATAGCATACAAATCGTCAAATGACGGCTGGACAACAGACTGGCTGATCATTGTGCAAGGTTGTTTTTTCAATCTTGTTGACTAATTTTACAAATTTTTTGCATGTCTTCGGGCTGTGCTATATATATCACGATCACGACTGCTTCCATCTTTGCACCACAACAGAGTTGATCAGTCCAGCTTCCCTGATGGTTTTCGAGTCCCGTTCAATGACCTTCATTGGGAAGGCAAAGGCAAGATTCCAATCACGGGAGGAGTCGGTGTGGGAGCTCACAAAGTCAAAAACAGCGCTGACACTGTCGTTAGAGTTGAACATGTGGATCAAACGTGTTCCGTCCGCCATTCTGATCTGAACCTTGGCATCTCCCGATCCTAAATCCTCTGCGGGAGGCTGTTCCTTCTTCTGGGCTGTTTCGGCAATGACTGGTTCCGGTATCCGCTCGCCAGGAACAGGAGAACCCAGACGCTGGCCGCGGCCAGTAAACCCACCTTGTTTCGGCTTCGGCGGGGTGTACGACTCGTCCATCTTCTTGATCACGGTGACGTCAACATCCTGGAACATTTCCACATTCAAAAGACTCAACGGCGCGCGTCCAGAGTTCAATTGTCTTAAATAATCAGCGTTCTCGGGGTCATCATATCTGTAAAGCTGGCCGTCGCCCACCTGGAACCCTTCCTTCCAGAAAGTGATGGTTCTGGTGACCTTTTCAGGCACTTTGAAGCCTTTCTGTTTGGCATCCTCGATAACCTGTGACTCCACGGCCTTGTCCACTGATCCTAGTTTGTATCCTGTTCCCGTGAATTTGCTCTTCTTGGACTCAATTGGGCGCCTGCGGTCTGGCTCGCTTCCCTCTCGCTCGGCCTTCTTGATCAATTGCTCCACAAGACCCAATGGGTTCTTATCAGGGTTTTCCACTTCCAGACCCGACTTCTCTCCCCCTGTGAACAAATTGGTATCCTCGTCGTCGTCGTCTTGAGTCTTTATATCCGAAAATGACTTGATTTGCGGCCCATGGTCCCGTTTAGGCTCTGATTCTGAAGTTGCATGAAGATAGTACTGGTTGATTGATTCCTGATTGTTAGCCCTCTAGGTTGCTAATTTTGCACTCACCTCTAGATCGTTGTTGTTCTGGGACAGAAAGTGTCTGGCAACAGTTTCTGGAGCGCCAGTGAGCTCTCTGAACTTATCCACGAGTTGGCCTTCCGACATTTTTTGCCACAAATTTAGTAGAAAATGGAAATACGAAAAAAAATAATTATTTCTAAGTTTCGTTTCTAAAAAATCGATGTTGAAATCCCATTTATACCAAACTAACTAAAACCAGTGTACAAATAAAGATATGAAGTCATAATCATTAGGTGCTCATCAGACATTGATGTTGAATAAATGTATGCGGTAGCAGCAGACTCCTAAGCCAGCAAACTTAGTACTTTTCTCTGAAGACTTTAGCGGCCTCCACCATGTTGGTCAAAGAGGCTCTGGTTTCTTCCCATCCTCTGGTCTTCAGACCACAGTCTGGGTTGACCCAGAACTTGTCGGCTGGGTACACCTTCATGATCTCACCAATTCTGGCCACGAACTCCTCCTTGGATGGAATTCTTGGCGAGTGGATGTCGAACAATCCAAGACCAATGTGGTTTGGATAGTTGGCGAACTCCTGTATGTACTTAGGATCGTCCTTCTTGGAGAACTCAATGGAGACAACGTCGGCGTCCAAGGCCTTGATGTGGTTAGGATCAAGGTCGGAGTAGCAGAAGTGAGAGTGGATCTGGGTGTCGTCTCTGACACCAGAGGTGGCAACTCTGAAAGATTCAGCAGCCCACTCCAAGTAGTCGGATCTCTCTTGGCCGGCTCTCAGTGGCAGTCCCTCTCTGATGGCTGGCTCGTCGACCTGGATGACGGTAACACCAGCGGCTTCCAAGTCGTTGACCTCGTCTCTCAAAGCAAGAGACAGTTGCAAAGCTTGCACCTTTTGCGAAACGTCGTTTCTTGGGAAAGACCATCTCAAACAGGTGACCGGACCGGTCAACATACCCTTCATTGGCTTTTTGGTCAGCGACTGAGCGTAGACACTCTCCTTGACAGACATAGCCTTTGGTCTAGACACATCACCAACAATAATAGGCGGTCTGACGTATCTGGAACCGTAGGATTGCACCCAACCGTTGGTGGTGAAAGCGTAGCCCTTCAATTGCTCACCAAAGTACTGAACCATATCGTTTCTCTCTGGCTCGCCGTGGACGAGAACGTCAAGGCCGACCTCCTCTTGGAATCTGACGACCTTCTCAATCTCGGAGTTGATGAATTGCTCGTATTGCTCAGCAGTGATCTCGCCCTTGACGAACTTGTTTCTATTAATTCTAATGTCCTTGGTCTGTGGGAAAGAACCGATGGTTGTGGTTGGGAAAAGAGGCAGGTTGTACTTGGCCTTCTGCTTGGCAAGTCTCTCTGGGAATGGAGACTTTCTGGTGGACAGAGACTTGTCGATCTTGGCCATTCTGGCCTTGACGGCCTCGTCGTTGGTCAAGTCGGACTCCTTTCTGCTCTTGATGGCAGCAGCATTGGCCTCCAGAGCAGCAGAAACGTCTTCACCGGAAACGGCCTTGGCGATGGTGACGACCTCGGCCAGCTTCTGGGTAGCGAAGGAGAACCAGTTCTTGATCTCGGCATCGAGCTTCTTCTCGTTCTCCAGGTCCACTGGAGTGTGCAGCAAAGAAGAGGAGGTAGAAACAACGACCTTGTCAGCGCCCAACTTCTCGATAGCCTTCTTGACGAACTCAATGGATTGAGCGTAGTCGTTCTTCCAGATGTTTCTTCCGTCAACGATACCAACGGACAGGGTTTGTTTGTCGGAAACAAGAGCAATCGCATCGTCCAGCTGCTCTGGGCATCTGACGAAGTCGAAGTGGAAACCGGCAACTGGCAGGCCCTTGATAGCAGACAGGTTTGGTCTGACGTCACCGAAATAGGTGGTCAGGATCAGCTTAGGAAGACCCTCGGCCTTGGCCAGCGTCTCGTAGGCAGTCTTGAAAGCGGCCTGGACCTCCTCCGGCAGGTCCAGAACCAGAGTTGGCTCGTCGATCTGGACCTCCTTGGCGCCTGCCTCAGCAAGCTTCTTCAAGATCTCGGTGTAGACTGGCAGGATCTTCTCGAGCAGGGAGATTGGCTTCAGGTCGAGCGAGTCTTTGTCTGGCTTACCCAAATACAGGTAGGAAACAGGACCAACAAGGACAGGTCTGGTCTCAATGCCCAGAGCCTTGGCCTCCAAGTACTCGTCGACTGGCTTCTGGCCGTTCAACTTGAACTGGGTGGAGTGCGAGAAGGTCGGTCTGACATAGTGGTAGTTGGAGTCAAACCACTTGACCATCTCCAAAGCAGTCACGTCGACAGCCTTGGTGGTCTCGGTGGCCTTTCTTTGCAGACCTCTACCCATGGCGAACAAAACGTCCAATTGAGGAAGATCGAACTTGGTGTATCTTTCTGGGATCACGTTGAACAGCACAGACAGGTCCAGAACCTGGTCGTAGAAAGAGAAGTCGTTGGAAGGAATGATGTCGACACCTGCTTCCTTCTGCAACTTCCAGTTCTTCTCTCTGATCTCCTTACCAACAGCAAGAAGTTGGTCAGCACCGATCTTGCCTGCCCAGTAGGCCTCCGTGTTCTTCTTGAGCTCTCTGAAAGCTCCGATTCTTGGGAATCCCAAAACGCTAGACTCAACCATTTTCAATTAATATGAGTTGACTGTTATACGATGAAATTGGGTTTTATATATTGGCTTTGTTGTCCAACAAATGAAAAATTTTTCCTTCCCGATTCGGAAAGTCCTGATGGACGGGTGTATACGTGTTTTCGCCATTCTGCCCATTACCGCAGCGACGTTGGAGACCGGTGACCGGGGACAATGGACAGGTAGTCTGCATAGTGTGGCTTCAATCGTGCTACGGCACCAACAATTTGGTAGCACATGGGCCGGCATGTGTTTTTTCATGTGATGAGGCCGGGTAAGTGAAAGTAGATAAAATATCTTTATACCGAGATGAGTACTGATGTGGAGCGCGAGCTCCAGCGCGAGGAAACTGAGCTGGCAAGGGTATGTATGTTGCTGTCGACCGCCACTAACCGCCAGGACAGGGAAATAGACCGCATTTTGCGCCAGTGCAAGCTGGATCACTACTCTGTGCTCGGGGTGCAGCCGGGCATCTCCGTCGCTGACGTCTCCAAGCTGTACCGCAAAAAGTCGCTGCTGATCCACCCGGACAAGACGAGCCATCCGCGCGCAGTGGAGGCGTTTGATCTGCTCAAAAAGGCGTCGAACGCGCTCCAGGACGACAAAGAGCGCAAACGGCTGGACCAGATGTGGGCCGACGCGCGCAAGGTGCTGATCAAGGAGAACGGCTGGACTATTGACGACGAGCGTCTGACGACAACCGAGTTTCTGGAGCCGTGGCGCGCGAAGGTGCGCGAGCTGCTGATTGAGGAGGAATTCATACGGCGAGTGGAGCTGAAAAAGCAGCAGAACGAGGAGTTAAAAAAGCGGAAGGAAAAAGACGCCGAGTTGGAGCAGCGGAAGGAGGAGAAGCGGATTCGCGATACGTGGGAGAGCAAGCGGGACGAGAGAGTAACGAATTGGCGCAAGTTCACCGACAAGAACGACAAGAAGAGGAAGAAGAAGAGCGTGCTGGTGTAAGGAAGGCCAGGACTCGAAAAAATTATTTTTCCAAGATCATTCAGCCATGCCACATCTATCCCAGTATCTGACCCTCGCGGCCGTCTCGTTCGTGACTGGGTGCTGCATAGGCGCGCTGCTTGCTCCTGTTTACGGGCCGTCGCCTGTGTCGTCGCCTTTCCAGAGTCTGCTCAGCACGGCTGGCAGTTCAGAGACCCCGTCTTCAGCAGAGGGCCTGAGCGACGACGAGGACCAGGATGGCGTGGCCATAGATTCGCGGCCGCTGAACGAGATCCCCGGCGAGTGTCGCATGGCCCTCGTAATCCGGGCCGATCTGGGCATGCAGAAGGGCAAGATTGCTGCCCAATGCGCGCATGCTGCCGTTGCCTGCTACCGGCTGATGTCCGAGCCGGGCTCGGAGGCACAGAACCTGCCGCTGCTGCAGCGCTGGAACAACCGCGGCCAGGCTAAAATTACGCTCAAATGTTCCGGCATGGACGAGATGGACACTCTTTTCGCCAAGGCCATGAGTCTGAACGTGAATGCGTACATTGTTCACGACGCCGGCCGAACTCAAGTCGAGGCCGGCTCCGCAACTGTGTTGGGGCTGGGGCCGGCACCGAAGCCCGTTCTGGACCTCATCACAGGCGACCTAAAGCTATATTAGATGCATTAATGACTAATCTATCTCATGACAATTGTATCGCTGTAAGGGTCCAGCTCTAGGATCTGCGAACACAAAATTCTGTCGCCCACCATGAGTCTTTGGTCCGCGTCCACCTGGATCTCCACATTCACCTCCAGATCATGACAGTAACCCTGAACAAGGCTGGAGACCTGTGGCTCTCTGATGATGCACCGGAACATGCTAAACTCGTCCTCCAGCTGGTTTTCCAGCTCGCTGAGGACGCGGTATCTATGCAGTCGTCTGTGCATTTGCAGCTGCGACTCGAAATTTCCCAGAAATTGGAACAGAAGCTTCTCCATGTTCCACAGCCTCCGTCCCTGAAGATGGTTCATCAACTGGGCGTTGTTGATGTACGACTCCAAGAATCCCGGCGAAAAAAAAGACGCGTGCGCCCGAGCACCCAGCACGGCGTATGCGGAGTTCTGCGGGCTCAGAACTTGCACCCGGAAGCCGTCCAGGTACCGCAAAGCACACACCAGGTCTGTCGCAGAAACGACTCCCTTATTGTATGCCCTGCCGATGTCCGCAAACGACTGGTACGAGTTTGCATCGCGGCTGAAGAGGTTGAAGAAGCCTGTGTACGAGCGACGGTCCTCGGACTTGGTCGCCAGCTTGGGGCTCACGCGACCGATGACTGGAATTTTGTTTTTCAGACAGTACTCAGAAAGCAGCTCGTCGCAGAAAAATATGCAGTTTCTCACGTACCACTCACTGGACTCCTGTGCCTGCTTTTCGGTCTTCAGATAGCCGTTCTCCAGCCGCAATTTTTCCTTGTGCTTGAGCAGAAAATAGAGCCGCTGAATTGCGTCCTTCATTTCCAAGTCCATCTTGCTGAACAGACTGAAGGCAGTAGATGGATAATTTGCAACCATGTCCGTGTAGCCGTCGATGTTTTCGTAGCTAATCTCGATTTCGGGCTTATCAACAGTTTCGATCTTGTACATGTCGTACTTGAAAGACACTCGCAGGGCCTTTTGGTTTCGGACGGATCTTTTGAACTTGGGGAAGAACGGGGCATAATTGATATTATGCGAAAACGCTACTGGAAACTCGCTCATTTGGTCGTTGATGTCCTGTGTCGCCACAGGTAGGTAGAAGCTGAACGTGGTGCTGCTGATAGAGTCGTCTTCCGATGAAAACAGAAGCCTGTCGGCCAGCCTATATTTGGTTTGGCTGTTCGTTCTCTCCGGATTGTTCACTCTACGATCGGATTTGATTTTCGCGGGCAGCTTCAGCTGGTCTTCCGAAAAAATGCCTGCACTGTTGGGAAGACCATAAATGCCTGAGGAGAGCACTGGATTCCATCCTGGCGGACACAGCTCGGACTGTACCAGCATATCATAGAGCTCTCTGGGTTTCGTGCTGCGGCCCAGAACTTTCCTCAAATGTCGCAGAAGAAGCGGATGCGGATACTCAATAGCGTACTTGATGGCGCTCACAAGGTCTTCCAACACCTGAGTTCCCTCGCGGAGGGTCTGAAACAACTCAAAGGCGTAGTCGCCGCTAAACAGGTGCCCGTAGTTTGCGTTCAATATTTCGGCGGGCAGAGATAATATTTTGCGTAGCGACTGCGCGAGGTGGTGCGGGTTTGCAAAATATGACATCGTCGCCACCGACAGAGGCTCCAGATAATCTTCCGGGGTCGTCTTGGGTGGAGCAAACCGGAACCTCACTGGGTCGTTGACCATCAGAACGTGACTGGCAAGAAAAAGAGCAGGAATGTCCAGGACGTTGGTCTGCACCAGCTGCGGGATTTCACGCACAGCAATTGCCGCCAGATGATGCAGATTGAGGGCTTTCTGGTGGTATAGGTTTGTTGTTTGCAAGTAAATTGTGTCCAGCAGCGAATGATCGCCGAGTTTCGAGACGATAGACGTCGCGTAGCGTGCCGTGGACAGCAGAATGTACTGCAAGACGCTGCGGTCAGTGTCTATGGCCTTTGGTTTTATGAAGCGGTGTATGCGAAACTTGACGTCCTCGGGGTCAACATGAACCACTGTCCCGTGAGCTGAAAGGACCTCCAGAGGGTTAGGGGTGAGAAATCTTGGCTTTGGTGAAGAGAGCACCACACCAAGACTGTAGCTGTCGACCATGCGCGAGGATTCGTGCTTGTTGAGAGGCCCGTAGGCTCTCCGGCAGACTCTGTACTCGACCAACGAGCCGACGTCTATTCTCCGGGTGCTAATATTGAATTTGATGGGGTTTAGATGGGGCTGGTACCGATGGCAGTGGAGGAGATCGGAGAGATTGATGCTGGCAAATTGCGCCTCCAATTTCCTATGCAGGTCCGCCAGCTCTCTGTACGATGCAACGGAGTCGATTGGTCCTGACGAGTAGCATCTCAAAGACTTACGGCGTACCGATACGAGAGCCACTCTAGCTCGACCCCACATCTAAAGATAATAAAAAACGACGCGACGACGAAAAAGGTTTAGGGAGTGCTTGATAAAAATTTTCCTCTAGCGAAAAGAGGAAACAGACTAACAACAAAGTGAATGGCAAGATAAAGTATTTCGGTAATACACTATTTAGCCTTGAACTATCGTCAGTCACTTGAGTAAAACGCCACGCTTCACATATGGGTCAAATATTATCACAACCAGTGACGGAAAAGACGTCCGAGGAGGGCGGGGACAGCTTTGTTGCGTACGGGTTATCATGTATGCAAGGATGGCGGATTTCGATGGAGGACTCACATTCCACCATTTTGAACATGAACGGCAGCAAGACTGACGAAGAGCAAGTCGCCTTCTTTGGTGTTTACGATGGACACGGAGGAGAGAAGGTGGCGCTTTTTACGGGCGAGAAGCTACCTGACATTTTGAAAGCCACAAAAAGCTATCAAACCAGAGAGTACTCACAGAGTCTCAAAGATGGATTTCTGGCATGTGATGTGGCCATTTTAGATGACGAGGAACTGTCCAAAGATCCTTCAGGATGTGCAGCAACATGCGTTATTATTTCCAAAGATAAGATTTATTGCGGCAATGCTGGAGACTCCAGAACGATCCTGAGCGTCAACGGCCAATGCAAACCATTATCGTTCGACCACAAGCCAACTAATGAAGGGGAAAAGGCCAGAATCGTTGCTGCCGGCGGATACGTCGATCTGGGGCGTGTCAACGGGAACTTGGCGTTGTCCAGAGGAATTGGAGATTTCGAGTTCAAGCAGTCGCCGCATCTGCCTGCTGAGGAACAGGTGGTGACCGCGTATCCTGACGTTATGGTTCATGAAGCTGCGAAAGACGACGAGTTTCTTGTTCTTGCCTGTGACGGAATATGGGATTGTCTGACATCGCAACAGGTGGTCGACTTTGTTAGACGGGGCATCAAGCTCAAGCAGTCGTTAACGGAGATCTGCGAGTCCATGATGGACACGTGCCTTGCTCCTAGCTCTGGTGGGTCGGGAATCGGCTGCGACAACATGAGTGTGTGCATTGTTGCTCTTTTGCAAGGCCAGACTTTGGAGGAGTGGTACGCCAAGATCGGAGACCGCGTGGAGGACGTTGACAGGCTCATGTCCCCAGACGACCTGTCCATGGATCTGTACAAGGTGAACATTGAATCGAAGTTCCAGCACGCGCGCGACGACGAACAACCGCGTGGAGGCAGCCTTGGTATGAGAAACAGAGACGAAGGCGAGGAAGAAGGTGGGCTCGAGGGCGAGTTTAGCGGGTCTCCGATGCTGATCCAGCAACTTCTTGCCGCATCAAACATATCGACCAACAACAACATCATCTACCTTGACTCGTCCACCTCGTCCATCCTCCAGTCTTTGGGCGTCATGGGCGGTGAGGGCGAAGCAGACGACAACGAGGATAAGGATAAAATGGTAGAGATCGAGGAAGAAGAGAAATGATTCTATGGCATAGATTTGCTGGTAATAAAATGCCTCAGGTAGATGTATTTAATAACGAAGTTCTCTATGATAAGTCCAGCCACCGGAGCGAGTTTCGGTAGCAAGAGTCTATAAGTATTTGTGGCTCTGTTTCTCTCAGTTTAGCCATGATCTCGGCGATCTGGCCCACGAGACACGGCTCGTTTCTGGATTTAACCATTGGCTCTACCAGTTTCTTGCTATCTTCCGATTGGAGAAAAGACGCCAGCTTGTCGGACTTGACGAGCGGAATCGGCAGAAACTCGTTGAGAGCCAATTTGGGGCCCTTTTTCGCAATCGTCTTCGGCAAGAGTTCCTGAGGAATATCATACTCGAACGGATAGAACTCGTTCGGACACTTTGTGATATTGCCGTAGGAAGAATGCGTGCGGCGAACCTCGCACCACGGAGCGTCCGTCTCAATCAGCAGTCTGTCTAAAGGAATTTTGGCCGCCACCGCACAGTTGTCCGGTGTCTTCAGGGAGCAGCCGTTGACACTGATAAAAAAAGACGGGTGTTGCAAGATCCTCTCCAAGTCTTGTTCCGTTCCGGTGAACGAGTGAACAAGCACATTTTTATTTTTCAACGCCAACCCGTCCTCTCTGGTTCCGTCTATAAAGGGAAGAAGAATGCTCAGAAAGTCGTCGAGCGCATTCCTCATATGTAGAAAAAGAGGCAGGTTGAATTCGGTGGCCAGCTTCAGTTGCATCTCGAAGTACTGCTTCTGTTTGTCCATGGGCGTGTGGTGCAGTCTATCGTAATCAAGACCAATCTCCCCGAACGCCCGGATGGTCCCGTCGTGCAGATTTTCTTTGATCAGGCGTCGAATTTTGTCGAGATGATTATCCGGGTCTGGTTCAAACTCAAGAACAGTGCAAGGATGCACGCCCACGGTGGTGTAAAGCTGAGGATACTGCGTGAGGTCGCCGATCGCGTTGATACGACGAGCCTCGTCGATCGACCAGCGCGATTCCTGGTATGACGAGCCAGTGAGAAGAATACGGTCGACGTTCAACAGCCGTGCTCTTCTAAGAACAGAGTCAGAGTCCGAAACGTGATGCTCGCTGTCCCTGTACCTTCCCTTGAACATGTCGTCGCACAGATTGACAGCCACGTCAAAATAGCGGGGGATATAGCCCGGCCTTATCTGTTTGGGTTTGAGCATGAAATTCGATACAGATCTGGAATACTGTAAATTTAAATAATTGTTATCGATAAATAAATATGGAACGAAACATGTCTCATTCACATAAACTACTAATTTTCATAATTCGGCTCTCGCGCGAGCCGACTATGCTGACGTTGACTTGGGCTTGCAAGACATCCGGCTCATGGGTGTCCAAACGCCGTATCCGGCTCAACGGTTTGGCAACCAAGCTCGTTTCGTGACACTCCAACGTCTTAAAGCGAGTGCCTTTCAGACGTCGCCATCTAAACTGGCACGCGTTGGAGGTGCGGCCTCTGAAGTACGTAGAGATTCGTTTCCACCCGTAATTCCTGTTGTCTTTAAGAAAAAGTAGCAGTTGATCATCCTGGACAGACCACAGACTTGAGCGACGCATTGTGTTTCAGCCAGCAGCAGATATTGCTGCTTATATACAGCCCGACCGAAGCGGTAAAAGCGTCCTCAGGAAATGCATAATTTTGGCCGGGAAATGGAGAAGATGGAAACTCTTTCCAAACTCCGGTCAGGGTCGACTGACGCGTCGATCACATGGAGTCCAGCATTTTCTGGACTGTATCCTGGAAGTTATCTGGCACGAGCACAACGGCAGAGCGCCCCAGACTGACGTAGCTCATTTCGTTCAGACCGAGCTTCAGCAGTTTCGACGCAACACCGGCAACAATGCCCTTCAGGTCCAAAGGAAGCGATTTCAGGTTGATGAATAACGGGAAGTAGAAGTCCTGCAACGATCCCAAGATTGTGGCTTTTGAATAGTTTATTTTCGCCATCTCGTCATCTGCGAGGGGAAGAAGCAACCCAATGTCCTCGGTAGGCGTTCGGGTCAGAGCAAAGTATGCCAGGAACGAGTGCTTCGTGCCGCTCTGTTCAGTATTGTATCTAGACAGAGCCTCCACGGTCTGTCGCAGAACCAGCGAAGAGTCTCCAGGACGGGCACCCGTTAGCAGAATCTTGACGTCTGTGTTGAGCACGGGTTTCACCGAGCTCGACCTAAATAGCTGGAACGTCTCCTGCTCTAGCTTGCTAGTATCCGTGTACTGCGCCTTTTCCAAGATCTCAACAGCTGCCGTCCGGTGAGCAGCTGGTATCAACACGAGGTCGCTGAAGTAGTTGGAAATGAAGAAAATAGGAATTCCTTGCTCCGAAAGAGGGGCAGTCAGCTCCAGGATTTTCTTGCCAATGATAGTGCCGTCAGTCAAAACCTGCAAAACCAAAAACTCCTCTTCAATCAGTGTTGCACCCAATTGAGCCTGTTTGTTGAGAGCCAACGGCTTGGAAAGATATTTCTGGATCAGACTCGTGCTGCACATAAAGGTGACCTCCTCAGGGGTAAAGGCCAAATGGAAAAATAGTCCGTCGTCCTCGGAGTTCAGCGAGTCTTGCTCGCTGGTGTCGTCCTTGTGGATGTTCAGAGAATGCACGGAGTTAACCAGATGCTTTTCGTCTCCACTGTCTTCGTCAGTATCGCTCAGGCCCTCCAAACTGTCAATTAGCTTATACAAAATCTCCAGAACACCGCTTTTGAACAGCCAGAATCGGTCTCTGGGGATTGTGAGAACCGAAACAGTTGTGCGGAACAGCTGCGTGTCGTGGGACTCGAGCATGGTAGATAGGCTGGAAATGTTAAATTTTTTTTTTTTCTGCTCAGACAGATGAGTCACTTGCGTTATCAACAAATTCGTCATCGGATGAGCTTTGCGCAACGTCAATTCCATAAGGGTCCGGGTCTGCTGGCTCGGACTTGGGAGCCCGTTCGGGGCTCACGGGCTCAGACCTGGTAAAGCTCCTCCCCGGATAGCAGACCACAGATCTGTCAAAATTGAACTCCAGTTTTTCGGACTTTATCTTATCCAGTGTCTGCATCTCCAAGTCGCGATTATCCTCGAGGTCGTCGCGCAGAAAGTTGACGATTAGCGAAATGTTCGACATAGAGGCCTTCTCGTCGTTCTCGCGGTCGGTAGTAAGGACCATAGTGGATGTAGTGTTGATTCCTCCGGACGGCCCCAGTATCACCGGCTTCCACAATAACAGCTCTGGTATGATCTGCACGTAATTTTTCTCTTTCCACTCAGTGAGCACCCTGTTGACAAGCTCCATGTCTATCCAGATACCGTATTTTTCCGTTTCAGGATCTCTGACCAGGGCATTGAGCTGCTCGAGCCCGACTATGACGTCATTGTGGATCATTCCCGTCAGGTTGCAAATGTCGTCCACCGAGATTTGGTGTGCCTTGCCAGCTTTCACAAGCAAGTTGAGAGCTTTCGCGACGGCTATTTTCCAGTAGTTCCGATAGCTAAAGAGTCCCAAATCGCTGAGCGGTTTCTCCGGGGTGCCAAGCCTGAACTCTCTGCGAGATAGGAGATAACTAAAATCTATAAGAAAATTCCCGTAACCTTTTCTCTGATAGATGGGCAGAGTCAAAATGCAGCTCAGGTTGTAGTTGGTTCCGTTTAGCTTCTCTTTGGAGAAATAGCCCACAAAGTGGTACCCGTTCTCGTCAATTTCGCACAAAACATAAAACACAAATGGCTCAACATCGTAATAGAGCGTTTTCGAGTTGAGGAAGAGTTTGGCAAACAGACACAAGTTCTGGCAGTATACCACGTTTTTGCGGCCGTCTATTTCGAACATGGCTAAGCGCGACGTGCGGTAGATTTCCGTTCCCGGCGGCCGTTGCGAGTAGGGGCATTTTTTCTCGTGCCGTCGCAGCGAAAAGGAGGACGAAAAATACTTGAGGCAATACTCGCACAGATGCAACACGTAGTTGGACGAGTACTGCTGCGGATACGGCGACTTGAACCAGGTGTCTAGCTCGTAGTTTCGGAAGTGCACGCAGCGTAATTTGGAGACCGTCGAAGTCTGCAGCTCGTAGTCCTGCTGAGCCAGCTTTTCCTCGCTAGTGAGTTTTTTCACCAAAGATAAGTCTCCGTGCAGATGTCTGGAGCTTTCGCTTTCGGTTTTCATTTTGGCAAACAAAGCTCTGAATTCCATAGTCGGCCGCGTGTGGTAGGTGTTTGCATCCTCGAACGAGAAAAGTCCCCGAAAAGGAAGCTCGAGCTCTTCTTCTCCTACCTTATAAACGCCCTTCTGTGAGTTTTTCATCTGGATGACTTCGCCGTCTCCGTTGTACTTGATTTTCAAGACGAGCTTCTCGCCAGGTTTATCGGATTCCTCCACAATGCCACTGTCGTCAACGTACGGTTCAGAATAGTCGACGGATCGAGATCGCGCTCGCAAACTCCGAGTTTCTGGACCGCTTGCGTCGGATGCCGCAGACTGCGCGCGTCGCACAGCGGCCTCGTGTAGCCCGTCATAAATCTTGTTGTCGGGGATCTCCAGACTTTTGAACAGCCTGCGTCGCTTACGTCCAGGGGATTTCCTGGCACTGCTCATGAGTAGGTTTATTATGTATTATTCAATTTACTGTGCAGAGATGTGCTTTATTAATGCAGGCTAAAAAATACGTGTATACAGAAAAATAATCATTTTTCAGAAGCACTTGATCTGTTGGAACGCACTTTCGCAACGTTGTCCAACAGCTTCTCGTAAACCTCATCGGCTTCGTGGTCCTGGACAAAATAGGTGTCCATCGAGTTCACGGAGACCGGGCTTTGTGGCTCTTCGTGCTCAGAGATAGAAGCCTCGGAGCGAGGTTTGGCAGCAGCAACAGGAGGACTTATTGCTGTCGTCTGAGGCGAGGCTGCTATTGAGGGCACGGCGGAGCTTGTTTGGGCGTCCGTGTGATTTGTCTGTTGCTCTGTGCCCGATGAAGGCTCGTAGATCGAGGAAAGCTTGGACGAGTCGATGTTGATCTTGTTAATCAGGTCCGAGACACTTTCAATTCCCTTGGCCTTCATTACAGCCTGCCGTAGTTCTGTGCCCGAAGGAATACTACTAACCTTCAACTGAGGCTTATCCTGTGCTTTCTCGGTAGAAACTGGTAGAGAGGTGTCAGAGTCATGTTTTTGGACGAAAAATCCCCATTTATGGAATTCACCTTCTTCTTCTTCCAGCTCCTTGGCATGAATGGAAGTTTGGGACCCACTTCTCATCAAGACGGGTTTACCTGTCAAATGGTCAATCGGCTGGGAGTTGGCGTCGACCACGACCGAGTGCGGAGCAGCATCCTCGGAAATCGGTCCGTTCACAGGCTCAAATGCAACCTGATTTGGCGAAACGATTGGACCAGCCACAATGACGTCCGAAGACGAGCGGTGCATAGGCAACTTCTGGCTGGCGCGGTGGCTCGACAGTTTCTTGATAAGTTCGGGTCTTGCTAGCACGCCAGGAGCGTCTGGTAGTGCGGCTTTTTTGTCTCCATCTTCGCTTTTGTGCTCTTGTTCAGAAAATATATGGATAATACTCTCCAGCGAGTCGTCGAGCAGACAGAAACGCAACAGCGTCTCCTTTCCTTCCAACGACAGCTTGCCGTTGGCTCTTGCTTCGAAAAGACGGTTCATGGTCTTGTGTATCTCACTTCGAAGTCTCACAGTCTTTTCCACCAGGGCGTTGCTGATGATCTGATGTTCGTCAGCATTCTTTGCCTGGTTCGATTCCAATAGCGCTTCCGCAGTCTTCGTGAGGAGAGAGCCATCAAAAATGAGGTCTTCTTCCTCCTCTCTGCTGTGTGTCAGGTCTTTATTCAAAAACTTCTCCATGTTTCTCATGAGATAGAAGGCAATCTTAGAAGAGACCTCGTCGCCAAGGCAATCGTAATCAATGTCAAGATTGTAAATGTTGGAATTTTTCACAGAAATGTAGAGCGACGCAGCAGTTCTCTGGTTGATGTTTTCGTTGCCGAGCAGGGAGACATGAAGTAGCTTTGGACACTTTTGGAATGTCAGGCAGAGCTGAATGATGGCAGCCTCACTCAAATTGCAAAAATCGAAGTGGATTCGTCGGAGATCGGGAAATTTAGGCAGATACTCAGTGAGAGTGGGCAAAATTCCCGGGAACAGCTGCGGGTTGTTTCCGAGATCCAGGAACCGCAAAGTCTTGCAGGTGCTTAAAAGTTCAATTAGCTTTGCACAATCCTCAATAGTGACATTGGTTTGGTTCAATGAGAAAAAGAATAGCTTCACGTTGTCCATCTTTGTTGCAAACACTTTTTCAAATGGAGCTAAGACTTGAGACGTCAAGTCATTGACGGCGATGTCAATACCGATACAGGTAGTATCAGGACTCGAAATCCACTCGGCCAGAATATTGGCCTTGTCAACATCCAAGTTGGTGGAAGCGAGTCCTAGCCTTCTAGTTTTCAGACGCAAGCCGTTGTTGACCAGGTTCTTAAACTGGGCTGTTGACAGCTTGCATCCATTGATCACCAGTTCCTCTATTCCGCCTTTTATGATCAGACTCTGTGTAAACAAGTCCCAGTCCATTTCAGACCGGTAGAACTGTATTGGAGTCTCGGGCTTAATTCGCTGCTGGCTCAAATCCAGCTTCGAGATGGACTTGTTCACTGTAAGGAATTTGCAAATCCAGGTCCATCCCTGCTTGTCGAAAGCCACGTTTCTGAACGATAGCTTCTCCAAAGTTGTTGACTTGGACAAACTGACGAGGATGATCTTCACCATCTGGTGGTCTAAAGTCACATTGTCAAAAATAACCGTCATGATAGGTGCGATGGCTAGAAAATCTGAGAACGACAAGACGTCAATGAGCGTCGGCTTTGGATTGAGCATCTTCAAGACATGCAACGGCCTTGTTTTCTGTTTTAGCTGCTTCAAAGTAGCTGGGATCGGCAAAATCTCACGCAAATGACAGCAGCGAGTGTACAGCAGATCCAACGGCAGCTCATCATTAGCTTTATTGTCCACAGCCTCGGAATGCTCATCTGGACGCTCATATGTGTGCTCTTCTGCCTCTTCACCAAAGTAGTTGACGTGTTGGTGCAGCGGAGTATCAATGTCCAGACCTTTCCTCAATTCGTCGTATTTCTTGGCCTCCCAGTCGTCTTCGTCGTCTTTGTCTTTCGCCAGCTTAGGGTACTTTTTGTACGAATTCACCTCTTTTGCTATTCTCAAAGCAGCTTGGTGCGCCTCCTGCGCATGCTTCCTGCTCTCAATGAGAGCAGCCTGATGTCTTTCCAAAGCCTGTCTCATTAGGTTTTCGTCCACCTTGGGCGGCTCGTCCTTGGTCTGGTTGTTGAGATTATCTGTGATACCTATGGAGAGCTTTGGCGGCGGGAGATTGAGGTCCTCTGGAATTAAAACATTCCCACGTCTTGGTCGTCTTGAAGGAATCTGCTGCTGGGGATCATCTGGAAGGTCCTGGAGCGAGAACGTCACACGCTTAAAATGAATATTGTCGAGACGTTGTTTGGCGGCGTCCACGGAGTCGATAGGTCGCTGCGGACCCACCACGGAGGGCCGTCTGGATGATGACCCGCTCGGTTTTCGGCTGGATACACGCTTAGAGTCTTCCTCGCACGCGTCTTTTCCTGGGTCTTGCACGGCACTGCTCGATGTGTCGCTCGACTGCGACTTGAACTTGGACGAGATAGACGAAAATAGCGACTGTCTTCTGGGTCCTGCAGATACCGGAGACTTGTCCTTCGAGTCCGACATAGAGCGCACTCGCGGCACAAGACTTGACAGCGAACCCGACCGCGATCGGTTCGAGGCTGAACGGCTAAGCGAACCATGGCTCTCTGAGGGCTTAGTCGTCGAGTCCGAGGGCGTACATGACCCGTGCGGAACCGTCTTCAGCGACGATTTCAGCTGCGGCACCGGCTGCGGCGACACTGAACGAGAACCGTCGCTGTTTTCCGTCGACAAAGACTGCTGATTGTGCTGGGCTGCCTGCAACTGAGCCTGTTGTATCTGGTTCTGGACATCTTTGGAGATGTTGTTGCTTTTCCTGGACAGCTTCTTTGCAGCCTTGCCTCGAAACAGCCAGTCGACGTCGCCATTGGACACGCCAGGGCTCTCGAACTGATCCTGGCCCACCAGATCGCGGATGGATCCTTCCTTGTTTTCTTGTGTCATGAGGGAGAACAGGAGCTTTGCGTCCACGCGGACCTAGCCGAAAAGCTTAGTTGTGTGAAAGATGGACGAGCAAAGGAGCGTTTCGGAAAGGACAAAAACCTAGTCGTCAAAGATTGGCAGTTGCCACTGTTGTCGTCAAAGAAATATGCTGAACTTTATTATTCTCCAATGATGTAATTTGCAGATAAGCAAAAACACAAAATGGTTCTCGTGCCGGGGCGGCAGGTGTGAATTAATTTTATAGGTTTAACCAGGAAGATATATTCATTACACAACTTACTGTTGAGCAGCCTTGAAAGCAGCAATCTTGGCAGCAACTCTCTCTCTTCTCTCCTCCTTGGTGAGCTTCCTCTGCTTGTACTTCTTCGACTCAGCGGCATACTGCTCCTTGGTGAACTTCTTCTCGGTTGGCTTGAACGATGGGTCCTCTCTGATCTTCTCGTGGGCCTCGGCGTACAGGTCCTCAATGGCATCGGCATCGATGTCGTCGGCAATGTAGCCCTTGAACAGAGTTCTGTATTTCTCTTCGTCGTCGTCCATCAGCTCCTCCATGTACTCAGCGACGTGGCCACCAAAGATGTACTTTCTGAGAACCTCGGTGTCCAGCTCCTCAGACTCGATATCCCAGCCTGGGAATCTCGATGGGGAGTGAGGAATGTACAGTCCACCGTCAGAAGCACCCTTCAGAGCGCCGAAGACTCTAGCACCGGTGGTAGTTCTTTGCAGACCAACGTCCAAGAAGACCTTGAATGGTCTTGGGCCGTCCTCGACAGCCTCAGTGAGCTCGTACTCACCTTCAACTTCCTCGACACCCTGGTAGGTCTCGTCCAGGCCGAGCTTTTGCAGGGCTCTTCTGGCGACGAGCAAACCGGTAGCGTAAGCAGCAGACCAGTTGGTCAGACCGTGGGTGATGCCGTACCTTGGGAGTTCGTGGGAGTAAGCAGCGGTGAAGACAACATCACCGGTCAAGGTGGAGGAGACGATCTGGCAGATGATGTCCTTGTTGGTGAATCTGACGACCAGTCTGTACTTTGGAGAGTTGTACTTGGCCTTGTGCTGGGTGACCAGTCTCTTTCTGGCGTAGTAGTCCGTCTTTCCCTCAGCTCTTCTTCTGAAGGGAGTCTGGTAACGGGAGTGGTAAGCAGAGGTCTTCAGTGCCTTGGTGAAAGCCATGGTTAATTAGTGGATAGTAAATTTTTCAGTCTGAAAAAACATCGGAAAAAAAAGGCATTTCAGTTGTGAGTGGCCGGGTAACCTTTGGCTAACTTTCTCCCCAATGGTGCCACCCCTGCACCACACAAGTTCACGATTTAATAATTAGCATCTCAACTACTGGGCAATAACATCAAGGCAATTTGTCATTACCGGCCCCCTGAGAATCCTGCAACAACTCCAGCTCTCTATTTATTACCATCGCGCTTACACGCTGGTTTTCCGCTACATCTCCACAGCCACCATTGCTCTCCCGGAGCTCTTATACATCACACATATAACTAGCTCGTGATGAGCGGGATTTGGCCCTTTTTCAACTCCTCGTTCTCCAATGCCACTATAAACAAGATCCTGGCCGAGATAGATCTGGATCAGCAGCAGCTCAGTTCCAAACCGCTGGATGCTCAGCCTGTGGACCAGCCAGCTTCTCCTCCATCCAACCTGACTGCATCGCGGTTACTACAGACCATCCAGGAAAATGATCATCTCCAGCAGTCCATGCTTGAGTCCAGCAGCCAGCCAACTGAACGCCCGCACTTTAATGTGTCTCTATTCAACAAACTCATAGATCAGCCAAATCTCCTAGACGAAATCAACCTTGCCAAAAACCAGAAACTGATCAGCTACATGACGCAGCCGGAAGTGCTGGAGACGCTAATCGAGTACATTATCGTGTCGATTAGCCTTTCGCGGGACCGATCGGCGTGCGATCCTGGCCACAGCATATTCGAAGGCGAGAACAACGTCGAGGTCGAGAGCGACGAGCAACCCAAGGAACTGGACAAGTACGAGCGGGCTTTGCAGCGTTCTGTGACCGCCAGCGAGGTCACGTTGCTACTAAGTAGCAACGTATCGCCCATCCTGTTTGGCGACTCGAGTTCGTTAGAAAAGCTGTGGTCCGGGTTTTTCGACCGCGACGTGGAGGAGTTTTTCCACCCCTGCAAAGCAGTCCACAGCGACGACGAGAGCGAGACGGAGCAGGAACCGAGCGGCGAGGGCACCAGCCTGGATGACCAGCCATTTAAACAGACCCACAACGTGATGCTCTTCAACAATTTCCTCAAGCTCATAGACAGTCTTGCCACAGCCAACATGAACGAATTGATGAATTTTATTCGGTTCCAGCAAAAATCCGCCCTGATCACAGACCAGTTTTTGAAGTTCGTGCCGCACTCGCCGACGATCTGTGACCTTCTGGTGAGACTGATTTCCACAGACAAACCGTACAATCCCAACGGGCTGGTTGACATACTGATGGACCAGAACCTAATTCTCAATTTGCTGAAACTGGTGAAAATATACTATTTAGAGCACCACGTCCAGGATAATCTCTGCAATCTTCTCAACGGAATAGTTGGGATCAGCTCAAACGTGGGGTTCTGGGAGGACTCCACGCAACAGCAGCTGAACGAGTTTGGCGAGCCTCTGGACGCAGAACAAGCGTCTGCTGCGCGAGCCAACAATCCGAATATTGGCCCAAACGACCTCACGAGGCAACTCGTTTCGCGCAAATGCGTGCTGGAAATGCTCGATGTTCTCATCAACTACGGGCATTATGGACTGGTGACGGTTGTTTCCGTGGTGATTGAGGTGATCCGCAAGAACAACTCTGATTACGACGAGTTCGACTGGATGCAGTCTGTGGAGGCTGTTGTTTTTGACGAGGAAGAGGAGGACGAGGGCGCAGAGAGAATGACCAGGAACCTGCCAAACTCGAGAGACCCGATTTATTTGGGAGTGATGCTGAAGCTGTTTTCGATCCATTTGGACGAGATCAAGGACAACTATCTCACCGAAAAGTACTACAGACTGAACAAAGTGCACGAGTTGGAGAGCTCTTTGGGCGACAAAATAGAGCCTCTCGGATATGAGCGATTTAAAGTCATGGAGCTCGTGGCCGAGCTCTTGCACTGCTCGAACATGATCCTTATGAACAAGTCTTCCAAACTGGATTACTTGATGTATAAGCGTGATTTATGGAGAGACGTGAAGAAGACCGAGTCATTGGTGATGGATGCGCTGAACGACGCGATCAACCACGACATCACCAAGCCGATGGAAAAAATAACGATCGAAGATTCCTCGGCGACGGTATCGAGCCCGTCGGGCGAAGAGTTTGTCAAGCTACCGGTGGAGATGTCGATTGGCAACTTCTTCAAGCTACGGCTTCTGCAAACGAGCTGTATTCCGCTGATAATTCTCAAGCTCCATAAATTCCCGTGGAACAATTTCATGCACAACGTGGTGTTCGATCTGGTGCAGCAGATTTTCAACGGACGACTCGCCAACTGGGACGAGGACCGGGCATCCAACCAAGAGGAAACCCGGTACGACGACAACTTGAGTTTGAACAAAGTGCTGATCTGGTCGCTTTTTGGCGACTACGAGGCCTTCGACAACGAATACGAGTGCGACGAGGACTACCCCGGCTTCTTCAACCTTCCCAACTATATTCTTTACTGCTTCAAATACTCTGAGGAGTACGAGAGCCAGCACAACTTCAAGCTTGGCTACATGGGCCATCTGACTCTAATAGCCGAGGAAATACACAAGTTCCAGAACTATGTCGAGAACTTTGGCATGACCAGAGAAGACCAGACGTTCGACGTGCTCAAGGATGACAACGACGTCACCAACCCGTACTATCTGAAGTCGTCCTTCTATATTTTCAACTCGCTGTTTGACAAGCTCTTCGAGAGCACACAGTTCAGCGGCTGGATCGAGTTCATCAATACGCGGCTTAAGGAGATCAACGCAATGTACAACAAAGTACTGGGAAATCCCGCCGAGCTCAGCGATAGTGTCACGGGCGAAGACGACGAGGATGTGTCGTCCACGCCGATGATGAGCGACCGGAACGTGATTTTGCTTGACAACGGCGACAGCGACGACTTCCGCAACGAACTTGAGGTCATTGAGGGCGAGGAGCAGGACGTCGACGGCGGTGACTTACGGCCAATGAGAGAGGAGGAAGGTGACAGGGGCAGAAGAAAATAATATGTACATTATGATGACGATGAGATGAACGCCGTGTAGGGCTAATTATTTAATTTTCTCACCATTTTCTCCGGTACCTTTCACTTTCTTCACTTTGCCATTAGGAAGACGCTTGACTGTGCCCTTGTCGGCTTTGTTCTCCGTTTTGAGCTTCCGTTTGAGCTTGGAGACGGCCCAGAACACAAGCTTGACCACCAGTGCGTGTCGCCACGTGACCTCTTCCACGTCGTCCGGGGTGACACGCAGCAGCACCTCGTCTTTATCCTTCTTTGCTCGTCTTTGCTTCCTATTTTTCGGTTCTGCTTCCACCCTGAACACCTGGCGGCCGTCTTCGTCGACGACGTAGTCCTCACCCTCTTTCAGTTCCTTGTCCACGAGCCACACAGAGCCGTCAAATTTAACTACAAACAGCTTATCCATATGGGCCACTCTTTGGTCGCTGAAGTTCGTTCCCGGCAGCATTGACGGCCCATACGCCTTGGTCTTCAGATCGTTGATCAGCCTCTCGACCCTTTTGCGTTTCTGCTGCGTGTTCAGCTTGAGCATGATGTAGTGAACGGCCGAGAAAAGAACGACAACGACGACCAATGCCAGCACGGGCCCGGGCCTGAATTTACTTAGCGCGAAGCCGGTGCCCGTGTAGGCCGGAAAGCCGTTTTTCAGGTAGTAATCGTAGCGCTCCTTGCGCTCTCCCCTGAGAATGGAGCCGATAAGAGAGAGACGCTGGAACCGCTGTTCGGCAGCCTTTTTCCTGCGCTCAAATGCCTTCTGCGACATCCCCTCCTTCCTGCGGACCTTGTCGGGATGCAGTTTGCGGCTCATCTTTTTGTAGGCCCTGTTGATCTCGTCGTAGGACGCTTTGGGCCCGTTCGAAAGACCGAGATACTCGTAGAAGTTGGTCTCTTTCTTGGTATCCTTGACGAGTTCGTGCTGCAGTTTGAAAATTTCAAGGTCCTCGGCCGACCACGCAGCAAATGCCGTCGCGGTAAATATGGCGAGCCAGAACAAGAGTCTCATGGAAAATAATAAAAATATAAAAATCTGTTTCCATGCCATATAATAATACCCAGCGATACCTGCTGCTCTCGGACTGTTCGCGCGCGTTACTCGCGTTTTGCGTACTGGCACGGTTTGCGATCCTTTTCCCGCTCATTGGAACAAGGTTCCTGCCTGGTGGCATCGCAGACTTCTTCCTAACCGTGTACCTGACAAGTGTGCTTGTGGACGGGTTCGAATACGTGACAATTTTCCGCAAAGTGCCCAAGAAGGGCGTTTCTCGCACCTCTGGATGGCGAGTGCTGGGATCCATCGGTGCGAGGGCATTGGTGACGGTTCTCATTCTGAACTACCCCAAGTCTGCGAAAAACATCAGCTTCAGCGTTCTGATCTCGTCCTCGATGCTGGTGGACTGTTCGCGCCATCTGTACAATTTCTACAAAGTGCGGACGTTTGGCGGGTCTGTGTGGTGGCTCACCAGCCTGCGGCGCATTTTGTTTGGCTTGCTGAGCCCCGTGCTCGCTGCGAGCGAGGCTGCGATGATCTTCATCTGTCTGAGACTCATGGAGACCGAGTACGGCTATTACAGAGAATACATCGACTACGACGTGTGGGCTGACCGCGCAGCCGTGCTGGTCAAGGGCGTGCTCTTTGCGTATGCGCCAGTGTTCTATATCACATACAAAAACAAAATGACAGCATTCTGGAGACTGAAGACCGACAAAACCAAGAAAACCAACTGATCACGTGTACACCCCAACGTACGACGACAGAAACAGGATTCCGAACGCGCCAGACACAGCTCCGACAAGCGCGAAAATCACATACAATGCCGAGTTTCTCTTGCCTGTGTTGGGGAACGTGACGCAATAGAGACCACTCACGGCAGCAATGCTCAGCAGGGTGAGGGCCAGCACTGCGTGGTAGGCCACGGGCACCAATTCGTGGAAGTACGCGTAGGACGAGTATTTGGACTGCGTTAGTGTAAAGGAGAAAATCGAGCGGTACTCACCACCAGGTCGTACGCCATTATAAATAGCAAGAAGAATATTTTTCGAGCATTTATTTATTGACCAAGTACTCTCGAACAGTAAATAAAATGTCACGAGCTCCTCTGCGGCTACTCCTTATTGTCCGGAATGAGCTTGCCGCCCTCCTCGTAGTGCTTCCAGAGCTTCGCCCTCTCGGCCACAATTCTGTCAAACCGCCTGATCGCAGGATAACCCTCGATGGTGGTCAGCACAAGCCACTCGATCTGGTAATCCGGGGCCACTCTGTACTTGAAAAAGCGCGGAACCAAGAAAACGGCCACCTCGACGGCGTGCAGAGCCACGATTGTCACGAGAACAAAATCGTTGTACGGCTTGACAGACTGGATCCACTCGTTTGGAATGGGCAGCACACGGCTCAAAATCACATCGTAGATTAAGAAAGGGAACCCCTTTGCCACCATCATCATCGACATCACAACCATCAGAATCCGCTCAGGTGCCGTCTGCGGATACCAAACCTGCCGCACCTGGAGATGGCTGACGTTTCTCTTCGGAGCTGCCTCGCGGGCCATCGACAGAATCTGGCTCTGAACCTGCTCGTAGCTCTCTAGATGCTCTTTGAACGGGATAGGCTTGAGCATCTCGACTTCCAGATCGTCGTGATTGAAGACAAGGGTGACATGGTCGAGCTCGACCTCCTTGACCTTGATGTTCTTGATCTTCTTATCGATGGTGACGTCGCCGTACACGGCAAGGACGTCCTCCATATTCGGCTTGAACTCCTTGTTGAGTAGCGCGACAAGGGCCGGCGCGGTCAGAGACATGGAAAATGGGCAACAGTATGCAAACGGCACTGGAAAAACAGCTATCTGGTGCCTATCGAAAACAACGGCGTGACCGTGATCACGTGCCGAAAACAGGTTTTCTTTCGCTTTCCGCTTGCCTTGCTTTTTGCGCACGAGGCAAGGCGGCTTGTCCTGGCTGTGCAGAGATTCGCAGAAGGAAAAAAACCTTCTGGAGACCTGTATTGCTAAATATCGCAATATCTGGACAATTGAGCTTTGTTAAAACCGTAAACTGTATTCGATCGACGCCACACACATTTCCAGTTGACCCGAGATGAACACCGCATCCAATGCCAGTTTGCTCAAGCTCAAATTACTGGACTGTCTGAGGAGCTCAGACAAGGATAAGCTACAGGAGCTTTTTAACGAGTGTCAGGCGATCACCCCGCCTGACCCACAGGTATCGCTTTTGTTGCGCCAGATCCTTATATTTGCCGTGCAGGTGGCGCCGATGTCCATGATAGAATACATCGTCCAGCGGAAACTGGTGGACGACATCAATGCTCAGGACGACCAGGGGAACACGGCGCTGCACTACGCCGCGCTCTCGTCTCGGAGCGATGTGATCACGTTCTTGATGGGCCAGGAGGACATCAACGACTGCATTGTCAACAAGCAGATGAAGCAGCCCATCGAGTGCTCCTCAAATATGGAGACGGTGCAGTTGCTTTCCGACCTCCGAACAAAGTTTGTCGAAATAAAGGCCAACGAGCTGCGAAGCGCTTTTGAGGCACGCAAATTCGACGTGCTTGATAGACTGTTGAGCAACCCGCGGGTCAAGAGCCTGCTGGACATCAATGGAACGGATCCCGTCACGGGCGACACGGTTTTGCTGGAGTTCATCAAGAAAGACGACATCCAGATGGTCAAGTTCATTCTGGAGCATGGGGGAGACCCGTTCAAACGGAACCTCAACGGCAAACTCCCTATTGAGTCTGCTGTGTCGTCTCCGATGAAGAAACTGTTGAAAGAATCGTGCAACCACCAGACCATGATCGATCCTACGAACCAGAGGGGACAGCTTCACTCAGGGCCGCCGACGTTCAAGGGGTTTCTGAAGAAGTGGACCAACTTCGCCGGTGGCTACAAACTAAGGTGGTTCATTCTGGACGCCGAAGGAAGACTCTCCTACTACACCTCACCGAACGATATTTATAACTCCTGCCGCGGTATGATACACCTTGCAAACGCTCAGCTGCGTATGGACAGCTCTGAAAAGTCCAAGTTCGAGATAATCATCAAGAACAGGGGCAACAAGGCATCTCTCAAATGGCACCTCAAGGCCAATCATGTGATAGAGACTAACAGATGGGTCTGGGCGTTACAAAATGCGATCCGGTATGCAAAAGACCAAGAGAGACAGCAGCGTGCCATTGCTGCGGAAGAACAGCAACGGGCCAAGAAGACTACAAGAAATAGAGAGAGCTTTGAGTCCACCCGATCGAATAGCACACACAACATTGGCAACCGCGGATCGTACAACGACCAGTCCCCATCGCCAATTACCGCCCACCAAAGAAAGTTCTCCAACGCTTCTTCAGTTTCCTTGTCTTCTGATGATGAAGGGTCCGGCTCCCTGTCTTCTAGAGACAATAAATCGTACAAGAAACCAATGCGCAAACTCTCGAAGCTCACCAAGAGAAATAAGGATGCGTCTGCACTTCCTGAAATAAAGGAGAACGCGGATCTAAAACTGCCTGCAAAGAAAGACCGCTCGCCTTCGATTGGGTCGCTTGTATCAAGTGGAGACTTGGGCAGCAAGACTACGATCTGTTCTGTAGCTGATGACGAACGCGATACTGACATTGAGGATGAGGATAGCAGTATCCATTCAAATCCCCGTGACAGCAGTATTGCCGATGGTGATGATATGATTGCTACAAATCTGAACAACTCAGAGCTTGCAGTGAGCAAGAACCAGATGATGATAGAGCTGAAATCTTTTGGCGAGTTTTTGACTGCTGCCGAGTCTGACGAAACCGTTTCCAAGGCACAAGTGATTGAAGTGGCTATGACTATTCTTTCCAGTTTAACGAGCCTTTCAGAAACACAGTCTGATCTTTTGAAAAAGTACGAGAGCAAGTTCAGCAAGATCATTGAAAGACAGCAAGAGATCTCCAAAATTTGGGAGAATACTTTGAAACGTTTGGAACTGGAGATGCAGTCGCGTGAGCAGAAGATTGTAGAGCTCGAAGATAAGCTTCATGTGATCAAAAAATCTCTAAAGAACAATCCTGGAATCATACATGCCGTTACGGAGGTCTCGTCTAAGGACACAGGATACGAAAACACTGCCAACGTCGAAAATAAGAGCCCAGAACAGATCAGACAGTTTTTGGCGGAGGACGAGGAATCTGAGGACGAGTTTTTCGATGCTGAAGACGAGGCCCACGAAGAAAAAGTTGACGGACAAGTCACTGACGCAACTGAGACCACGGCCGTTGCAGATAGTGGTGAAGAAGACAGTAAAGGCCGTGTTGTTGTGAATGGTTTCGAACTGACAAGTCCCAAGCAGCTCGAACGACTTGAGAAGATCAATAGAGAGGAAACTTTCAAAGGCTACGAGGATCCGATTAGAACCACGCTGAAGAAGGAAGACAATAGACCCAAGATCTCGTTGTGGAGTGTTTTGAAGTCCATGGTGGGAAAGGATATGACCAAGATGACTCTTCCTGTTGTTTTCAATGAACCAACCTCGCTCTTGCAAAGAAGTACAGAGGTGCTGGAATACTGTTCGCTTCTAGACAAGGCCGCCTCCATCGACGATTCTCCTACAAGAATGATTTACGTCGCCGCGTTTGCTGCTTCGGAATACGTTTCCACGGTAGGACGTATTGCCAAGCCATTTAATCCATTGCTTGGAGAAACCTTTGAGTATGCCCGTCCGGACCAGGGATACAGGGTGCTGGTCGAGCAAGTGAGCCATCACCCCCCGATATCTGCCCTTCTCGCTGAATCTCCGTCATGGTCCTATTACGGAGAGGCCAACGTGGACACCAAGTTCCTGGGTCGCTCTTTTGACATCAAACATCTTGGTACATGGTACGTGGAATTGTATCCCGGAAAAGGCGTTGTGAACCAAAGGGGCCAGAGAGTGGATCACGAAACGTATACGTGGAAGAAGATCAGGAACTCTGTCGTCGGTATAATTGTTGGAAACCCAACCATTGACAACTATGGGGAGATGCAAATCAGGAACCACACCACTGGCGACTACATGAGCTTCGATTTCAAACAACGAGGCTGGAGAGCTTCCAGTATAGGTGAGGTCAAGGGGGAGATCTACTCGCACGACGGTAAACTGAAATACACGGTTGGCGGTCACTGGAACTCGAAGATCTATGCCAAGGATGCAACCAAGCCTGACGCTGCGAAGTTCCTGGTCTGGGAAGCCAGCGAACGAACAGAGATGATGTTCCATCTCACGAACTTTGCGGCCTCGTTGAACGCGCCTCAGCCTCATCTTCTGCCAGTTATTGCGTGCACAGACACAAGACTGCGTCCTGACCAGCGTGCAATGGAGAATGGGCAATATGACCTGGCCAGCTCCGAAAAGACGCGCGTGGAAAACAAACAGAGGGCGGCCCGGAAACGGCGTGAGCTGTCTGGCGAAAAATACGAGCCTGCCTTCTTTGTCCAGGCCAAGCATCCGGTGACGGGAGAGACGTACTGGAAGTACAAAGATAACTACTGGGTGCCTCGCAAGGATGGAAAGCTGAGAGATTATAAAGATATTTTCTGATAGTTTACGTGGATGAAATGCTGCGGATCTATCGTCTCTTTTCGTCTCTCTTTTGGGCTCTGTCGTACAGCTCGCGGGGGCCCTTGAGTTTATGGTTTTGGAATGCCGGTTGTTGATAGTTCTCCTTGCCTACTCTGTTGGCAAGTTGCTGCCTGAGTGTGGGCGACAGCTGGTTCCCAAAGAGCTCCGTCAGGACTTTGTTGAGTTGCAACCCCAGCATGTAATTGAACTCATTTTTGTAGCCATTTCTAATTTCTTCGAACTTGACGTTCATGTTTTTGCATTCTTCGTTGAGAGCGTCCTCAAACTTGACCAGTTTGCGTTCTCTGAGAAGCAGCTCTGTCTCGTGCTCGCGCAGCCGGTTCTCCCACTGCGTCATTTCCCACTCCTTCCTGAACACTTTGAAGGAGGCATCCTGCAGCAGCTGGTTGACGGTAGCGCGTTCCATCGGGTCAACAATCAGACATGCGTTGATGACCATTTGTAGTCTATGCGAGTAGTGGTCGGGGATCGGCTGGAACGTCCCAGCCTTGATTTTTTCCTGCAGGGCCAAGTGAGTCTTGGCCTGGAAAGGCGGACGTAGAGCGCACAATTCGTACATAACACACCCGAGCGACCACACGTCGCAGACGGGATCGTACGGTCTGTCCATCAACACCTCGGGAGACATGTAGTACGGCGTGCCCACGTAGGTCTTGGCGAACTCGTTCTCGTGCTGCAGCCACTTCGCGAGACCAAAATCGCCCAGTTTGATCGAATACCCGTCCGACAGCAGGAAAATGTTGTCTGGCTTGATGTCGCGATGAATAATCACCTGGTGGTCCACTGGTTTAGGTTCGAGCTCAGGCGACGACTGGAAAAGATCGCTGACGGGCTCTATCGACGTTCCGTAGTGGCACTTGTAAAGTGCGTTCAGCACCTGGGTGAAGATCTGCCAGATTAGTGTTTCCGGTATAAATTCGTTTCTCTCCTTGTACTTCTTAATCAGCACCGATAAATCTCCTCCGTCGCAGTACTCCATATACAGGTGGACCTGGTGCTCGTCCTGGACATGGTCATGGTGGAGATACTGCACTATGTTGGGGTGTCTCAGCTCTCGTAGGATCCTGAACTCGGTGCTAAGCTGGTGCTTCTCCTTGCTATTCATGGCCCCATAGGATATTTCTTTGCGCACAAACACCTTGCCATCGCTGATCCGTCTTACCTTGCGCACACACCCGAACGAGCCTCGTCCGATCAGCTCCAACACCTGGAAGTCGTCCATCTAATACTGTATTTACAAACTTCCGGATACAGAAAATAACTAGATTTTTTGGGCAGTTGATTTGTTTCAGTATTTATGATGCCCAGGTCTTCCCCGTGAGAGCCTCGTAGGCCTCTTTGTATTTGGCCGCAGTCTTGGCGGCAATTTCGTCCGTCATGGAAACGCCCTCCTTGCCGTTCAGCTGGTTCGACGTGAGCCAGTCACGGAGGAACTGCTTGTCGAAGGAGTCCTGCGAGCGGCCGAGCTCGTACTTCTTGGCATCCCAGAACCGCGAGGAGTCGGGCGTGAGCACCTCGTCGACGAGAACAAGCTCATTTCTCTCGTTCAGACCAAACTCGAACTTGGTGTCGGCAAGAATGATGCCTCGCGAAAGCGCGTAGTCACGTGCTTTGGAGTACAGTGCGACGGCCTTTTCTGCCACCTCCGCGCACAGTTGCTTGCCCACAAGCTGCGCAGCTTGTTCTGGGGAGATGTTTTCGTCATGCTGGCCTTGTTCGGCCTTGGTCGACGGAGTGAAGATCGGCTTCTCAAATGCCTCGCTCTCTTGTAGGCCCGGTTTCACTTGCAAGCCGTGCACTGTTCCAGACTTCTTGTACTCTTTCCATGCACTTCCCGTAATGTAGCCTCTGACAATGGCCTCTAATGGCACAAGATTGTGCTTTTTCACCAGAAGCGAGCGGCCGGCCAGTTGGGTCTTGTATTTAGGCTCCGACAGCTGTCCAGGCAGCTTGGAAAAAATCTCCTTGTCGGATGAGGCGACAAGATGGTTCGGGATCACATCAGCAAGCAAGTTGAACCAGAAAACGGACAATTGGGTGAGGATCTTCCCCTTGTCCTCGATTCCGTTTTCCATAATCACATCGTAAGCGGAGATTCTGTCTGTAGCGACAAAAAGCAGCGTGTTGTCATCGACCTGGTAAATATCACGGACCTTGCCTCGCGCAACAAGGGGCAGAATGCCGTCGAGATCGGTCTTTGTCACAGTCATAGGTATAATAATTAGCTAATTTAGATAAATAAATTATTTGACTCGTGTGGGTCGATCGACCTGATCCCGAATTTCCTTTTCGTATACGAGTTTTCGTCAACTACCTCTACTATGCTCAATCCAATTACCGTCCACAAAGACTTTTTTGGGTTTCCCGGGGCCTTGATTTTGACATTAGGCCTGCCTTTGGTGGTTCTCTTTCTCTATGCCGCGTGCAATGAGCATTACGTTGTTGAGGGGTGCAATTTGCAGATCAGCACGATCAGGAGCTTGCTGGGCGAGCAACTCACCAAGGAAACGCTTTTCAGCGCCAAGTGCTGGACTGCGTACCTGGTCTGGTTCTTTGGTCTTGCGGTGCTGGATCTGATTGTTCCCGGATACTACAAAAATGGCACAATGCTGCGTGACGGCACGCACTTGACGTACCTGATCAACGGCAGGGAACTGAGTCTTCTGCTCTGTGGAGCTTTGGCAGCAAGAGCCTGGTACACGAGAGGCCATGTCCCCGAGCTTCAGTTTGTCTACGACAATTTTCTGCGGCTGATGGTCGTTTCCTGGGAATTCTCTCTTATTCTCAGCACGTTTGTCTACATCTGCTCGTATTTTCCTCTGAGACGGCCCAATGGCGCAGGAACTTACGAGCGCATTCTTGCAGAGGGCGGCAACTCGAAAAACGTTGTTTTCGACTGGTTCATTGGCAGAGAACTCAACCCCAGAATAGGACCCTGGGACATCAAGCTATTTTGCGAGCTGCGGCCAGGAATGCTCCTCTGGCTGCTGATAGACCTCTCGTGCGTCCAGAAACAGTACCTGGAGACCGGAACGGTGGCCAACTCGCTCTTATTGGTTGCTGTGATGCAGTCATTCTACATTTTCGACGGAGTGCTCAACGAAGAAGGCGTGCTCTCCATGATGGACATTACCACCGACGGTTTCGGTTTCATGCTCGCATTCGGAGATCTCTGCTGGGTCCCGTTCACGTACTCCCTGCAAGCAAGATACCTCTCGCTCAGGCCTGTGCAGCTCTCTCCAGCAGCCTTTAGCGGTGTCGTGGCCATCATGGTCATCGGATACTACATTTTCCACTCCTCCAACAGCCAGAAAAGCAAGTTCCGCCAGGGTCTGCTTCCGCACATGAAGAGTATCAAAACAGACCGCGGAACAAGTTTGCTGGTCGAAGGATGGTGGGGGCTGTCCCAGCACATAAATTATTTTGGAGATTTGTTGATTGCATTGAGCTGGTGTCTTCCAACAGGGTTTGGCACGCCGCTGACATACTTCTATGTGATATACTTTGCCTTCTTGCTGCTGCACAGGCAGAAGCGGGATGAGCACAAATGTCGAACGAAATACGGCGAATCCTGGACAGATTACGAGAAATTGGTTCCGTACAAGATAGTTCCATATGTATACTAATCGATCATTGTGTTTTCTTGCCAAACGTGACCGGCTTTTCGAAAGCTTTGTAGCTCACCTGGAGAGAATTGAGCCATTTAAGAGCGACCGAAAAGATGAAGAAGAGGAACAGCGACACAAACGTGCACATCACCAGCCCCGGCGTGAAGAAGCCGTATTTGTCGAACAACGACCCGTCCACAACGGTGCTCACGCTGGCGCTGTTCCCTGCGTCGTAGTTGACGGTCCCTTGCCCCGGCTCGTAGATGGTGGCCGTCTCGTCCTCGATCATCTGGTTGATCTCGTCAAACGCCTCATTCAGCTCCTCCTCGATCGTGGCGTAGTCTGTCTCGTCGACCGCATCCGAGCGTTTTGTGTACTGCGAGATCCTCTTCACGTAGTTCTTGGCCTGTTCTAGGAAAGAGATGGTGTTGTGGAACCGAGGAACACCTTGTATTATGACGGTTTGCGGGTTGGCACCGATCGAGATTTTCTCCAGGATAGGTAAGTCAGAGACGTCCAGCCGTATCACAGACACGCCCGGACGGCTAATCTGATCCAACCAGTCGTTGTCGCGAACGTCAACGGAGGCTGAGCTGCACTTAGACGAGACAGCCACGGTCACGTTTTCCGCAGACTTATAGAGGACGTGTGGAGCAATGGCTGCAGGCTCTGGCAGGTTGGAGAGCAGATCCCTGTCGAGATTCCGCCTCGAGAGCCCCTCGACCTGTAGATATATGATATTATCCTGAGGCCTGTCGGTACAGAGGGTTTCTGTCAATTCCGTGACTTCTGCCAGTCTGGACGAGGGAATGAGATACTCGAAGTCGGCATTGAAGTGCGGGCCCGACACAACAAGCGGAGCTGTGTTCTCAAACGCCCGGACAGCTCCCAAGAGGCCAAATACCAACAGTCCCTTCATGGCTTCTAAAACTATTTTGTCTACGTTTGTGCTGCCTAAAACGGTAGGGTAAAAAAAAACGCTATCATGTCTACAGTGCACATCAGTACGTCCAGCTTATGAATTTCTAACCGCAGCAAACATCTCGCAGGCCACCAGCGAGGACCAGATCGTGCGTCTGGCAGGCTCGTTTGGCGTTTTGTCGTCTGTCTCGCTTGAGCAGGAAAAATCAGACAACACACAGAAAGCCAAAATAGTGTTCCAGCAACGCGAGGACGCGCAAGATTGCATCGAAAATCTACACGGCTACCGGCTCGACGGCCACTACTTGATGACCAAATAAAGCCCTGAAATTAGCGAAATATATTACTGTACATCATGCAAATGAAACGCTCTTCTTGCTCTCCGGCTTCAGAATCTCCTTCTTGGCCAACTTGGCGTTCTTGCGTCTGATAGACCGCGCCGTGGCCGCCTTGAGCTTGATCTCTTCCTTCTTGTCCTCAACCTTCATCTTCTTCTCCTGCTCCTTGCGCTCCATCTCCTGTCTTCTCAGCTCTCTGATCTCCTCCAGCCTCTTGGCCTTCTCGAGCTTCGACTCGTTCTCGAGGTCCTTCTCGTCGTTGATCTGGCGAATCAGCCGGTTAAGCGTGATGGTGTCGTTGTCGGCAACAAACTTCTTTCCCTTTTTGCCTTTCTTTTTCAGCACTCCCGGCTGGATCGCCTTGTTGAGCACAGGAATGTCCAGCTCCTTCTCGTCGTACACCTTTTCCTTCTTCTTTCCGTACAGCTTGGCGATTCGGAGCTCTTTCTTGAGCTGGCTCTTTTTCACGTGTCTCTTTTCGCTCTTTGGTGTCAGCTTAGGCTGCGAAGCCAGCATGTTGCGGGCCAGTGAGTCCTGCCTCACTTCTGGCTCCACCTCGCGCTTTTGGTTCTGTGTGCTGCGCCGCTTTGCGGCCTTCGTCTGCTTCTTTGGAACCATTTCACAGATCTCTTTTTTCTGCAATTTTTTTCCCTGAAAATTTGTAGCACAGCCGGCTTTCGTAGCCGTAATCACTCGCTCACGTCTCCGCCAAAGTTGCGATGCGCATACAGTCCGTCTGAAAAATTGCGCTTCACCCTGTCGTAGTAGCAGGAGAGCTCATGAACAAGCTCATGGAGACTCGTCAGTTTTCTGTCCTTGAGCTCCTCTTCCGAAAGCTCTTGGGCGGGCTGTTCTCTGCTGCTCATGTCAAGGTTCTCCATCATCGTGAACTGCACAACTTCAGGTATCAGGTGGTCGTGGTCTCTGTTGCTGCCCTCTTCAATCTGGCTGATTTTCTCCCGCTCCTGGTTCTGGTTGTCGAGTCTCACTCTCTCAATGATCGAGCACTTGACCGGAGCTTTGGACGGAATAGCAGACTTGATATATTCCAGGTAGTTTCCGAGCTCCTTGAAGAGTTCCTCGGAGGACTCGAAGGAACGTGGGGTGGTGATTAGCGGCTCCAGCGCCTCTCTCGATATCACCGTCGAGCTGGCCAGCTCTGTGTGTATCGTCGGCGAGTTGGGGGCCGGATCCGTATGGAATCTCGTCGACAAGAGTTCCTGCAGCCGCTCCTGCGAATCTGCGCCCAAATCGTCGCTCGGAAGGTTGAGTTTGTCTTTCTGGAACAGCTGCAGACGCTCAAGAACGTCTGTGCAGCTGATGTGTGGGTCCAGAACAGAGCCGGTGCAAAGCTCGACGGTCTTTGCCACCATGTCCAGCTTGTAGTTGCTAATTTTGCCCTCGCCATAGAGCTTCAGTAGCATCACTTCAAGCTCCGACTCGTGTATTTTAAGTTTTTCCTGCAGTTTGCGGAAACTCACACGTTTGAAGAGCTTCAGATACCCCAGAACAAACCGGACATGAACCAGCTCTGTGACGAACGGTATGAACTGCGCAAGAAGGTTCCCCTGCATCATGTTTTTGAACTCCTCGTCGTCGTTCAAAAGCGCATTGTATTTGGCGATGTCGGTCTCCTGGACGTGCCGGTACAGCTCCATCAGCTTCACGATCTCCGACACGTGGTCGAATCCCTGGAAGTCGCCCGACTGGAACGGGTCGATCTCGCTCTCGCTCAGCAGGTTGCTGATGATGTACTTCATCAGCACGTCGACGCGCCGATCGTCGCCACACTCGTTGAAACCACGGAAGCTTTCCTGGAAGCAGTGGTTGGCTCTCTGGAAGTCTTCGTCGAACATGGCCACGAGACCGGAGCACTCCTTGATGATGCCCACGATGCGCGACTGCGGGATGCTGGAGCCCAGATTCTCGGCCATTTTCGTCAGTCTGGAGAGCTCCTCGACGTCGATCTCGCCGCGGCTCGCAATCACCATCTCCAGGGCAATAACTTCTAGCAGATATGCGCTTTTGATTGCTTCTGACGAGCCTGTGACGGCTTCCTCCAGTCTCTGCAGCAGCGATCGGGCCTCGTTGTAATTTTGTTCCGCCAGCAGCACGCCTGCGCGCCCCAGCTCGACTCGTATAATCAGCCGTTCGTTTCTGGAGTTGCTGCTCCTCAGGTAGGCCGAAAATTTGTCGAAGACCTGTTTCTGCAGCTCTGACGAGCAGCCGGCGATCGGATGGTCGAACCTGTGCAGCATTTTCGAGAACGAGGCATCCCCGTACGACGCCCCCATCTGCGGCAGCTGTTTCAAGAACAGGTCCAAGTAGTGCATAATCATAGCCGGGTCTCCCAGCTCGATGCTCACCTTGAGTGCCTGTTTCGTCGACTTGAACACATACTCCGAGTTATCGTTTCTGTCTATGTTTTCCTGGAACACCTGGAGGGCTTGTTCTAGCTTCTCGTCCTGCCGCAGCTCCTTGCCCCAGAAGTAGCGGCTCTCCATGTCCGTGCCGGCCTCGTCAACACTTTCCTGGACATCGTCTTCCTCAAACGAGAGCTCTTCCTCGTCGTCGTCGTACATGTCATCATCCCAGTCTGACATGGTAAAATTCAGGCGATTTATTTTAAAATACTGTCTGGGTACTTTACATAAACTGTTTTCGCAAAATATCATTCACGCGCAAACAGAGCGGAGAGGCGGATAGACTGGAATACAGGGCGCACTGCTGGGCTGGCTGCGGTGGCTAGTTTTTGCGGTCGTCGTCTATGTTCATATTCCTCGTGAGCTCCTCGAGCTCCTGCTGCTCCAGAGCCAACATGAGCTCCAGCTCGCGCTCCAGTGCAGTATTTCGGCCCTGCGGGTGCTCCCCCGCGTCCTCCTCGGAGTCGGCGTCGTATTCGCGCTCTGTGTCGTACTGCTCCAGCAGCCTGTCCAGGTCGATCTGCTGCTGCGGATGCGCGGTTTGCGCCTGCTGCTCCATCCGCTGCGTGTCGCGGCGCTCCTCCTGGCGCAGCACAAACTCTGCCATGGGGCCTCGTCGCAGCTCAGCACATCGCTCGCGTCGCTGTGCGCGCAGCTGTGCCAGAAGCTGAGCCCGGGACTGGTCGGGTAGCTTCATCGGGCGGAACAGCCTCGTGATTCTGTCATTCTGCCGCTGCACCAGCAGCTCCATGCTCCTCGTTCCGTCGTTTCCCGCGTGGGACGGCGCGCCGTCGCGTTGTGTCATGGTTCCTAATTTCTCCAGACCTTTTTAGCTAGCACAGCCTGACCATGGCGAAAAAAAAAAACGACTTGACTAATATTGGGATTAATTTATTTTCCATGCTCAGACAACTCAGACAACTCCCAAGACTGTGCACACAGGTCCGCGTAGGTATAGTCCAATTCCCAGTCACTAACCGGCCAGCATTACGCTCTCTCTCCCGAGGCCAAGAACCTGATCTCGAAAAACCTCGAGGAGGTCGACGCCGAAATGTACGAGATTCTGCAGAAGGAAAAGGCCAGACAGAAAAACTCCATCACGCTGATCCCGTCCGAGAACTTCACCTCGCGGGCCGTGATGGACATACTGGGCTCGGAAATGCAGAACAAGTACTCTGAGGGATATCCTGGCGAGAGATACTACGGAGGGAACGAGTACATCGACATGGCTGAGAGCCTGTGCCAGCAAAGAGCTTTGCAGGCCTTTGGGCTCGACCCTGCCGAGTGGGGCGTCAACGTGCAGCCGCTCTCCGGAGCTCCAGCCAATCTGTACGCCTACTCGGCCGTCCTCGAGGTCGGCGACAGACTGATGGGCCTGGACCTGCCTCACGGAGGCCACTTATCCCACGGCTACCAGACGGCTTCCACCAAGATCTCGTACATCTCCAAGTACTTCCAGACGATGCCGTACAGACTGGACGAGAAGACCGGACTGATCGACTACGACATGCTCGAGAAGACGGCCGTGCTGTTCAGACCCAAGGTGATTGTGGCTGGTGCGTCTGCGTACGCCAGAGTCGTCGACTACGCCAGAATGAAGCAGATCGCCGACAAGGTCGGCGCGTACCTGATGTCCGACATGGCCCACATCTCCGGCCTTGTGGCCGCCGGCGTCACCGACTCGCCGTTCCCGCACTCCGACATCGTCACCACGACCACCCACAAGTCTCTGAGAGGACCTAGAGGCGCCATGATCTTCTTCAGAAAGGGCGTCAGAAAGGTCACCAAGAAGGGCAAGGAGATCCCGTACGAGCTCGAAAAGAAGATCAACTTCTCGGTGTTCCCTGCGCACCAGGGAGGTCCCCACAACCACACCATCTCTGCGCTGTCTGTGGCTCTGAAGCAGGCTATGACGCCGGAGTACAAGCAGTACCAGGCCGATGTCGTTTCGAACGCGGCCGCGTTTGCCCAGGCGCTGCAGGAAAAGGGTCTGGACCTGGTTTCTGGCGGAACTGACACCCATCTGATCCTGATCGACCTGCGGTCCAAGGGCATCGACGGGGCCAGAGTCGAGGCTGTTCTCGAGAGAGCCAACATTGCTGCCAACAAAAACACCGTGCCGGGCGACGTGTCGGCTTTGTTCCCGTCCGGTCTGAGAGTCGGCACCCCGGCCATGACCACGAGGGGCTTCCTGAAGCCGGAGTTTGCCAAGGTTGCCGACTTTATTGAAGAAGCCGTCAAGATCGCCACTGATCTCAAGGCTAAGGAGGCGGGAGCGTCTCCTAAGGAGAAACTTGCCGACTTCAAGCGTCTGGCCAGCGAGAGCGACGCCGTCAAGCAGCTCGGCGCCACCGTCCAGGAGTTTGTGTCCCAGTATCCAGTTCCTGGCGAACAGTAGAGCACCGCCACATAATTTTTCTCTCCCACGGCTGTGCTTTATTTACATAAGTCTAAATTTTACCGAACCATAAACATTATCCGCTCTTTGCCCATTGCTGACCCGTCCCTGGCTACTCCATGTCGTCGAACCTGGAAGAGCTTGACCAAGTTCTTCTAAGATATCTCAAATCTCCAGAAACCCGAGAACCGCAGCAGCACGCTCTCGCTCCACGGACCGCCCTGAAAGCCCGCGAACCTAACGTCCAGCCCGTCGTGCGGGATCCCGTGGACCTTGCTGTTGGATTTATCAACGAGATTCTCGGCGAGATGCGTTCTTTTGGTGCACACGGGCTGGACAGCTCTACTCTGCGGACGATAGCGCTTTGTCTGGAGGCCGTCGAGAGAACCGACCCCGTTTTACATATTAGCAAAACCCTGGAGGCCTGCAAGGTGTTTGTTTCATCGGGAATGCTTGCCGAGCCGCGGGTCCTGCTGGAACGCTTTCTCTGCCTGAAAACACGGCAAGAAAACCCGTCCTTGGAGGATCTGCTTCGAAAGTACGAGATTGGAGATTTTGGCCCAAAGCTGGACGCTGAGTACATTATGGTGGTTCTGGAGCTGATTTTGGGGCTGGGAGCGCATAGCACGTCAAGGCATCTCCCAGACATAATCATTGAGAAAACGTCGTCCTTGATAGCGTCACTGGACAGACAACAGCGACTCAAACTCCTCAGCCTTCTGTCGCAGTTCTGCACCGCCGAACAGACCACAGAGTCCCTGAAACTGCGCTACTACGCTCTCATGCACATAGAAGATGCCGGTACAGAGTTTTTGCTGGCCACAATTCTGCATTTTGAAAGAGTGTGTGATGCATCTGTTTATTCCAGCACCGCCGACGTGTTCTACAATCTGTGCTCCTCGTGGGCTCGAAGCCAACGATCCCTGCGTCCGCTGCAATTCCTCGTCCACAAATACCATCAACTAAAACCTACATCTTGCACCCTGAAGTGGGAAACGGCGATATATCAGCAAGCTTTGCCGCCCGCTCTCGACGACCATATTTCGTATTTATTGACCACGCTCGACCTTACTGACACCGGCGACCGCCGAATTTTACTTAAAGCACTGGAACTGGAAAGACCAATAGCTAACGAATCGTTGTTTGTCGCCAGCGTTTGCCGAGTAATCAAGGGACTCGACTTCACTTTGAAAGCAGATCAGCAGCTCGTTCTTGCACTCCTGGAGTGTTCAAAAAACACGAGTCCATGTTTAAACGTGTACGATATGACGACCATCTTGATCAAAGACCTGGATCCACTAGTGCATTCTGGATTCGAAATCAAGGCGCTTTCTGTGATGACAGAGGTGCTGAAGCATCAAAATCAGCCAAAGAGACTACGCAACTTCTCAAACTTGCTTTTCCACTATGGCGGCAAACTCTTGACGAAGAATGAGTCTGAGGCTTTGAGATGCTGGCACAAGTGTCTGTATGTCGAGGATATTCTTGTCGAGCAGAACGCTGACGAGTTTGGACAGCTGAAAAATAAAGTCGAACGTATGCTGAACATGCTGATCGAGACCAAGAAATACGCTCACTCTTACGACATAATCATGCACGTGTTTCAGTCGTTTGAGCAGCTCCACCGGGGTTGGCAGGTCGAAAAGTATCAGGATGAATTGATACAAACGTTTGGCATTTTAATCAAGCTGGTCTCACGGATGATCGTTCGAATGGATTCCAAGCTGCCTGTAAAAATTCTCGGCGCGGGTGATAAGACACGAGCTTTCGTCACAATCGAGCTCATCAAGATTCTAACTTCCATGAAACCTTCTAGACGGGACCAGATTTCAGCCCTGATAGTCCAGGTCAAAAACGAGTTGCAGGACAATGGACTCTTTCTCTATTTTCTGTCATCCATTTCGATGATCATCGAGTTTGGACTCGCTCTGAAATCCATCGAGGCTCTGAACTTTGAAACAAACTCGGTCATGAGCGGATATCGTGACATAATTGTATGCCACATATATTTGTTGCAATGTTGCTCCCAGATGGACGAAGAACTGCTCATGAAGTCGCTGGCTGCCGTTTTGTCGTGGGCAAAGACCAAACGCGCAAAGGTCTCGGTCTACGAGCTGGAAGTGCTGACAATGGTGATCCGTGTTCTCAACTATTCGGATCTGACAGATTACGCGAGTTATTTGTTGGAGGTTGCGAGACAAAATGCAGATTTCGGCGCCTCGGACCTGGGATTAAGAATGGAGGCTGCCTATTTGAAATTGCAGCTAAACCTTCCAGACGAGGCTCTAAAGCTTCTAGACGAGGTGCCAAACACTGCGCTGGAAGCTGCGAGGCACAAAATGTTGAAGACCGAATGTTATCTGTTGCTGAAAGACGATGCAGCCCAGCAAGAATGTGCTGAACTGCTCTCCCTCTTCAAAAGCGAGCAGCTCCAGCTGTCCAAGCAATCCAACAAACTCAACGTCAGCACTTTGTTAATGTTGGCTGCGAGCGTGTCGATGCTGATGGCACTATTCCATCGCGAGAAAAACAAACTTGAGAGTGTGCTGAATCTTAAGCAAAGCATCAGAGTGCTTCAGTCTGTGATGAAGAACTTTCTGGTCACCGACGGAAGCTCGATAGAAATCGACCTTTGTCACAAGAGTACGCTCAAAATGCAGTTCGTCTCGTTAATGCTCCAGGCTTACAGCTCCCTGGCCGCCATGATGCTGGAACTGGGGCTGGCCAAGGACTTTGAGTACTACGCAGCAGAGCTTGAGAAAGTTCTTACGCATCAGTCGTCGTTGGTGCTGAAATCCAGATACTTCTTCAGGCTGGCCAAATACCATGTCTACAGGAATGATCTTGCAGCAGCCAAAGAAGTGTTGGACAAAGCAACTCGGTGTTCGCAAAAAATGCAATTTGAGTCGTTCCAGGTGGAGTTTGAGAAGTTGAGTGCGTACGAGCTGTTTTACCAGATGGCCGATAGCAAGGACGTCCACGCGATCCGCGATAAAGTGGATATGTTCTTCCGTCTGCTTGCAGGGCACGAAATCGACGGAGGCAAGTTCTACCAGCAGGTTGTGTACGAGCTCAGACTGGGCCGCTCATTGGCCAACGAAAAGAACTTTATTGCATTTCTGCGCATGTTTCTTCCTATGAACGGCAGAGAGAAGACGAGCATGCTGAAAACAGCAGTCACCAATATGAAGGAAATGATTATCCAGACTGTCAATCAGGACCTCGAGAACATTTTTGCAGGCGACTCTGTGGTTGTAATGAAAGAAGGCGCGATGGACAATATGTACGCTGCCTGTCTCCGGGAATGTGCCAAGTTTGTGAATGAGCCCAGACTGGTGAGCGAGGATATATCCAAAGGAGCTATTTCCGTGCTGCTTGCTAGTGGAGCCTGTTCGCGCACCAATTTGGAATCGGTGTTGATGCAAAACGAACTGATGCGTTACGAATCCCTTGAGTACGACAGGAAACTGAACCTGGCTATCGAAAACACGCGACAATTGGTCCCGCTCGTATGCCAGCCCGACTACCGAGTCTCTGTTTCGCAACCGCACGATCTTGCCTCTGTTCTTCCACTAAACTGGGTCACAGTGTGTCTGGATCTTGATATGAACAGCGGGTGTCTGGTTCTCACGCGGTACGGCCCCAAGCAAGATCCAGTATTCCTCAAGCTTCCTCTGGAAAGACATCTCATTGGACGTCACGCATCCTTTGGATCTGCAGTCCAGGAGCTCGAGGCTATAATTCAGGAAAGTGACCGCACCACAAGAATAGAGGTCACCTCGATGGTGAAAACCAAAGCCGACCGCGCTAACTGGTGGGCCCAGCGAAAATCGCTGGACAGAAAGTTGAAACAGCTCCTATGTGAGATGGACAGTCACTGGTTTGGCTGCTTCAAGGGAGTCTTTGGCCGTTTCGTTTTCGAAAAAGCTGTGGTGGAAGAGACTCGTGTCTCTCTTGAACGTATCTTGAGCAAACACGTCGGTCATTCTATTTCACTTGGAGCTTTTGACACAGAACTGATACTCCAGCTTGATCTGGACTTGGGAACAGTTGCATCGGACGTGGAAGACTGGTTTCAGCATATCCAGATCTCCGATGAGGCAGACTACGGTCGGCTGTTTTTGGAGATCGAGCCAGAGCTCCGTCGGGTGCGTCCGACGTTTACGATAGATCACACTGTGCTTGTGGTCTCTCCTGAATGTGTCAAGCTGCCGTGGGAATCTATGCCGTTCCTTCGGACCAGATCTGTGTCACGAATGCCTTCTATAAAGATGCTTGTGGATGTTCTTGTTGAGCACGCCGACCACCTGAGCCTTGGCGTTCCTGTTGCGACAGGCTACTACGTGATCAATCCGGGCGGAGACCTGAAAAGAACCGAAACCAACTTTTCGAAGATATTTGCTGGTCGTCGCGGCTGGGAAGGCATCATTGGAAGCCGTCCCAGCGAGGAGCAGATTTCACAGGGTCTCCAGAAGGATCTGTATGTCTACGTGGGCCATGGCGGGGGAGAGCAATATATTCGCTCGAAAACCGTCAAGAGCATGGCAAAGCTGCCTCCAGCGCTGCTTCTGGGGTGTTCCTCCGGGAAACTCAAGACTCAGGGCGTGTTCAAGCCGCACGGGACTGTGTACAACTACCTGATAGGCGGAAGTCCAATGGTGGTGGCAAACTTCTGGGACGTGACCGACAAGGACATCGACAAGTTTACTCTACACATGTTTGAAAAATGGGGCCTGTCGGGCCGATCGCGCGGTGACATTGGTCACAGCATTGCGCAGAGCCGGGATGCGTGTGTTCTTCCGTACCTTAACGGGGCTGCCCCTGTATTGTATGGGCTTCCGTTCAAAATACGTAATGAGTTATGATGGATGGTTATTTCTCTCGAAATACAACAACGTTTTGTAGAGACAGGCAAGAAATTTGGCTGTGTCAGCGTTGGCTGGGAGCGGATTGGGGAGCGTAGCTAGGCTTTCCAGTATGGACTGGTCGGGGATGTTGACATGAAATGTCAGCGGGTGGAACGTGACGATGTTCTCGGAAGGACCGAAAGACAGGTGGACCCCATGGTCGTGCGGAGGGTGGCGCTTCGTGCGGATGCGTTCTATCTCTTTTTTCAGTGTGTCTAGAGTGATCTGTTGTATAACCTGTGCATTTTTTGCCAAATAGCCAACAGTGGGATGTCCCTTCTCCCTGAGGCTGATGAACGGCGGCGTGAGGGCGAAGTCCTGATCTTTGCCGAGTTTTTGAAAGCCCTCGAGAAAGGTTTTGTCGTTGGGCAGGTACATTATCAGGTCGTTTTTTTTCGCAGCGGGCCTTATGTCAGGAACCATCACTGTGTCAAACCGCGAGTCGGTCAGCCTGTTTTCCACGCAAACAAACTTGACAAACAGGTCTCTGGGGACTACCAGACGAGATGGGACGATTGCCCTGGCGGGAGAGCTCGCGATCTGCGCAAACACGTTTGCGGAGAGGTCGTCGTACGAGTCTATTCTTTCTGCAAATGCGCGGCGCCGGCCGGACCATTTGGCCGGCCGTTCAAACGCGGGCGAGCAAAGCACAGACTCTGGCACTCTGTCGAGCGGCTTGTGTGTCTTGAGTCTGCGAATCAAGGACGCCTTAAATCTCATAGATAGTATTTTGCGAGTATAAATAAATGTAGTGCATTAGATTTTTCAGATTTTTTAATCGTCTGAAAATGAACCGTCTTCGATATTTCTCGTCGAAGACGCCGCCTGTCGAGGCATACAAGCAGGCAATGTCTTCGTTCGGGTCGCAAGGTACGTAAACTTCAGCACCAGCAGTCTAATGCCAGCGATGATCCTGACAGCACCGGCTTTATCGTCTTCCGTGTCAGATTTACACGGAATGACACTCTCGTCGGTAAGCTCGCTCACAGTCAGTCCGGAACCCGTGGTCCAGTTCAACCTGCAGGTGCCGTCGAGAACGTCGCAGACGCTGCACGAGTCCGGGTTTCTGGCGCTGCACATCTTGCCCCCGGTGAAGGAGTCTGTGCGGCTGGCTAGGGCGTTTTCGAGAGGAACGCAGGGGAAACGTGTGACGAGGCCGTTCGAGGAGCTCGGAAAGGACGAGTGGTCGTACTTCACGACGGAAACCCTAAGAATACCTGTTCTTTCGCTCGCCGAGCGGATCCTGATCTGCGAAAAGCACCAGGTGTTTCGTGTATATAATCATGAGCTATGGACGTGTCGAGTGCGGGAGATAGTCCGGCGCGCTGGCGACGCCGACGCGACGGGCGGGCTACTCTACTTCAACCGACGGTTCCATGCAGTGGGAGGGAAACTGGAGCATTAATAAACTCATTCGTCTGCGGTGTAGCGAGTAGCTGCTAATGCTGGAGCTGTTTTTCGAATTTACCGATCTCGTTCATGAGCACGCGGTGCTTTTCGGCCCGCTGGCCGGCGCGGATGCTCCTGTGTTCCTGGCGCAGCCGCACCTCTGCCGTCTTGAGCTGCTCGATCTCGAGCTCGAGCCGTTTGACGTCGTTGGCAATGCGCTCCTTTTTCTGGATCAGTTTCTCCTTTTTCTGCAGCAGCGGCGCCCTTTCGGCCTCGAGAGCCGCGACCCGCGCCTTTTCGGCCTCGAGCTTCTCGTAATGCGCGCTCTCGAACGCCTGCAACAATCGCATCTCCGAGTCGTACGCCCGTTTCGTGTCCAGGTACCGCTCGTCCACCTCCGACTGCTGCGTGTACAGAGACTCGGCCTCCTTGGACAGCTTGCTGATCTCGCACTCGCTCTTGGCGACGGCCTGGCGCAGCGACTCGACTTTCTTGTAGTTGCGCGTCTCGTCCGTGAAGTTCGACCGGCTGTTGAGCGACTCGATCTCGGCCTTGAGCGCCGACGACCGCTTGCGCCAGTCGGTCTTGAGCTTCTTGAGCTTCACTTTCTCGCGCTCGATCGCCGCCTGCGTCGTCACCACCGACTCCTGCAGCGTCGCGAGCGGCGACGAGTGCTTGGACTCGGTCAGAATGCGGTGCTTGTGGATGGTGCTGACCGTGGCACCGGCCAACAGCTCGCGCTCGTCCTTGCCGTTCACGTTGACAAACTCCACGTCGTACTGCGACAGCGGGCTCAGGCCGCTCACGATGACGAGCTCCCGCTCCTCCAGGCCGATCAGCGCTGTCTGCTCCCAGATGATGCCGTTGACCATCACCAGCAGCTGGTCGATGTACACGTTCCGCAGCTCGAACGCGACGGCCGTCTCGCCGGTGTACCAGATAAAACACTGGGCAGAGTCGGCCAGCGAGCGCGTCCAGCCGTCCGGGTCTCTGTTGGTGGTGACCAGCGCGTTCTGCTGGTAGTACTCGCCGGAGTAGAGGTCTGGTCTGCCAAACATGGTTTTCGCCGCAGACACGAACGCCCAGATCGGCTGCTGCACGCGGCCGGTCATGCTCTTGATGCGCTTCTCCACGTACGGCGACAGCTTGGCCTTGGGGCTGCTGCCGGCGAGAGTGGCCGTCTGGGGCGGCTGCGTAGCTGGATTGGAATAATTCAGAGACGGGAACAGAAACAGCCGGCAGTAGTTCTCGAAATTCTGCGCAACGACCAGACTGGCTGACGACACGTCGTTCATGTTGAGGATCTGATGGTCGGGCGGGAACGAGGCCGGCGCAGAGTCCTCGGACTCGTGCGAGTCGGCCGTCTCCTCGGACGACGACGAGGACGGGCGAACGAGCCCGGGAATCGTGCTGTCTGCGATGTGCGGCGAGACGGTGATGGTCCTTGTTTCTGCAGCGAGCTCGCCGGTGTACGGCTTTGCGACGGGCTTGCTCGGCAGCCTGCTACCCGCGGACGAGTCCTGGGGCTTGGCAGCTACTTTTCGAAGCCACGGGTTGACGTTGCACATGATGGTGTAGACGGAGAGCAACGCGTAGACGAAGTCGACGAGGTGGTCGACGCGGAAGATCAGCAGCTGGCGCACGCGGCTCCTGAGAGGCGACCAGGTGTACAGCAGGCGTTTGAGCGGGGTCTTGGGGTATCGGACGTATGCTGAGTAGAGGAACGCGTCTGTGACGGCGGAGCCGTCGAGATAGACGAGGTAGACGTTTTTCACCAGGAACGTGGCGAGGTTCTCGACCACCAGGACGATGATCATCGAAAGGAATGCGTTGGAGATGTATTTTTGCTTTGTTGATGCTAGGTTCGATGCCACAAACGCTTTGGCCAGCAGATGCATGTAGTCAAGCAGCCCTGGCGCGACAAACAGCAGCGCCAGCGTGACGGCCACGTCGATGCTCAGCAGCCCCAGCAGATACGACCCTCGCCCGAGGCCGGCCGATGCGGCGTACTCTGCGTTGTGGTCGAGGCCGCTGAGCTTGTGGCGGTAGACGAGCGAGAGCGTCGACCTGACAAACCGCGACGAGTTCAGCGTGGCATACAGCGTCAGCACGGCGACACTGATGCAGCTCGGAAGCACCATGAGCACGGCCAGGATGGCCACTGTGTCTGTCAAGGGGTGCAGAGGAATGAGAGACTTGGGCTCCATGTGTGAGAAAATGCAGATTTCCGGGGTCTATTAATGCGGCGAAAATATGACTATGGCAAGGGACTAACGCAGCCGTTCCAGTTGCCAATGCACGACAGGTCTCAGTACATCAAAGGTGAAGAGAAATAAAGTTGGAACTAAAATATTTGATTCATTCGGTGGGTTGCACGACCTCGAAATTATTTTCACCCGTTATAAGTAAGCATGTCTCTGGAGGCCATTAAGTTCGATTCGCAGAGGGTGACGCTGGAGATTTTGAACCAGCTGCTGGTCCCGTACGATACGCAGTACCTGTCTGTGCGCAGCATGGTGCCGTGCGACGGCGACACGTCATTTTCTGGATACGAGGCCATCAGGGGCATGTACACCAGAGGAGCGCCGGCCATCATGCTTGTGGGGTGCTTTTCCGTGGTTGTGGAGCTGGACAGGGTGATCAACAAGAACGACAACCCGTTTGGGTACAAGCTGGACGACCTGGCCGAGTTTAAGGCGCAGCTGGAGCAGAGAATTGACTTTCTGGTCGAATCCAGACCAACGGCCGTCAACCTGCTCAATGGCTGCAACCAAATGAAAAAAATCATCCAGGACGCACAGAGCATGAGGGAGCTGTACTCCGGCGTGTTGGACTTCACCATCAGGCTGTACAGGGACGATTTGGAGTCGAACTACTCCATAGGAGCGAACGGAGTGAAATACATCTACGAGGAGCTGGAGAAAGAGGGATTCACGGGCGAGTTCTCCGTCATGACCATCTGCAACACGGGCTCGCTGGCGACTTCGGGCTACGGAACAGCTCTGGGAATCATCCGTGCCCTGCACAAAGAGGCCCAGACCAACCCGACTAGGATGAGCCACGTGTACGCGTGCGAAACTAGGCCGTACAACCAGGGCTCGAGACTGACGGCATACGAGCTGCAGTACGAGAAAATCCCATTCACCCTCGTCACTGACAATATGGTGTCGTTTTTGGTGGACTCGCTAGTGCGCCAGAAGACCGATAGAGCGCTGCCCAGCGCGGCTCCAATTAAATTTATCATCGTGGGAGCAGACAGAATAGTGAAAAACGGAGACCTTGCCAACAAGATCGGCACGTTCCAGCTCTCGCTGATTGCGTCGCTGTACCCGTCGATCAAGTTCATCGGAGCAGCCCCTACCACGACGATCGACTTCACCAGAAAGTCCGGAGACGAGATCGTGATTGAGCAACGGCCCAAGAACGAGCTCACAGAGATTATGGGAGCAGCCCTCGATAAGGACGGTTCCTTTGTACAGGGAAAAGACGGTATCCAGCTCCAGAAAGTCCGAATGGCGCCGGCCGGCATCGACGTGTGGAACCCGTCGTTCGACGTGACGCCGCACGAAAATATCGACTGCATCGTGACGGAGAAAAAATACTTCTTGAAAAAAGACGGGGTGTTCAATCTCGAATAGTCATATTAACTCGCATAGTTGGTATTCTATTCTTATTTTATTTTGTATGCTTTACAAATTCAAAATCCGTTTCCAAACCCTGCTCCAGTGGGTTGGAATCCGATTGGGGGTGGGCCCTGGATGCCGGTTCCGTTAGTCAGGAGTAGCCTCTGGCCAAGGGCAGGCTCTTCCTCTTCGGTCTTAGTCTGCTTGGCCTGCCTCTCCTTCAAATCAGCATACAGCTCAGACAGCCTGTCCTGGTTCTCCTTAGCAACGGAGATTTCATATGGCTTGATGTAGTCACCCAGATTGTGCAGCCATGCCAGCTCCAGAGCGACGTCGTGCGGAATCAAATGGTAGCACGCGTACAAGGTGGCAACAAAACACTCCTTGTTTCCAGTATCCACAAAGTACGTCAGTAGGTCCGTGGCCACCTTGGCGGTGTTCGACATTGCGGCAGTCTCAATAGCGTCGGCCCACAGCTTGTCGGCCTTGAGCAGGCCAATAGCCTTGTTCCACTTCTTGTTCTTCCTGTAGATAATGGCAGCAATCTGTCTGAAGAAAATGAGATCGTGCTTCTCCAGTCTCTCGGCCAGGCCAAGATGGTCAAACTTGTCGTGAGCGTCGATCACAGACCTGAGTGACTTGTAGTCCTCCTCCTCAATCAGTAGATCGTGGTAGGCCTGGTTCACCATAGAGTTGTTCTTGTCCAGCACGGAGATCAAAAATGGCTTGATAAGTGGCAGGTTGTCGGACTTGACAAAAATCTTGATCACTCTTGGAAGGTCCAATCTAGGCGTCAGAACGGTCAACAGGTCCGTCAAAAGAGTAGGGTGTGTGTTTAGGTAAAAGTTGATAGCCTTGTAGTAAATCTCCAGGTTGGCAACCTTGACGATGATCTCCTTGAACGAGGAGTGTTCAAATGCAGTCTCGGAACGCTCCATCATGGCCAGAGCAGCATTATCCCACTCGTCGTAGTGACAGTAAAGGAAAATCAATTCGGGCCACAGATGTGCACTCTCGCAGGCTCTGATCACCTTTGGAATGTTCAGTCTGGACCAGAACAGCTTCAAATGCTCCATCGTGTCCTGTGGTCTGTATTTGGTATACAGGATAGCCAGCTCGGTGAACATACCCATGTGAGCTCTTTCCAGCGAAAGACCATTCTCGAACAACTGGATCAACTCCTTGAAGTAGCCATTGTACTCGTATTGCTTCACCAGCTCGTCCAACTCCTCCGCATGGACAATCAGGTTCAGACCACACATTTGCGCGAGCTTGAACTCTTTGTTGTCAATACAGGCCTGGTTGACTTGCTTCCAGACAGAAACGTTGGAGGCCTTTCTAGCACAGTCAACAGCAGATTGGTAATCCTTCAGGTACACCAAGGTGGATGCCAGTTTCGAGTAGTTGGAGATGTTGGCATACAGTAACTTTGCAGCCTGGTAGTTCTTGTTAGCATACAACTTGTCTCCGATACTCTCAATATCAGCAACGTTGGTCAATTGCAGGAACTTCTCAATCTCTGGCAATTTGTCCAGAGCGGCATAAGCATTGATGATTGCTCCATCGATCTTTGGCTCTCTAAGAGTCTGTCTGGCCATCAACAAGTAAGGAATAAGCTCCTCTTCTTTACCTGCATGTTCAGCGATGTCAATCACCTGTTCGAAGTTGGAAGGATCGTTGGCCTTGAGGTACGAGTTGATAGCCTCTGGGATTCTCAAACCATTTAGTTGCGCAGCACCCAGCTGTGACCATAATTCTGGCTTTTCAAGCTTCTCGGCGTAGTCTTCACCTCTGTCAAGAGACATGATGTCCTCAAGAAGAACCTTCATGGCATCGGTGTACCTCTCAAACTTGTCGTAGATCTCAAACGCCTCCTCTTGCAAACCATTCTCGATACACAGCGGAGCAACCTCGTCTGGGTCGTAAGCATCGAGCTTTTCGATATAAGAACTGACCTTGGACTTGTCCACCTTGATTGCAGTCAAGATCAACAGAGCCTGCAACGATGGGTTGTCGCTGAATGGAGATGGCTCCAGGATGATTTTTTCCAACAGCTCGGTCAGCTCGCCTGGCAGATCGTTCTCCATGAACGCCTTGACCGCAATTGAAATTGGCTCTGGATCCTCAAGCTCTGGAACAGCTGTTCCAACAACCTGGTCAACAACTTGTCTGCGGTGAATGTTGTCCGTGGAGAGAACTTTGCCCCAAAGAGCCAGGTCTGATCTTTTGAGCAAGTATCTGGCTTGGTACTTGTACATGGCGTTTTCATTGGTGATATTGATCAGCTCATCATCGTTCATTCCCTTGTCGTACGCAATGTAGGCGAGATATGGATCTCTCTTCTCGCAGTACTTACCAACAACCAACGTATCGTACTGGTCGTTCTCCACCAAGAATTTCTCCGGGTTATTGTTGGAATCAATGTAAATCTTGGCCAGAGTATCGTAGACAGCCTTGTCTGTGGAACCGGATTGCAAGGTGGCCTCGAGGAAGGGAAGCAAGATCTTAAGTCTGTTTCTCTTTTCAACCTCCTCACAAAGCTCGGCAATTGGCACTTGTCCAAGGACGGATTGTAAAAGGGACTTGATCACGCTCTCATCACAGTCGACATCCAAAAGAGCAGCAACAACCTGCGCTGTCTTGGATGGATTCACCTGTTGAACATACACTTCGATAAATTTGAACAAACGGTTCTTGTACAGATAGAGAATCAAGTCATGAACATAGTTGAATCTATCACAAACAATGATCAATGGCAGTTGGTCTTGGAGTTTGGCCTCCTTGAGGAAGTTCTTGACTTTTTCTCCATTGTAGACGTTATTCTCTCTAACAACCCTCTCAATTTCCTTCACCTGGCCCAATTTGGCTGCACACTGGATGTACCTTAGAACAACTTCAGGGTCCTGGGAAAGATTGACAATCGAGGCCAAGTAGTAGTACTCACCCTCAGTGCACTTGAAGTCTTCAAAAACCTTAATCAAGGTCGATGGACCAATAAGCTCCGAGTACTTGGTTGCGACCTGAATCACCACCTGCAGGTTCTGAGCCATGTTTTGGGACAGCATTTCTCTCAAACAGGCAACAGATTGTTCGACATTGAGCTTGCCGAAGTATGCAACCAGCCAGTCAACAGGCAACACGTTAGAGTGAACAATAACTCTCTTGATGTCCTTGATGTTCTCGTAGTGTTCTAGAGCTCTTTGATAAAGGCCTGCCTTCTCACACAAAGCGGCGATAGTTGGTCTATCGTAATGAGAAAACATAGCGTTACCCAGGATTGCGTCCGCAACTTGAGGAGCATGTAATAAGTTGACTTCGAGCAATCTTGTTTGCAGATGACCTTCAGATGGCTTGTCCTCCTTCAAAGCTTCCAAGAGGAATGCTGTTCCTTGTTGAATGTAGTTCTGAGAAAGGAAAATGTCGGCAACCTTCTGGACATCTAGGTCTGGCTGTTGGGAGTACAATTGAGTGGCAAACTCGGCAGCCTTATCTGGGTTGACTCTCAAAATGTTTTGAATCAGCACGGTAAAGTTTGGATGATAATTAGACCTTTCGCAGTACGGAAGAATCTTATCGAACTGGCCCAATTCGCCAAGGCAAGTCACAACCTTGGCGGGAACATCTGACTTATAATACACGGCCAGAGCCAGAGTCGTGTTGTATGGCTTGATAAGATCACCCAGTTCTTCAGAATAGTCAAGCTTCTCTTCCTTCAGGTACTTCTCTAACGTTTCAATCCTATTTTGCTGAAGCAAAGGTCTCACCAGCTCGAGAGTTTCATATTTGTTCAAAGAGCCTCTGTCCAGGAGATAGACCAAGTATTGCAGAATAGGAGCAGGCTGGCCTGGAGGCGTTGGAAGTGTCTTTAGCCTGGAAATGGTGTCTGGGGTTCTTAATTGCACAGAGGACGCTGCGATCTTAACTGCCGAGGCGTAGTCACCCTGGGCAAGCGTCTGATTGAACTGTTGCGAGAAAAGAGACTCTGCTCCTGGAAGTCCTGCTCTGGATGCCAAACTCAAAGCCAGCTCGACGTCGCCAAGGTTTTTCAGGATGTAGTTCACAATTCTGTCGTTGGCCACTTCGACGGCAAGAACGGCACCGCTTCTATTGACAGCGATTATTCCGGCGCTTTCATCAAACTTGGAGGCTGTGAAAATAGGGTCCGAAGAAATTCTGTTGAGGAAGATCTTTTTGCCGGATTCCAGGTCGTACAGATGGATGAAGCCAAATTTAGTCAGCACATAGACAATACCGTACTTGTTGGACACGTGGATGGCCACAGGGAAATCGTTTGCGATCTCTGCAGGAAAGAAAATATCGGCCGATTTCTTGGTGAACACTGGGGCACCTTCCTGGTGGTCGATCTCCAAAACATGGAGATTTCCTCCGTCGACGGTTCTGGAGGCACATGCGAACAGCTGGGTGTCGACCGGAGAGTTCTGGAGCTTGAACTTGGCAAAGGCACACACATGGCCCTCAATTGGCTGCGAGACGTTTCTTGCTTTGGAATAGAGCTGGATGTGGCCGACAATTCTTCCGTTTTCCTGTGCAATACCACAAAGCGCAAACCACGAGAGATCGTAGTTGGCGATCAGGTTGGTCAGCTGGCAGTTTGCCAGGGAGACGTGTCTAGCGGTCAGTTGGACAGGTCCGTTTTCTGTGCCGTCAAACACAGCCCAGGTGTAGATCGACGACGCGGTGACGAGGCCGATGGTGGAGTCATCGAGCCAGCTCCAGAATATCACCGGCTCCCTCATGATGTTGGATTTGAGCCTCTGTTTCGTGGAGAGGTTGAAAATCTGGAGCGTGGTACCGTTTGCCCTCAGCGCAATGACGTTTTGGGACGGGTGCATGATGACGGAGTCGGCAGTCATGGACTTTCTGGTGACTTGGTTGCTGTTTTTCAGGTCGACGATGGCGACGGAGTTGCCCGCTTCCGACGTTTCTCTGCAGCAGACGTAGTGGTCCGACTGGAGAGTCGTCGCCATGAAGTTGAAGGATTGCGGGGAAATGCCCAGAGAGGACAATTGACAAACGTCAATAAGATCGATTGGAGGATTCTCAGACATTCTCCAAGAGTTAATCCTATCAAGTTTGAGGAATTGCTAGCAATGGGTGAAGAAACAAGGGTTGTTGATGATTTGTCTTTTTGCCGTAAATTCCTGATTATTAGGGCTGGGCCGGGTAAAATAAGAAAGAGAATTATTTATATAAGCTTGGATATCTATCTCATTATTATATGCCTAGGAATTTGGTTGTATCATTAATTAGTATGGATACATTATATGCTATGCTGAAAAATAGGACGAGAGAACCAAAAGACGTCAAGTTGATCAACGAACTCAGCACGAGACCAAGTCCACAATGCTGAGGTGAACCGGCTCACACTGGCCTCCAATCGACTCGTCGTAGAGGTTGTAGAAGGTGCCCGACAAGCATTGGTAGAAAGTGGTGGTGTTACCGATGGCAAGGTATCCTTCTGGGGAGATAGCCCAACCAGCGGCGTAGATGGCACCTGCTTGAGGTGGAGGGCCGTCGAATTGGAACTGTCTGTTGGCAACGATCGATCCGATTCTTCCCTTGGAGTCGGTCAGGATACCGTCCTTCAAGGTCATGGCGAGGGCCTCGTCGCTCTTGCAGGAGGTAGGGATGGACGAGGATGGGTCGTCAGCAGCAGCAGTGCTGGAGGCCTGGACCTGGCCGTCCGTGATTTGGGAAGCCACGGAGGAGGTGGCGGTGGTGGCCTGGACCTGGCCGTCGCCGATCTGCGAAACGACGCTCTCGTGGGCGGAAGTGGCGGTGGTGGCTTGAATTTGGCCGTCGCCGATCTGAGTGACCACAGGAGCAGTGGTTTCGGTGGCCGTGGTAGCCTGGATTTGGCCGTCACCAATTTGCGTCACCACTGGGGCGGCAGTTTTAGGGGTGGCGGTGGTGGCTTGAATCTGGCCGTCACCAATTTGCGTCACCACTGGGGCGGCAGTTTTAGGGGTGGCGGTGGTGGCTTGAATCTGGCCGTCACCAATTTGCGTCACCACTGGGGCGGCAGTTTTAGGGGTGGCGGTGGTGGCTTGAATCTGGCCGTCACCGATTTGGGTAACCACTGGGGC